AGTCATGGAATGTCATGGATAGTTATGGTATCTCAAGATGTTCAACTGTTAGATTACCCCAGCCATCCCCAAGGGTAGGTCTTCATGTCTGGCCATCCAAGGCTTCAGGCAACTTGACCACTTCAGGGCATGGGATCACTGGAGGAATGGCATCCCTTGCGCCAACAGGGGAACACAGGGGATTGGCAGAATCTAAGTGACTGATGTGACTGTAAGTGGATTGTTAGGGCAAGAACCGCCGACTTTGGCCCACAACTGGGCGTTCCTTTAGATCATTCTTCCTTGTGACAAGAACGTAGGGGCTACTACTTCATGGAGGTTGGGGAGCTCTTCCACACGTGGAGGGGTATGCAGGGATACGCTATGGAATTCTTTTATATTCTTTTGTCTTCGAGCTTTGCAGCTCTAGAGCACAAAATAAGGCACCACCTGCAGACATCACCACATCTACAGGGTTGAGCACTTCATACATAAATACTGTAAATAAGTAATGTAAACCCCAAGAATCCCCAACATTCGTTAAATCCTACTGGCATATGCCAGAACACAAACTTTTCTCAGTACCTTTGGGTAGACAATTCGAAGCTTGGTGACTTCTGCTTGGCGGAATTTGGCCTGCAGGCTTGGTTGGACAACCAACTTTCCTCCCTGAAATGTCCATCACGTTTGCAGCTTGCCGAGCGAGTGGTCGGGATGGTTTCTGCCACAGAGGGCTTTCGATTCGCCATGGAGCATAAAGTGGCCTGGCATGGGAGAACGACCCAGCATACTCCAGCAGGAGGTAGCAAGAGTCTAGTGTGATGACAGTTGGCATGCAGTCTTCCAACGTCTTCCACTCATCCTCATGATTTCTACAGGGGCAAAGGGCAAGGAAAGGCCCTTCTGGCCGATAGTGTTGTTCTGGCGTTGCAGTGACTTGAGATATTCGGATTTACGAGCAAGATTCGTCCAACCCAGACGAAGGTGGTGGGTTGGTAGTCTCCCCAGTTTCCCCTAACAGAGGGTATTCAACCTAAGCTGCCTACATCCTTGACCAAACAGTCTCCCCTGTGTAGCGAGGTGCCCAGGCTGCCCAAACTTGCCCATGGATCCAATGGCCATATTATGCCATATTGAGATATGGAGCAGTGATGAGCTGTGTACTGGGGTTGGCTTCTGTGTGAGGTTCCACCATGCTTCCCTCAGAGCAAGTTCCTCAGCTTGGAATGGCATGGGCTTCACAACATTGGAAGCAATGCTATAAGAGTTGAGGCCAACTTAGCGCATGTATGTAGCAGTATAATGCAGTATATATATATATACATATATTTATAAACAGGGATAGTGATTAATTGATTGGGAAGTGTTCATTCTCATGCATGTTGGCAATCACATTCTGGTCAGTGAGTAAGTGCAAAGCACCTGAGGATACACAGGTTTGCGTTCGAACTCCAATCTGTTGAGCGCTGGTCTGGAAGGCTATGAAGAGATGCCACAAAATGACAAACTTAAAAAACACAACAAGAGAGAGAGAGAGAGAGCGACAATGAGCCACAGCATTGCGTGTCCTTGACCTGAAATGACCTGAGGTTTGTGTTAGTCCTTGGTTTTGGAGGGCAGGTCCGCATCATGTGGACAGCCTTCATCACTGATGAACCCAAACCCAACTTGACGCTTTGCATTGTGTGGACTGAAATGAGCTTTCCACCAACGCCTTCACAATGTCCACAATTTGGAGTAACACCAATGGTCTGGACTTTTTGGCCCTCCCTGTTTTGGCCTGCAAATCTGCAAAGAGGCATGAAACCTGGACACCTAGACTGTTTTAGTTTTAGACATTAAAGGTCAGTGCTCCCATGTGCTCCCCCTCCTAAGCATGTACGGCTGTTTTCGAGCTTGTACCATGGTGTAATATTCACCGTTCTATGTTTGCCAGCGCCATGGGTGGATGCATGTCTCGCATGACATAGCTGAGGACTTCTACGCCATTTATCCTGAAAGTAGTCTCTGACGATTTGAATACAGAGAAGGCTTTGAAAGATGCCTCCAAGCTTAAGTGGGACGAGAGCAGAGGGGCCATGCGCAATGGTCCTCGTACCACCAGCTTTAGCCTGTTTAGGGCTCTATGAGAGGCATTGAAAGCAGAGAATCCTCAAGTCTAATAGAAATCCCTATAGTATAGAGAGATTGCAACACCCAATCATGATTGTATAGCAGAGGGACGGGGACCAACATTTGCTGCATGATAGCTTTGCAGCCGTTGATTCAGCCAGACATCAGACAACATTGCTCGGACAACATTGCTCAGCCAATTTAGCCAGCTTTTGAGGAATTTTATGGATTTTTGAGGATCTATTTTTTTGCAGGTAGATTTCTGGGAAACCTTCAGGCCCTGACCAGCATCGGTACCAGCAGTCTGGCCAAAGCAAGGCCAGGCCGAGAGACATGGCAGGAAATGCATCGAAGTATCACAGTTCTGGCGCTTGGATGCTTCGGCATCGCACGGGCCGACCTGGACAATCTTTTTCAACGAAAGAAAGACTGCGAGACGAGAGGTGGAAGTTTGGTCTGGGTAGCGCTGTCGATGGGCCACAGTTTGGAAGGGGACATTTTCGAGGCTCTCCTCATAGAACCTATGATTGAAAATGCAGAAGAAGCACGGAATCATATTTGCATTCCGAGAAACTGTGCGGGACAGGTAGAAATCTCCCAGGAAGACTGTGCAAATGTGAAAGGTTGGGTGCTCCAGAAATTGCTCGAGGCACATCAAAACACGAAAGGTGGGCTAGGATTTGACCATGTCTTCCACACGGCTATCCGTCAGCATCCTTGGATGTTCACCGGGGTAGAAGACAGCCTTGACAGCCAGATTCTCCCAAAGCTGGCATTTGCGCTGCCAATGTCCATGCAAAGGGCAGAGGATGTAGAGATAGCAGCGGCACTTCCACACCGTCCTTTTCGTCTCGCGATTTTGAGCAGTCATGCGCCGGTGGCGGGAGTCTTGGCAGAACATGTGGAGGAGGTCGTCGAGGGCCCTGTGCAGGTTTTGTACTATGGATCCTGCTACCTGTGCGAGCATACATTCACTTGCCCTGAAAGACGGCAGGAAAGTCTGGCTGACGAGTCCTGTGAACACTTTCACAATCCGGATGAGGTACCACTGCAGACGTGGTTAGACATTGCCGCTGACGTCGCGAGGAGTGAAGCCCAAGCCTCATTCTTGATGTGCTTTGGCCTCGCCTTGTGCCATTTCTGGTTCAGCCTTGTCATTGGAACACCACGCGCGCAGCTCCTCTGCATGAACCCATTGCAGGGGACACCCAGACACCTCGCAGGCCTGATGCTGCTGGATTTGCGGAGAAGAGTCATGGAAGCCAAGCCAGACGACCAGGTGCTGCCACGTTGGTCAAAGATGTGCCAGTGCAACGAGACTTCCACGTCTCGGTACCTCCTGGTTCTTCTCGTAGAGACTGAGATCCGGACATGTTTGACATATCTGACATTCTCCGGTGTATGTAGGCGTGTAGACTAGGCTGTCCGATGACTCAGCACAGCCGCATTGCATGCATATACAATACTGGTATATTATGCATAGATATGCATAGATTATTTTGCAGTTTTGCAGATAATGTATACATATATATATATATATATTTTATATATATATATATTATATATATATATATTTATACACATGCATGTGTGCGTGTGTGTGTGTGTGTGCATATCGGCATCTATATGCATGTCTATATGTACCTGTTTCCATGGAGTTGCTAGTTTTCAGGATTTGTTCCGCCAATTTTGCTTGACAGGTCTTCACGACAAATGCTGTGACTTCGGCCTTGTTGGCGTATCATGCTGGAGAGGTCTCCTCTCGCGTTCCAGTGACCACCCTCTTTCGACAGAAGCTGATGGGATGGAACCTGCCATGGCATCGTTCCAGGACTATATTGCTCACCTCCAGCTTCATCTTGTGCCTTGCCTGCATCCCGCCATTGAGAACTGGGAGAAGAGAACTCTGAACACAATTGACACCATTTGACACCAAATTTTGTCAAGATAACTACCAAAGAACTACCAAAGGACGGTTTCCACAACAGATGCTGGGTGCTTCAGGAGTAGAATCGCTTCGTAGTCGCGCATCATATGTGATGTTCAGCAATCGAAGTTGGCCACCGTCATGACAATACCAACAAGGACCAACAAGTGTAGTTGGATCGAGCAGGTAGGTAGCAATGTCTAGGAAGATGATGGAACATGCAACATGAACGCGTTTCAAGGAGCTGCAGAAGATTTGCAAAGGCTACTAAACAAATCTAAACAAGTAAAAACCTGCTAGGATTTGAAAGAGCCATGAAAGAGCCACAAGCAATGAAGACACAACCCATCAGAGCTCGCAGCCATTTTCAGGCATCAAGGTCTGTGTCAAAGGAATGGACGGATTTCCAGCTTGGGGATATATATTATATATATATATATTTAAGTATATATAATAAGTCGTTAATAAATAAGACCATAAGGATCCATAAGGCTCTTGTTGACCCGTGGATCCTGGTGAGGCAACTGTCAACCGTGTACCTGGCCTTCAGAATGGCATTGCAGCTTTATTTGGAGTCGGAGAATCTCTACGAAGTGGTAGAGCACAGGCATGATGTTTTTTGGACTTTGCAGGGCGAAGCTGATGCAGTAGGCTTTTTCCAGCATGCTTTCACGGTCTATATTCCGGAACATCCCTACAAGAACTATTTCAACGATTTATATGCCATGCGTCTGCCAATCTTTACACCGAGCATCCACTTCCTGGCTCGTTTCTGGCCAGAAGTGCAGTCTCTTGATTCGGCGGGAACCTACGATGGATGGTTTGACCGCACCTTGCCACGGACCAGACTCATGCTGTCTGGGACCGAAGCTGAAGTACCGGAACTGTTGGAACCATTTGATCTCAGCAGTGATGGCTACAACAAAGCCAGGCTCTGGCTGGAGCCAGCGGATTATTTTCATTTTCCCGGCTTGATGCATTTCAACAGCATTGCGGATCTTCATCGCAAAGTGGCCACAGAAGCCTTGGAGGCATCTTTGTTGGAGGCCAGACGGGTCATGGCTGACTTTGCACGCCAGAGACGTGCCGAGAGCCTGCAGTACTTTGCGTCAGCCATGTATGGAAAGACAGGTGGATGGGCGGATCAGGAGTCTTTTGACATGAGATTTGTACAGATTTGTAGGATTCAAGGACGGCTTGTTGGTCTAGGAGCGCATGCCTTACCGACAGATTGTTCTGCCCCTGTTTTTTCAGATAGTCGTCGCCAACAGATCACACTTAGCACTCCTCCAACTATCTCACTATTGGACACTATTGAGACTGTCATATTTCACAAGCTTTTGCTTTGGCAACTGTGCTTGTAGAAGCCTCAATGATGCTGACAGAAGTTGAAGACAGCAACCCTATTGTAACCATCTTGGATGTTGCTGGATGTTAATTTCCTCCACTTTCGGACACATCTATGATCTACTTGTACTGCACGGATGCCAGATGTCTAAACACAGTTCATGCTATATATGATTATACATGTACATTTAATATCATTTAATGATAATTTATGGTAATGTCATTGCGGTCTGCATGTCTAAATATGCACATACGAAAAAGAGACCTGCATCACGTGCCTGTTGAAAATCTATGGAAATTATAGAGACCCCTAATGTTGCGACCCCCATTCCTAGAAACTTACCATACTGTACTGATACTATTGGGGTTTGTTTTTGGAGCATTGTGGGAATGGGGGTGCCACCGTTGCGGGGCCTCTATGCATTCCGCGGCTGCGGGAAGTAAGGCAGAAAAGCTAGGTGTCAAGATGGACTATGTGGCGGTACACACAAAGGCGATTTGGGGAACCCGGAGGGGTCTTAATGGGTTTTGAGAACCCTTGCATGGCGATCGTCTCAGTGTTCGAAACCTAACCGGCTTAACCTTAGTACTGCAAGTCGAAGCTGCTTCGGGGTGTGACATTGAGATCATTGAGAGTGTGCCATGTAGGAGACTGACCTGGAAGTGTACCTGAAGGCAAAACAGGCTGGGCCAAGGGTGGCGAAGAGTCAGAATTTGATCATTGTTGATATTCTTGCTTTACAAAGTCATGGTGGTTCTTAAGGGAGCATTAGCAACCATAAGTATCCATAAGTGACAACAAGACAAGCACAAACAAAAGGAATCGAGTCGTCTGAGCCAGCTAAGGGCGCAGCGCTTAGCCGCGCAGCTGTGGAGAACTGTTGGGATGACGTGCTTCTTGGCAGCATCTTTCCCGCCACTTGACATGGGACTTTCAATTAAGATGGCTCTAAGGGTTCGGACAGGTTCCCACACTTTAAGATCTTGAAGACTCTTGAATCATTGAACTCTACTGCACAACCTGGCGATGGCAGCTGCAGGCTAAGCAGCGTCTGAAACTCGTTTGGAGTGGAGGCCAAAGTGCCTCCAGTGGTTGGAGCCATACGGAGACGTGAAAAGATGGACTGACGATAAAAATTGCGTGGCGCGCTGCACGTGGATGGTGCATGTGCTGCTGCATTCGGGTCGATTCCGGCTGATTGAGAAGCATATCTTTTCTGGTCGGTCAGGTGTTTGATGGGAGTAGGATCACACACATACACTTGCTTCTGTCATGGTCACGTTTTGTTTCCAATCTTGAGCTAAAGTGGCTGAAAGTTCACGTATCGGATGCATGTGCATCACAGTCTCACATCTTTTCATCGCCAGTCCTCTTGTCTGCAGGCGCACGAACGATCCGTGGATGCCGACTTGCTGTCTCTGGTTCTCAAGCTCCAGTGCTGCCGGCCAGTTGTGGGCCGGAACCATTTGCGTTTCAAAGTGTCTAATCTTCATTGGAAAATCACATAATTCAGCTGCAGAACTTCCACTATACGCATCATTTTCAGTGCATGCATCAAAGTGCTTCCTCATAGATTTGATTCGACAGGTTCAACCATTGCTTCAAACATAATTGCTTCTGCTCTTTTTGTCCATCAGCTTTGCTGCTGGGCTTTGCCTACGTGGGCAGGAAATTCCACAATTTCCGCTTCTTAAGGTAGACGAAGAGAATAACCGAGACACAATATAATATGAATGTGAGCAGCAATTGCACAGCTCTGCCAGCATCCAGCACAAGTTGGCGGATTTCAAGCTGATCATCATGTCAGCAACATTGCAAGGCGGTTTTGGGTCCCCAAGGTGTTGCCAGACTCAGGGGCTGGGCTGATGGGAGGCCAAGAGAATGGTGGTCCAGAACCTGATGTGGCAAGAGTACCGACCATCCTGTCGCAAAGCCAATGCACAGCCATTAAGGATACATGAAGGTTGGCCTTAAAGACTACCCTCCCTGGATACGATTCTAGACTATTCTACACTATTTGGATGTAGTGAGTCAGCCAGATTGTTTGCGGTAATCGCATTGCTGCAGTCATTGCTGCTTGGCTCAAGCCAGCCCTAGGTTTCCTAGCGCAGCAGCGACAACCGCTGCTATTTGGTGCAAACTCACCCCACCCCAATTCAGGCATGTCGCTGCCAGGGCCGTCACATGACGAGGAGTGGTCTTGTGCCGCCACCAGTTTGACTGAAAGAAGCACGGTTCGCTCACATGCCGCAGCTTCAACAAGCATTGGGATATATTGAACATGTTGTGATGTTTTGGGGGAACAGTTTTGAGCAACGCTTTACAGCTGCGCTGTGAGCGCGCTTGAGCATGTAACCCACCAACACGTCGCGATGGGCTACCTTCTGTGGCCACAGCAGGACCCCGTGGTCTTGTCAAAACTCCTCCACGGGGTGGAAGTCCGCTTGGATCAACTGTCAAACCAGGCTCGGGTGGGAGCGTCCTCCTGCGCACTGATGTGTCCTGCTAGTCCAACATCGCTAATGAGAAAATATGGGAAGACTGGAAAATCAATGTACATCATCTATATACAGGGATTTTTCCATTGCCAGGTTTTATAGATTTGCGGGGGGAGAATACTTTAGACGCATTGAATGGACTTGAACAGATATAGATAGTGGAGTGGTGACACGTGTTCAGCAAACTTAACCACTTGATGGGGTGCATGTCCCTTACATAAACAACATAAATCATAAACAACGACATGATTTAGCACCCTTAGTGTTTGCTCGGAGGTGGAGGCGTGCTTGTGGGAGATTCTGAGCCTCAAAGATGTCAGAGATACAGTGTCCAGGCAGGATTGGACCATTGGATTCGAATCAAGTGCGTCCTTTTTGAGTTGGAATTATGATATATTATGATGAATTATGAATTTGTACAAATAAACTATAATAAACTGTTTAACTCATCATGCGATCAGTGATCATACACCTCGCCCCTTTCCAACCATCTTTGACCGACAGCAGGCCAACAGTGGAACGACGCTTCGCGCCGCGCTCGTCTATCTTGCCGCAATTGTGCCTAAGCTGATGCACTGGGATAGTGGCAGAGCTGCCATTCGGTGCAGAACAGTTTGTGCTTCCACATGCAGGTTGTTCATAATCTCCGCAGTTTTGACCAGCTTATCCCTGACAATTTCACGGCTTCCTGAGGATGGGTATGATTTCAGAGAGACGTGTAAGGGCAACTGAACACATGTGATTTCTTTCTGATTTTATTGTTGCCTCGGTTGTCTTCTCGCTCAGGGAATGTGTAACGCAGCAACATGCAGCAACCAGCTTTACTGACCGTTGCGGAAGGCCATTCTATGGGAACACGTAGGAAATCAATGGAAATCATAGGAACATCGAGGACGAGGCTCGCCCGATGCCAGCTCCATGGATGCTGATCCCTCGCAGCCAAGGCACCACACGCATAGTGACATGGACTCCTACGGCGACTCCTACGGCGACTCCTACTGCCGGGCTTGGTCATTGCCTCACCCAAGAGCCTCACGGCTATCGACTTTCTCCGAGGCCACAAGCTGCGGAGTTTAACGTCTTGTTCCAATTCCACTTTGAGCCTGAAGAGTCCAGGGCAATCAGCTGCATTTAATATTAAACAGATGCCCGGATATGTATGGATATGTATGGATATGTATGGATAATTATGGATATATATATATGATATATATATATATGACATTATGTGACAATAAAAATAAAAAGGTCATTTGATGCCATAAACTTGATAAGTCGATATAAGTGGCAAACTCTGCGCTGCGTTCAGGTCGCCTCTTTGCGCAACGATGCGTGGTTAAGGGATGTTGAGGGGGTGCTTTGTTGAAATATGTTGAAATATGTTGAAATGATACATCATGATGAGATATGATGAGTGAGTATCATGATGAGTATCATGATGAGTATCGTGATGGATGGTCACGATTTAGATATTTTAGATGGCAACACCCACAATTGATCAATTGCATACTCTCCCTCTTGAAGCTTCCACAGGATTTCAGTGATGCAACTCCAGCAAACAAACATGGCCTTTGGATATTTTCTTTGGAATGTGGGCCTGCGACAGTGTCGTGCTGAATGAGGAAATGGTTAGCTTCCGGGACCACCATCCATCTGGCGCAGCATCTCCTGAAGATTTAAAGGTCCAGAAGGAGACTTGCACGAGAGAAGAGAAGCTTAAAGAGAAGAAAAACTCAAGAGAAACTCAAGAGAAGCTCAAATCGAAGTGATGTGGCCATTTCGATACCAGCCATGACTCGCGCCAGGAGGAGAAACCACGGCGGTTGTTCCGGCCCGTGCGTGGCGTTGACCTAAAGATTGCCTGGCAGATCCACGCGCGTGAGATGAGGCGCTGTCAGATTCGGTCAGATCCGGGTAGCTTAGGAGGTTGGAAAAGTCCTACCATGTCCTACCTGTACAGATCCTGTGGAGCAGGGTTTGGCTGTGAGATTTTAGGGGCAGGAATTTTGGGTTTTCTAGTGAATTTCCCCAGAAATTTCATTGACTGCTCATCATATTTCCGCCGAAACAGCACATTTGTTTCCAATTTTTGGATTTTTTGGCCAATTGGCATGCGTTGACATGAGGAATGCTGAGTGCGATGAAGAAACGCGTCCGATTATGCGCCTCTTATACCGCAGTCGCTGTGCCTGTCTCTGGGAACTCGTGGATGATCCAGATTCCTCCAGGGCGGCCTGGTGGCTCTCTGTCTTTTTAAAGATGGTCGTCTTCATCAACATGTTCCTCAGCCAGAACAGATTGGGATCCAAGTGGCCCAAGCATGATCAAACATGAAACTCTTGATAGGCGCCTGATCGGCACACGGCCTAGTGCGCTGAGTGGACAGAGAAATTTGTTGTAGAAAGAAAGATGAAGAAAGTGAAGAGAATAGGCAAAACATGGCAAAACAGGTCAATCAAAAGCAGTCTGTGGACTACACTGTCCACCATGCGCAGACACACCCTTTCGATCAGATTCCTCTCCTAATTGGGATGGGGACTTCTATAGTGGCTGAACCGGCACTGAAATGTTCTGAAAGACCTGAGTGAGCTGAGGGCAGTTGCCTTTTTCCAAAGCACCAAAGGGCACATCTTCAATGCGACGCTGGGTGTGGTGGGAACGTTCTGTGATGTGGTCTTTTGCTTGGAATTCCTCGCGCGTGTCATTTCAGCGCCCTCCAAAGTAGCCACTGGGAGGCAAGATGAGGCAAGCACTGCTGACACCCCGATCTGGCCACGGTTTATTCCCCTTCTCTTGCAGACAGCAGACTGGACTACCTCATCTGTCTCTATGACTGCTTGCACTTAGGTTCTCATCAAGGATCCGTTCAACTGGACTGACTTCCTGCTGCTTAGCAGAATCCAAATATGATGACACTCCTGCAGTTGTGGCTGTTTGTTGCATCGTATCCACCAGTCTCCATGTCATAGAAGATATAGAAGTTTCCTAATGAATCCGACATGCTACATATCGTACATGTCGATTATATCGTAGATGTGATGCCTTGCAGTTGAAGCACTTTGCTCCAAGTTGTGGTCCCTTTGGAGACGGCCGTTGCAAAGACCCTTTTGATCCTCCCAATTCTCTAGATCCATCCGGGACTCCGCAGGGATTTCGCCAAGGTCTGCTTTAGCGTTGCCCTTGAGGATCTCATTTGCCTTGCATCCACAGCTTAGAGCTGCAGAGGCGGAAGCCGGCTGAAGTCAAAGTCTGGGGAAGTCAAGCAATGCCAAGTGCCAGGTGGTTGCAGAGGTTGAACTTGGAAAAGAATGGAAACGTGAACTTAGAAAAGCCATGACATCCCTTTGATCCCCTTTGCATGATTTCTTTCCTTCAGGGTTGAAGAATTCAACAGTTCAAGAGGATGTTTTAGAAGCCGGATGCTCACAGCCACAACATGCCTGAAGTCGTCTCAGTCCAGATTCTAGTTGGCATGGCTTTGGTACATTTTACCTCTGCAAACCAGGTGATTCTGCTTTTCTTCTTGCCAGTGGTTTGCTCACTGAAACTGCTCCGCTACTTTGCTCCTTGGCGATTTGTAAGAAGCCACCCAGCAGTAAAATGATTTCATAAGGTCCTGCCATGTTATTTCGAGTACAGCCCCGAGGCAACTTTCATGGAGCTTTTTGAGCTTTCACCCTGCCCTTTATCCAAGGAGTCATTTCGTTTGCTGATTGATGCATGTCGCAATTCTGTCCCTGCACTCCCTGTGCTGGTTTACACCATGAGCGTCATCACCCTCCTTTCGTCCAGCGCAATCTACTTAGTGGAATCTCGTGACAATATCCCAAGCATGCCGCTTGCCTTGCAAGACAGAGAATCTTGCGCGATCTTCTTGATAATTTCCACCGTGCAGCCATTGACAAAGCATGAGACACGTAAAGCCATTGGCATGGAACTTCGTCTGAAGCCTATTTAACTTATTGAACTTATGTGGTCAATCCCCTATCACTTATGGAACTTGATTTTGAATGATTTCATATTCTGATTTTTTGGACCAGCTTCTTATATACTTTAGATATCTGTAGATGGGGTGGTTCAGCTTGGCTTTGGCAAGACCTGTTGGCGTTGGCTCTGGTTTTGTCAACTCGTCACTGAGTTGACTGAGTTGCCACGACTCAGGCCACATGCCCTTTGGTTAGCTCTCGTGACTGTTACCACGGTGGCTTAGATTTGCTGAATATGATGTTTTGTTTTCCCATTGGTAAATCCACCGTTTTGATCCATTTAGGTATAGGAAATATGTTTATGTTTTAATACTATTTTTTGGGGGGGCGTCTATCGGGAGTATTTTTTTTTTGGGGCGTCTTAAGGAAATCCCAGGTAGGATATGGCGATTTCGCACCCAAGTCCACAGCTGGATATGTGGTGGTGTCCATCCTCTCCTGCGTGAGCGTTCTTTTCTTGGGCTTGCCGGTCGGGATTATTGGCCACGAATTCAAAGATTCTCATCTCACACTGAGTGGACCTCTTTTTTTGGGAACTTTTCTTCTGCATAATATTTAATTCAAAAATTATGATTATACTTGTTTTGCGAGATGTTTTTTCTGCATAGAAACTAACATGGCATGGGTTTGACAAGCTGAGCCAAGGCTTGCTGGGAGAGCCGCTCCAGGGTATTGCTGATGACACGAGTTCGGAAATGCTTAGCCAAGTGGGGCTACTCTGCTCAGGATCTTCGAGCCATTTGGCAACGCAAGCGGCAATGCCTGGGAAGTCTGGGTCGTGCCATTTTCAGCCCATTTTCAATTGGCAGATGCACACATCATAAATTATGAAAAGGGCTTTTCAATCAATTCTTCTCATCATTCATGCCACATTCCTCCCATATTCCTCCAAGTTGACATCCTCACTGGCAAGCTGCTCAGGTTCTGGTGGAATTTGTTGACGAAGATGGCGACGGAAACCTGAACCTGTCAGAGTCTTTTGGCGCCGAAATTTCCCCAGAAGTTGTCCATTTCCACCTGCAGATGTGCAGTTCAGATTTTGCAGGATTTTCATGTTCGGCATGGGAAAGGGATCCGCAATTCCAAAATCCTGAAAGATCTCAGAGAGATTCGAAGGCATTGAAAGTATGGGTTAGCCGCAGGAAGTTGTCTTGACTCGTATGGTGTCAGTGATTTGGCCAATTTTCTGGTAAACCTGGCGCAATGATGCACGATGCAACTGGAAACTCCACACATGGGATATTTTATGACCAGGATCAGCATGCTGATAATTGCTGATAGGTTTTTGATAGGTTTTTGTCTGTTTGTTGCAGCTCCATTAATGATACTAATGGGATGTCGTCCGCAGTGGGAGATGAGCCTTTCTGAATTTCGCTCTCTCGGCGGCTTGTTTTCACAGGTTCATGGCTCTCATTAATCAGATGCGCATCGGCATTCGGGCCGGAGTTGCCATCCAGCTCTTCATGCTCTTTGACGATGATCAGAATGGTTTTCTGGACTCTCGCTTGATTTACCGTGGCAAATAACATAAATTTACACTACGTAGTTTGATCATCTGTATCCCACGGCGACAAAACCACAGAGGCGAAGATTCGCTGAGACTCTTTGGAAGCACACTTTCAGCCTGTCGGCTCACGACACTCCAAAGAAAGTTACATCAAAGATCAATCCGCATCATCCATTCTAGCACTGGCCAAGGAAATTCACCAAATCCAAACTAGTCAATTGCTCTTCTGTTGTGGCACGTCGTGTCAATAGCTACAGGCTCACAATGACTTCTAATTTATATTCATTTATCACTTGCTTTCATTTGCAATTCGTTTCGTTTTGGGCCGTCAGGATTATCACGAGTTCTTGCGTCACTTGTTTCCAGAGCCTTGGCATTTCTGGCCATGGGCTTGTGAAGGACTTAGTGATCCATCAAGTGCATGTTTGCATATGTTTGGAGGTTGAAGGCGTCCAATCCGGCCTGCGGAGTCATTCTTCCCAGTCGAGTTTGGGTGAGCAAACGTGTCATTTATAAAGACGGGTCCAATTTTTTTCTCCTCGTAGATCGTAGTCTTAGTATGTCTTAGTACTGTAAATGTTCTTGCAGTGGTTTCTGCAGTGGCTGCATGTGGATGCGCGTGGTGTTTCTCTTGTTGGTGAGATGCAACATGATGGGTCAACCGTAGGGGTTTGCCGAAGCAAAGAAGGTTTCTGAGCTCGTGACCATTGGTTGGGTGGTGGGTGGGGGTGGGTGGGTGGGTGGGGGGGGTGGGGGGGGGGGGGGATGTTAACGTTCATTGCGACTGCTAGGTTCTGTTGGACTTCCGCACATACGTCAGGCAACGCCATTGCAAGTTTCTCTTGGTTTGATGTCAATGCCATGCGCGAATGAACGTCTTCACCCATGTCAAGAAACCTCGTCTCCGTTCCCACTAGGTTCGCATCCAAGGAGCCTCAACTGACCAAACCCAACCACGAAAAAATTCACACCTGTCTCTGTCTCCGCAGAATGAAAATAAAACATAGAGTCATGCGAGACACGTTGCCACATTCTTCGAAACCAGTGAAGCACTGAAATCGAAATGGCAGAAAAAGGAGGCCCGGGAGGACACCCGTGGTGTTCCATGCTGAGAGCAACCTGCCGCTCTTGATCATCACTAATAGATCGATTCATCATCTCAGCATATTCATGGACGTCCGCTATTGTCAACTCAAGCCATGCAATCATAGGCCGCAAAAAGGGCCAATGAAGAACTGCAGTCTGCCAGGAAAAGTTGCCACTCATGCGGCACGCGATCAATAGCACCAAACATTCGAACAATTCATCGAAACTCAACATGGCTCCGAAGAAAATGTAATTATGCTGTTCCAATAGAACACGCAACTTTATTTCTGTTTCCAACAAATCTCAAGTTGAAAATCCTGCTAATTTTTCCGCGGGATCCCGCGAAAAAATCTGGTTCGCAGAACATGAACATGGCTTTAACAATCATCCCTTATCATGCAAACATCTTGCAAATGCTACTGTGAAAACAATGAAAAACACTGAAAATACTATGAAATTTCCTCCTAATAAACGGCTGCGGATGGACATACATGATCTTAACATATGTAACCCTTTGCAAACTCATTCCGACTCACGGCAAACCCCCCCGGGAAACCCAACATGATGCAACCAGGAAGAATATGTACTAGACCAGCAGCAGCGGGCAAAGACTTTCCAAGAGCCCAACAAGCGTGTGAGCGAAGCTTTGAACCATTTGGATGCAATGAGAGTCTCCCTTCGAAATCAAGGCAGTGAGAATTCATGACAGCATGATTTATTTGCACGGAAGATTTGCAGGTACAGCCGGTACAGCTGATTACAGCTGGCTCTTGAGGAATGTGACTTGCGTTTCATTTTGAAAGATGTCCAAGCATTGTGAAGTCTGTTTGCGTAAACAGTCGTAAACAAATTTTAGTTTAGGCTGGGGCAACCACATCACAAGACCAACAGACAACCTTTGAATACCCTTCGTTTGAATCACTAGAATTCTGGAACCAAAACTGAAGCAGGTTGAGAATTGAGAAGAGATGGTTTCACGCATAGACAGCTGGCATTTCTGCATTTAGAATATTTGCTCATTCTTACTCATTCTCACCCATTGCCATATAGGCTGCACATGTTTTGATATGTCACCTTGAAATGTAAAGATGGAATTCCCTTCCGCAGACGTCCTGGAACTACGCTAAGATCAACTGAACGAAGCTCCGCTGTGAATGGAAGCAGATTGGACATGCCTAACTAATGGAATTAATTACTAATTAAACTATATGTACGCATTTTCCTCAAGCTTGTCAAGAGGGTGCTTGAATTAGCTCCGACCTATTTCACTAGGCATTTCAAGTGCAACTAGCCAGAGGCTCTTGCAGGGCCTGTGTCGCTTTCGGTCATTTCATTTTTTTCCCTTCCCTTTTTGCCACATATAATTTTTATACTTATGCCATAGAACAGCTCTTGTTTTGTCGAGTAAGATGGAATTCCCTTTCCAACTCCTATGCCTGTTTGCTTGTGCCGATTCCTGCAAATTCTTCCGCAGCCAATTTTCGAAGGGGTCTCACAGCCAAAACCATCAGACTGTGAACAGGTACTGTACTACGATAGGGAGCTGTGAGGATGGTTGAACCTTTGCTTTCTGAGTCCACAACTGTCCACACGCAGTTTAATAGAAGTTTCAGCGACGATCAAAGTCTCAGCTTTTTGGCGCCTTGGATCCCCTTTGATATCTTTTGATGATTTTCTCGAAGCAACTAGCTTCGGGCTGGAAATTCAAGCGCTTCCATGACCATCGAAAACCTCCCTGCTTTCTGGACTCCTTCGGGATCGCATGCTGCAACAACGGATTATCCATCATTCTGATTCTCAGTTCAGTGAGTCCTGCTTTCAGAAGCTTGAACACTTCTTGTATTATCTTGTATTTTACTATCCTTTTATATCTTTTAATCCTTTCCCCCGCCTGCCATGGTTTGGAAGCAGATGGGTGCCGATGTCTTGGCGTGAATGTTTGATGGCTCTCAAAGATGGTGGCAAGCACAGCAGATTGGAGGGAACGCTTTGAATCAATATATCAATGTCTTGAGTGCAAGAGCTCAATGGTCAGATATGGTCAGTAAAAATCTGTGAAAGACATGGCAACCTGCCATGCCCAGGGCTGAGGCTTTTGATTTTCATGCTGATCGTAAGATTTCAATTGCCTATTCGATTGTATGAATTATTAAGGCAGTGTTTACAAGAAGGCCTTAATATTTTTCTCTGCAAAAGAAAGGGGAGGCTGCAGTGCTTGAATTGTGCGACACCCTCTGAAACGTGCTTTCCGCCTCGATCTGCTCATGACAAAAATTTTTGGTGGGCATTTGAGCAGCTGGTGTGGTGCTGGCTGCTGGGTGCCCAATGTTTTCGATGTGATGGGATTGCAAAGCACATTCCATCGTCAGAAGCGTGTGTCGAAATGTGTGTCCAATAGTGGGGGGACGTGAACCATTGGTTTCCGATGCAAACCAGCTTGATTTTGGTACTGTACTGGTAGGTTTCTGGCACCCCAACATTTGGAAACATACTTAATGATATTGATTCCTTTTCTGAGGGTCCCTCACTTTTTGGGCACATGCGCGTAATACGTTTGGTCAAGATGCGAAGAGCTGACGATCATGCGATTCAAGCCCAAACCGATGTGCTTCACGCTTATCGCCAGCCCGTGGTTGAACTGGACCCAGGAAGTCATATCCCAAGCATCACCAAACATGGTGGGATGTGATGAAAGTCAGATTTTAATTTAAGGGAATCGTTATTGCTCAACTCACAAGTTTGGACATTCTTTGCAACAGATTTTGCCGGGAATTGGAAATAGCCCGCTCCGCGATTGGGAATGCTGGCGCCACTCAAAGTGGACACCTACAACTACAACCAGACCAAAACAAGAGCAAGAATAGAGTTTCGTACAGACAACTACTGTATGAATGAAAACATAGGAATAGGATGTGGTATGATATTACATAACTTTGTCAGGGTGCTGGTTGACTGTTCGACTGAGGCCGAGCCAAAAATCTGCAAGTCAAAATTTTCAGCTGGAAGAAGGGCAATCTTCCTCACCTCCTTCTGCCTCATGCATTCTGCTTGCATCAATTCAAAATCCCATGTAGATTGCGGAATTACTATCTAATACTATATATATATGTTAATGCATGTGTGTGTCAAATGAAGCCAACCAAGCCCATCAACCCACCAAGCTTGCGCCCTGTGAAAAGCCATGGGCAATCTCACTACACGGCTGGCTGAAGAGGTCGCTCCGAAAGGTGCCCAGCACAAACGCCACAGATGTCCAGTGGCTTTCACCGCTTTCACCGCTTTCACATGTCAAAATTTTCAAATGGACTTGCGAAACATAGTGAAAGTCAGCGAAACATAGTGAAACACTGTAGGCAAAATATGCCAAAATCTTGCACAAATTGGGTTTGAGGAGCTTCGCCATGGAGAGTTCGGTGTTTCTCACGAGTCTCACGACCTCAGGTGCAGAAGATGGTGAGGTTACAGCCTGAGTCTATCCAGAGTTTTCACGGACATCATGGACCCCGTGTGGGGCTTCCGAAGAAGACTCGCCGTGCGAGTCTGTGTTTCTTCCTTTGCAGCCCTGGAACTGGCCAAAGCAAAGCATGGATGTTTGATGGCCGCGCTTGCTCAAGGGGGAAAGGCACCAATGGATTCGGAAGAATATGGCCAAACTATGTGAAGCAGTCATGTTACAATGATGCGAAGTGTCCATCGATGGGGTGGCATGTGGTTGCAGGCAGGGACAGAAATAACATCTCAGCCACACACAGTGATGCTGCGCATGCTTCAACAAAAGCCCAAGAATAGCCACCGCTGGATCTAGCAACATTGACTGACATATTCAAGGCATCATGCCGCAAAGCCTCGGTTTCGAGTCGAGCTTTTCTGAAGCGAACGACGGCAAAGGTCGGAAAAGTCTCGAAGACGTTTTTCAGCATTTTTCAGCTTCATGCCGTGCACCCAACAAGTGACAGAATATCATTCGTACGACATAATTATATCAAGTGAATTTCTAGTTTACCTTAGGTACCCTTAGGTAGCTTGGTTGACCTGCTAGCCTCGTGGAGCCATGGGTTTCTCACGACTCCTGCAACTCTTGGCGGACCAGGTGCCAACTCCTGTGCAGTCAGGGGTCGAATGTCAGTCCTCTAGGACCATGAGCTGAGATGAGTATGTGACGTATGTGCAGTGTACGTTGCTGTATCATGGCAGTGACGGTTCAGGCTCGCGCGGTTATTTGACATGGTTCTACAGTATAATATATTTATATGGTAATTATTAGGGACCCAATTATTAGTATATATATATATATATCATATAGATATAGAACAGCTGAATGCACTTGATGAATGAGAAAACCCAAAAAACATTTGCAGCAATCCTTCAACTGATACAAACGCCCCACTTCCCATTCTCAACTCACAGGTGGAGCATCTCTCCCATGTGCAGACAGATCCACACGGCGTGCCGGTGACTGCGACCGTGAAGAACGGAAAAGGCACTGAAATATGAAGAGTGGGGCCGCTGGAAGACATAAAGACAGAACAGGAATCCTTTCATTTGAGCCCCTTCTGGGATCCGCTATCCCTTGTTCGGAGGTTGTCAGACGCATTCTAGGAACTCAATTCTCTGTCGCTGATGTGCCATCCATTGAACGACAGTTGCCAGGTGTTGAAGCGTTGGACTTAGACCATGCCTTCTTTCATGCACCAAAGAGGAGGCTGCAACCGACATCGGTCTGTTGACAGTGCACTTCCCATCATAGGTCATCAAAGTAGTGGTGTGTGCAGACAAGTTTGCCACATTCTACATATTCTGCTGCATCACTGAAGCATCCGTTGACAGCCTGATTTTCAAGCAAACGAACACGAAAACCATGGACCCAGAGGCAGCAACTGGGTTGCTGACATGGTGACGCTGGTGTTTACGGGCTGCAGAGGTGAAACTCTACCATGCCATGCGGCAGGCATCTCAGCAGCTTCTTAGACAACTCCGACCTGGCTGTGAAGGCTAAGGCCAATGAGATTTGCGAAGTGATCCACAGTTTGGAGTTGACAAGACATACAAGACATGACACCTTCTGAAGATTCACAAATTCGGACCGATCGGGTACGGCCTGTCAGGTTGACAAGAATGGAACTGATCACTCGAGCAGCAAAGATGCAGATGGGGTCGCCTCAGTCAGCCTGTACAACCCGGAAAATAGGCAGGGACCGGGGCATGCTGAGCCAGTGGACATACAACTAGAAAAATGATGGAAAAATGCCACTTAGGTTGCATGCCTTTAATTACCAAAGATGGCTTCTGCTAGCTGAAGTTCCTCTTGCTTTAGTAAGGTATTGGCAGGGGCTGGAATCGCCAATCACATGAAACTTCACAGTTAACTACCCCTCCCGGGCATCCTCCCAGACGTGTCTTGGAAGCGGATTAGCAGGGGCTCCTCCTTGTCACCTGCCGGCTAGTGATTTTTATTGAGATATCATCGGTAGCAGTGTATGCATGAACATGGTACGACATCATTATCTCATTATCTTCAAATAATCTTCATCTTCCTTCTCCTCTCCCTCCTCTTCCTCCTCATCTCCACCCTGCTAGCTTTCTTTCCTTACCCCTTGGCTTCAAGTGATCTTTTATGATTTCGAACGCATTTCGAAACGGGTTCAGTTGCCAAAGAACATCAAAGAACCACATGCTTGTGGGAAGTTGTGGGCGTTGTATTATTACTCACAGACGCCGTGTTGCCCAGACATAAACATTGAGAATGTTGTTCTGTCGAGTATATGATAGGAGAGATTGCAGAAAATACTGCGTATACGCAGTGTTTTCCGGTTTAGGATTCAAAGTTTTCAGAGCCTAGGTTTTAAAGTAGGGTTTAGGGTTTTAGGGTTTAGGGTTCGTCGTCTGGGAATCTCAAAACACTGGCCCTGCGCAGGTGTTTGAGCATGTTGAACGATAATGTTTAAACATGTTTAAACGCCATTTGAACCTTCCGGGCAACACACAGCGCCTGGCCGTATTATTAGTATATACTTTCATGTATTTTCATTATTTTCATTATTATGATTATATATATGTGTATAATGGATTATTGTTGTTTCTTTGTGGATGCCAAACTTGCTGCTTTCAGGCGCATCTTCCTGGCGGCGGCCCCGATCACCATCGCCATTGCCGCCTTTTTCGAGTGCCCCAAGCGGAGTCACAGTGGATGGCTCTGCGATGTCGCACCGATGGATCCGTTCTGTCGCAGGTGCTCGGCAAAGTACCGGATGGCCGAGACGGACCTCTCTGCACCCCTGCCGCAGGCTTCAAGAATGCGGCAACACACTCTACTATAAATATGTGTTATTTAGTTATACAATATAATTACATATATTATATATATATATTATTTATTTATATTTTATATATTTACAACTTTCTACATTTTCTACATATTTTTTCCGCGTAAATTCATTGTTTTCTGGTTTTTCCTCTGTTTTCTGACTTTCTTTGGTGCTCCCTGACTTGGCACGAGATCATCGCAAGTCAATAGATGCTCAGCAGATGTCCTAATCTCGCAGAGAATCCCGGCCGAGCAACTTGCAGGTGGTGGAAGCTGCCACTAAAGAAGAGGAGGCCATCAAAATTGTCATATGATTCATGATTCAGATCATTTGGTGCTTACTCTACTTGCCTGGTTGTTCCAACCCCCGGCTGTAAGAGCGTTCTCAGTTCTCGTGATGGTTCCCAGATGCAACAGCATATTCGGACGTATTGGTAGGTCTTGGCACGGAATGATGGGCTGGGAATGGATATCATTTTCTTCGCGCACCCCATCCTAAGCAGTCAGCCAGCAGTGTGTTTCCTTTCACTCTCGAAATTCCACTGACGCGTGTGGGACGTGGGTTGCTGGAATTGATGTTTATTATTGTTTGTTCATATTTGATTCATATTTGTAGTGTATGGATTCGTACATGCATCCCTTTGCATTCTGTCTCTGGTCGCAGCTCTTTACGGAAGACTGGAAGGCCGCTCCGCAGGCTTTCGGAGGCTCACAGGAACCCGCCGGCAGCACAGAGCGCAGCGCAGCCATGGCGCAATTGGCCCTGGCGGCCATGGCCACAGGCCTTGAGGAGGAGATTCCAGAGCCCATCGCGGATCAAAATTTCAATCGAAGAAAAGTGCTGGATTTGCAACACGAACTCAGCAGATTGCAGATGCTTGGTAATGCGATCAATGCTCATCAATGGTCATCAATGGTCAGACTATCTGATGGGATGTATAGCTTGGATATGGTTGGCTGGACCACTGGACCTTGATTTTAACTGCTGCTGTTTGGCTGTTTGGCTGTTTGGCGCCTTCGAAGATGCCGGAGTCATTTAATTTCAAGCCCACTCAGAGATGGTTGGTTTTCCCTTTACCATCTTTACCTGCCTTACATACGTTTGTCTCAGTAGGTCAGTAGGTATTGTATACGAAAGAGAGGGGGGTCATAGAGTCGAGTATTCAGATGTTTTGTATTGTTTTGTGGATTCAAGCATTTCAATGCACTCCTTTGATCTCCTTTGAGCATGTGTCTATCCTTAGAGCCTCGCTGGTGCCGGTTGCAGCTGCACTCCAAAGCTGTCTCTAAGGAAACTGTCATTGAAGCAGCATGAGGCAGTCTCACATTTGGAGACTCAGCTCAATTCAACTTTCTACATCTTTCTACTATTTTATCGTATTTTACCACATTTTATCATATTTTGTTGATTTTTCGGCGTGTTATCTTCTTCATCAACTCCTATAGACACCACCTTTTCCCTCCTGGGATTTTGTAGTCCAGAATCTCCCAGGAGACTGGCTTGACTTCCAAGATCTCGGAGGTGGATTTGCGACGTGCCTTGGGATTGGCCTTTCAGGAGTTTGAAAATCGCATCGAGGATGTTCCTTGGCTACATAATGTGCATCATTGTGCATCATTTTTCAAACCATTCGCAACATCACAACCCTTTCACCACGTCGGAATCCAAAAGGCATCAGGTAAATCATGCAGTTCCTATGCAGTTCCTATGACGTTCCTATGACGTTCCTTTGGCTTTGGCCGAGGCTTTCCAGGACTCCAATCGAAAGTGCCTCTCCATGTTCTCCAAGCGACCCTTGCCTCAACCTGAAATTGCACACAAACTGACACACATCTTTCGCTGAAAATTTGAGTCTATTAATACTCACTGCATCTCACTACCATCATTCAATGACACACAATCAAACTGCATTGCTTATGGCATTGTGGCGATGAGCTTCAGGTCAGGGAACAGCCATGTGCTTTTCCTGCAGCTTAATACTTGATCACACGTTGGTTGTGACTATCATTTTGATACTCTGATACACTGCAATTCATGATGCGAATTGGCACAAACAGTAAGGAGAAGATGTAGTGGAATTGCAGACGCTGATTAACAAAAAGGTGAACTGGGCTGAGTACAACGCTGTCTTGAAGAAACTGGCGGATCTTCGGCACTACGTCGATGGCATGGCGGAGTCAGTCTTCATTGGACAGACAGAAGCTCTAGAATCCGAATTTGCCGCTCTTCTATGCGATCGGAACTGGTAAGCTAAGGGCTTGGAGTCTGCTTGCAATTGAGACATGATGCATGGTGAAGCATATAAAGATGGCTTCTGATGTGCATCCTATATCATCCTATTCTATCGCGATCAATATCCACAAAACAACAAAAAAAACACAAAACAACACAAAACAACAAGCAAATCTCATCAAATTTCATGGTTAGCCTCACTTGCCCCAGCCTCTGAGGCAAAGAAAGCAAATGCGGACTGGGTGGAGAAATGCCTCAGTGACAAAGCCGAATTCACCGACCTCAACGATGTCAGAGCTCGTTTGGAGAGGTTGCTTGGAGATGCTTGGAGACACGAGATGTTCATTCATGCTCTAGGTTCTCTATCATGTTCCATAGCCAGTCTACAAGAGCAGTGGCACGGATGACATTTTTTCTTCCAGCCACTCCCCAAGCCTTTGAGCCCCGGCTCAGACAATCAGCAGACCTAAAATGTGCCCCTGAGGCTAGAGGTGCTGGTGGCTCACAATGATCAGAAGCAGACCTCAAAGCTTCAGGCGCCTGGTAGCCGAGCTGTCAGCTGGATTCACCAGATCCACGGATGGAGGGCTGGATTGTAATAGATTGTAATCTTTTTGTATTTTTTTTACAGTAATAACTTCTTTTAATATCTTTAATCATATTTTAATCCATCTCAAGATCAACAAACCCCTCTTATTACTGGGTCGCACGGCTTTGTTTCTGCCGCAGGCCATGCGAGAAGAGACTGCCTCGAGCAATAACGACATGTTCCAGCCACTTGAATGCAATCTGGGCAATTGATGGAACTATCGTTTTTATATGCTTTTATGCTCTGATGCAAGAGATGCTGCCCCTTGCAATCGCAACTTTAATTGCTGAGATGCACACTGTACTCGTACGTGCTCGTGATTACTGATGGACCATGCTTTCTTTGCATGCTTTCAACATAAGCCGTTGAATGTTAATGGCACACACTCGCAAAGAACACCAAAGAACATGTGAGTTGCGGACCTTGCAAGATGCACGGCCCAATTCGATGTGGTATGGCTGTTAGATGGCCTGTGTTTTGAGGCGACAGTCGGCGCTCATGAAAGAGGCAAACAGCACAATGACAGAAAGCAAGCAGCAATTCCTGGATATGAAGAACATGATCGAGCGTGACGTGGATGCACCCTTGGCTTTTCACCCTTTCTAGGCCAAATGCACTTGTACAGAAGGTGAAAGCCTTCAACACTGCGAGAGCGAGAGCATAGTCTCATTTCTCAGCAAGTGACCACCCTTCATATCACTTTTAGATCTTGTATAACTCCGACCCAGGGAAATGAATTCGTGTTGCTAGGTTCCTTCCTAAAGATCGCATGTTTAAGCCATAATCCGCAAGTCTCCCGAGTATCCCTATTAAACCTCCCTGAGACAAATTCAAATGGACATCAGTGTGTTGGATGATGACATTGACATTGATATACATTGATGCCATGCATTTTCAACGCCCCGAGACCCTAATTAGCGCCAAGTTGATGCAGCTGCGTAGGATCGATCAATGCTGGCTCAATCTGAGGTCATGAAGTGCGGCTGAAACATGCAGACAGCTCCTTGATGGATCTCAGCAAAGCCCAGCAAGAAATAGCAACATTGGCCACACAGACCTTGCCGCTTGGTGCAAAGGCAGACACCTTGGAAAGAGTCGAATAGAGCTGTGGCATTGCATATGGCGAATATAATATGGAGATATATGGAGATAGCTTCTTGATGCTTCTTGTTTGTTTACAATTGAGCTGACCTCAGGTTGCCACGCATTGAGCTGGTAGAGACCTCCTTGCAGAGAAAAGACCAGGTCAGGGTTTGCAAACCAAGTCGCTAGTTTAAAAAAGTTTATGTTGTGTGACACGTGTGCGATATACATAAAACATCAATAAGAGTCATAAACAAATTTAGTGATATTTGGTGTTGATGATTGATTATATTATTGGTTCTAATTGTGGCCGCAGTGCCCGGCTCAGGCCAGTAGTTGCAGGCTGCACCTTTGTGAGTCATTTTGCAACCAGGCGGATGCTGCCAAGAGCGACCTCATGAAGCAGCTCGAACAGAGATCGGACGCGCTGAAGGGGGTTGTGGATGACAGGCTTGAAGAAACTTAGCTTCCAAATTAGAGAGGACTTGCTTTCGATTTCGGCGTGGGCAAATTGACAGGCTATTTTTTTGTCACATCTTGATAAGCGGCATTTGTCCAAAAGCAATGTTGCGAACCCATGAACTTTCTTGATCCCGCAGTTTCATTGGAACATATTGGAAGCCCCATGGCCCATCATCCGATCATGGACAATCATGGCCCAAGGAAATGAATCGGCAAGGAGAGCAATTTCGGGAACAGCTCGAGTTTTTAATGCAGGCCACCGAGATGCTGAAACGCAGACTGCGTGAGATGACAAAAAACCAGATCCTTTGGCAGCATAGGCTGTACCGGTTCGATGGATTTGAGGGTACAAAGATTACAAGGCAGCGACACAGAGTAGAAAATTAATTGCCAAGAATCGTGTACTGTAAATTGACGCGCACACACACACACGGACAGAGAGATAGAGAGAGAGAGACACACACACACACGCACGCACACACATAATATATACTATTAATTATATACTGTACTAATATTATATTGATTCAAGCATTGTTTTTTTCGTCAGATTTTGGTCCAGTACTGGTCCAGTTTGGCATAATGTTCTTCCCAAGAGAGGCGGATATGATGTGACATATGCACCTATGATGATGCGCACATGCCATCACACCACATATATGTGTAATTTGTGCGTATATGTCGTGTGTGATGCTGCATGGACCTAGTGTTTCTTTCGGGCCTCCTCACCGCTGATAGAGAGAGAGCGTTGCAGCTTCAGCTGTGCTTGCCATGTCCTTGGTGACCGGTGATTGTCATGGCTCAAGGAACGGAAAGATGAAGGAGATCGCCGATGACCAAGGGAAACAGGTTCAACAGCTTGCAGCCCTCGAGCGTGTCATGAAGAAGCAGGAGCGCGAGACCCGCGCTGAGCGACTGGTTGAAGCACTGTTGGAGGTTGACAGCTTTTTTCCAAAATAATTTCCCTAACTTCGCACAGCTCACACACACATATTATATGAGTAACCGACAAAATTAGCGGAAAACTAAAGTAGTAGGGAGTGGACTTGGGATGTTCAAATTTGTGTAAAAAACCTTCACAACCAATAGGGGACCACCCACTTACCGATGCCCTATTTTTACACATACAAAACCTTCACAACCAATAGGGGACCACCTACTTTGGCCATGTCCATTGCGAGTAGTAAGTAATTTTGTCCGCCACTCATATGCATCTATGACCAATTACTTCACATTATTACTTTATTTCCTTTGCTTAATCGGCTTAAGGAAGTCCATACACAGCAATTATGCAAAATTATTGCAAGTTGATGACTTTGATGTCCGAAATTGTCCGACTATGTCCAGAGACTCAAGCTGGCACAGCATTCTTCACTGAGGCTTCGTTCAAGGGCCACAGGTGACTCTTGGCGTTGTGCTCTGCCATTAGTGGCAGCAGAAGAAGACCCTAACGCAAGGCTCACTGGCGTGCTTGAGCAGTTGCAGAAGATAGCTGGGGGAACTGGAGGCCAGATACTGGGTCCTTGGGTCCTTTGAAGCACAGCAGAAACAGAATTGAAATTAATTGAATATTGAATGCTATGATATGCTATGGTAGTGACCAGCATGGGCAATATTGAGTCAGTATTGCCGTGCATCAACCAACATTTTTAACTTCCTTGGTTGGGTTGATCTTGGCTTGCCCCAATTTACCATAATTTACCATATCCCATGTTGCGCCATTGTTTCAGGATTCTCGGAGGACAGCACGCATGTGAGTTCCTTCTTCAATCCGAGCCGCCCCATTGGCACTGCAGAGACCACGGGTGAGTGGGGTGCAGGGCCAGGGCTCAATGATGTGCGCGCCATGGCTTCCACTGGGGGCGCGCGGGGCATGTATGGTTTAAGTCCCAGAGTGCCGTTGCCAACGAGCAACCGGACGATGAGCAAGAAGGCCAAAAGAACCTTTTAGTAGTTAGATGACGTTTAGATGTAGTTAGGCATCTAGGCTAGGCTGTCCTCAGTTCCAAGACTCAGAGTCTCTCAGAGTTTCACGATGGATATTTTCCCTGCACGCAGCAGTTTCAAAGTTGTTTCAAGAAAACTGCAGAAGTGTCTCACCAAGTTTCACTCCAAAGTTTTTTTCGGGCAAATCGCCTCAGTTATAATAGCGTGATGAAATTGGAGCACCGAGCTTCAAAATGGGAGTGCCGCGGGCGTGAGGACCATATCCACACGAACAGCCAATCGCTATGGAAAGAACAAGGCAAAGGTTGCCAGTGATAATCCATGAATATCCATGATATATTCATGCTAGCTGCTAATACCGTCACGAGGAAAATTTAATTACGCAGTCACACGGACCTGTTTGCACACGCCACACTTGACACCATGACTGTGTAACACAGCAAGAGGCGAATGTAGGAAATGACTGTTGAGCATACTGTCATACATACTGCCGCGATTGCACAGTCTCCACTGTGTTTTAGCCCACAGTGCTGGACATGTGAGGCATCGAGCCTAAAGAGTGCTGTGAAGGCAAGGGGGTCCAGCTCACCGGGACTGGGCTGAAGGTGCCACCCATTTGCGGACGGAAATTTGACAAGTTAAATCATGAAGCTTCATCAGAGGGCAAGATGAGCAGACATGCGTTCGAGCAAAAAGGAGCAGGTAGGATTACGGAATAAGGATGTCCAAGGTCTTGCAGGTCAAAATCACGGTTGCCGCAGATGTACTTTGTGTGGACCAACGCCGGTATCCAGGTCCTGGAGCCCTACATCATGGGACCGACATCATTGAAATGTGCTGCTTGGATCCATGAGCTGCCCTGGGCGCCCTTGACAGACCTTACTCTATTATAAACAAAGATGATACAGGCTTTAAGGAATCTGCATGGGCAAGAAGCTGCTCAAGAGGCTTCTTCAATGGTATTGCATGGGCAACTTGGCAGGTTCTGGTCAAGGATGGTCAAGGTCCCGGCTCACAAATTCGCAGTGTGCAAGCGTTTGCGGGAGAGCCCAGCTGAGGCTGGCTATGCCGCGGCTCATGTTACACTTCTTGGAGTTGGACTGTATGTGGATGTTGCGCTCACACAGTGGAACGGCGTTTTCTGGACTGCGCTGCAAAACCATCAGTCGAAGCAGTTCTACCGACCCTTCGGCAGCAATGAGAGTGCGGAGAGGTCAATGGCTCGTGGTTTCTTTGTGCTTTTTTGCAGAGGTATTTAGGTGCTTTGATTTTTTGCACCAAACTATTCACACGCAGGGCTCCTGTGGGATTTCGTGATCATCACTGGGGTGACTGGCTTTGTCGGAACATACAGCGACTACCTCAATGGCATGTGGCTTGGCAGTGCGAAGAATCTGGCCACAAGAACCTCCACATTTTGTCGCAAAATGAGCGTGGGAGTATTTGTCAGACGTCTCGGTTGGCTTTTCAAGTGCACCCTCTTTGATTGAGGTGGCATTTGCATGCGCGTGACCACTTGACTCGCCACTTCAATCAGCTCTGGGTGAGCACTGGCGCAATGTGCATGATGCGGCAAAGTTCCGTACAGGTGCTCTAGTTGAACATGGTGGAAGCCAAATGATAAGAATTAGCACAAACCCAGCAAACAGTAGCAATTTATTGCACAGGTAGCGGGGCTTCTTTTTAAGGATGAAGGATGGTTTCAGCCGTCATCAGCCAGTTGCCAGCGGGTGTTGATGCTTGGCACAGCATTCTATGGATCTCTTTGGTGGGTTTGCCTGGCAGGTGGACAATCCCGACCAGAGGATTGACCAAGATGTCGATGAATTTGTGGGTTCGACTCGGGAGCTGGTCTTTGGTGGATTGGGATCTGTGGTGAGGCCAGGCTGAAGCAATGGAAGCAACAGCTTCCGCTTGCACGCCTACATGATCCTACTAAAATCTACTACTTGTAAATGTGTGTGCCAGTTTGCCAAGATTTGCAGTGTTGCTATAAGAATGCACGGTTTTGGCGTGTTTTGGCAATAGAATCCAGTATTCTTTCACCACTTGAAGGGATCGGGGTTCCATTCGTAGAGAACCAGACAGATAGCAGGTCGAGGCTGTCATAGGGGTGCCCTTAAAATTACTTTGAACTTGACACATGATGACAGAAGGCACTGTGCTGCCATGGAGTGACCTTGCTTTTTCATTTCGTTCCATCTTTCATCATCTTTCTATGGTTGCTGTTAACTTCTCTATCTTCTTTTCTTTCTCTGACTCGGATATGAACGTAAAAGAGGTTGCACACACCCAGCGAAAGCAGACCTGAATTGTCAAGATTCGTCAAGAGTGTTCAAGGGAAGCTGGGAGGCTTTGCATTCAACTTTGACCCTTCAGAGTCCTTCAGGCTAGCAATCTACTTCCCAATCTTATTGAGATCTGCGCCGGCGCCTCTTTTAGGCAGTCTGTGTTTGTCGTTTGAATTTGGTGTCTTCATAGGAGGATTTCGGGGGGCTTGGAGCTTCATGGAGTTTCTAATCCAACAGCCATAGGATGCGACACCAGTGACATGAGATCACACGAGATCACATGATCCCTAGTGGCCCTAGTGATTTGGTCAGTGATTCGCAGGTTTTGTTCTGGTTTGGCCAGTCTTCGGTGCTTTGGTGACTCATGGCCTTGGCCGGCGGCTGATCCCCTTATCTGTGGCGGGGCAGTCGGCCAACGCCAACTTCCGGTCCGAGCTGGTCTACGCGCGCGAGAAGGCGATCTCGCTCTGCTACGATGTCATGCATATAGAATGGCATAGAACATAAAAATGGATGAAAATGGATCCACCTTCAAATTTCAGCTACGAAATGGGGAGGACTTGGGCTACAGTACAGATTGCCAGCCAGGATTTTTTTGTACAAACAGGAGGGGTTGTGCCCCCCATTTTGTATTTGGAATCATTTTGTAGTTGATTCCTTTCAAATCATCATTTTCATTTTGTAGTTGTATATGTTGAGTTAGTTGAAGCATCCAACATAAAATTTCATTAGCATTTTGTAGTTGTACAAGTTGAATAGTTGAAGCATCCAACATAAAATCTCATTTGCATTTTGTAGGTGTTTGAATAGTGAGAAACAGTGCGTGACATGTACATGGACACAAACAGATCATGAAGCTACAGAATGCCATCTAACAAACTGCACGGGGTCAACACTTGATCCAACTTAATTCAATCATTGACAACTACAAAATGTTCTCCGCATTTATGTTGGTCGGACCTTTGGATGGCAAAGACCCAACTACAAAATGTCATTGGGAAAAATCATGTTAGCAATTCCGTTGTTCAGCTATTTTTTAACTTCAGATGCATTGGATTTTGTAGTACTGGTTTTGAATTATTTTCCGAGCCAGAAAGAGTTATGTTCTTCATTTTGTAGCTGCAAAAAAAGCAACATGCACTGCTTTTTGTAGTTGTGCACCCTATGCATTCCGCTTTGTATCTACCAAAACCATCTGCACAACTCCTCCCCCCTTATCTGAACCCTGATGAAAATGGTACAAATATGTAGAAATCAATTGGCTCATCCGAGCTGAAACATCAAAATGTTCCGCCAATACAAGTTGAGATGTTACATTTTCCATCTATTCTATTTTTCAAAAGTCCAGGTCAGTTCAGGAGAAACGGAACCCTTATTTTTTGTTGATGTGCTAAGGTCAATCTTGTAAGTGACATGGCAAATCCTGAAATGAAATGTGATTGAGGCTGCGTGTTTTTGTTGCAGTGGTGATGTGTTGACTCAGCATGTTGAAACATAAAACTTGTTGGATAAGAATGATAATGGGAAATGCATCCCTGACCCTGAGGTACAATACGTTCAGGCTTGTTGAAATTGCAATTTGTTCTTGGCTACCTAGCCTGCAGGTAATGGAATAAACAGCGTTTCAGGAAGTTATAGCACTGGCAGCCCTTGCGTAAACATATTTATGAAGTGTCCCAACTTGAGGTGGATTGGGAGTAGTGTGGTTTCTAAAGATTGGACTTGCTAGGTGGGTCAGCACCACAAAGGAAAACTAAAAAACGTCAGTAGCACAGGGCCGCGTGAGACGGAACAATGGGCAAATGTTACTGTAGACGCAATGGCAATGCATCTTTTTAGCATCTACTAACTAGAACAAGGTCGTACAACGTCACGCTTCCCTGCTGGATTCCAGAAAACAATTTTCGGGAAAGAACGGGAACCATCATCAAACCTCAGGGTTCCTCCGAAATCAAAATCCAACAAGCAGGGGCTCATTTGGAATGAGTTTGGTTTCGAGAAAATACATCAGAAGTTGCAAACAAAGTGCTGCTGGGCACTGCTGGGATAGTCTCAGGGTTCCACAAAAAAGCCGAAGAAGAGACAACGACATGTTTTTCGGAAAAGGTAATCAATCAGAGCTCCAGTTTTTGCATTCTCGGGGTTCCGATGTGTCTCATATTTGTTGAGCTTTTGTTGATGCTTTACATTAGGGCCCCAGTTTCACGCTTTTGCTCGACGTTCTGTAGGTTGAAACCAGATACATAAAATATATGAATAATACCCCAGTTATCCCCAGTTCAGCTGGTGTAAATGCAGATCCGTGGTTTCCTTTTGTAATTGTAGTTTTCTTGCGCCCGGTGCAAACAGTTTCGATGGGGCAAAACTCTGCCAAACACCACCACCTAAGTCCTGGATCTCCTTTTTCACTTGACTACCATCACCACCCCCCCCTAAAATAAATACCCTTGCCCTTGTGACAGTCTGAATTGTACTTGTTTTCAGTTGTTTTTGGTGGGCGGCTGACTCGCCGCCCCCACGAGGGTTGTTATTTTTGAAGTGGGGTGGGGTGGGGTGGGGCATGTTAATGTTCCTTGTAAGTAGCACACATGTTGTAATGCTACGCAACTGCAGGGTTGGGGTGGGGTGGGGCATGTTAACGTTCCTTGTAATTTGCACACATGTTGGATGCTACGCAACTGAAGGGTTGGGGTGGGGTGGGGCATGTTAACGTTCCTTGTAATTTGCACACATGTTGTAATGCTACGCAACTGAAGGGTTGGGGTGGGGTGGGGCATGTTAACGTTCCTTGTAATTTGCACACATGTTGTAATGCTACGCAACTGAAGGGTTGGGGTGGGGTGGGGCATGTTAACGTTCCTTGTAATTTGCACACATGTTGTAATGCTACGCAACTGAAGGGTTGGGGTGGGGTGGGGCATGTTAACGTTCCTTGTAGAGAACGCAGAAAAGAACTAGCCGATTCATCATTCGACATGTCGTCGTTGTCTCGCATTGAAATCACAATATTGAGCGTTCGATGTACAAGCACATGGATATAGATAGATAGATAGATATATATATATATATATATAATATATATATATATGTGTGTGTATATGTATATCTACTGCATGAACTCCAAAAAATAAACTTTTTTTCCGGACCTTAAAAAAAAGAACCTTCGTTTGCATGGAAAAAAACAGTACATTTGAAAAGAAGAACAAAAAACCTTGGAAAACACAGTGAATTTGAAGCTCTGGTTCAGATGAAACAGACAGTGAATCACTCCGAAACCACAGCGAGAAGCAAATGTCAAAAAAAACAAGGCAAATCAGTCGTTGACCCTTCCGGGGGCGGCGAGACAGCCGGCATTGATTGGTGTGGGTAGGGCCGTAATCTATATGAGCCTGGTTGGGCCAACTATTATACAGAGACTTGTCCAGATTTTTTTTTTGGGATGCAGACTCTTCACAATGGAATTGCTTGATACAGTCTTGAAACCGTGATGCACATCTCAGTGACAATCCGCCCTTTACAAGTACCTCAAAAAGTATGGGTGCCTTTTCTGATTGAACTTTCACCAAAAAAGCAGGCCTTTTTAAATTCTGGCTCCTTGCGCTCCCAGCGCAAAGGCGGAATCATTGGCTTTGATGCGCGCAGGGCCGCAGCTTGCGCAGCGTCTAGGCTAAAAACGAAACCTATCATTTTCATTTATTATCTATATGTCTTTTGACTTCAACTTTGTGCAAGCCTTTGTAAATCAAGAATCAAAGCTTAGAATCGAGTGCCATAATGCGTCATGTCAGAGTCTCCGACAGTTTGATCTTGATTTATTTCCGTCCTTGATGTGCTGCAAGTGTTGCAAGTGTGTCATTTCTCCAAAGTCTGTGAGATCCAATTCTGGGGCAGCACCAAGGAATTTGCAGGATCGCTTTGAGGTGATGAAGCGAGTAGCCACATGGCGTAGAATCAGGGCTGCGCGCCTATGTGCGCATGCTTCTAGTAGGCCAGGATTTGAATGCAACTGGATAGATTTCAATTCATGATAACTGAAATGATTGTACTTCATGCATTGGTATTCTCACAAGTTGGGCATCACCCGCCTCCGACAAGTTGGGCAAAGAAACAAAAGCAAGGCATATGCGGAATTTGACGTGACCAAGTTTCTGAACTTCTTCAAAATGATGTGGCTTGGCCAGAGCTAGGGAAAGAAAACCTAATACTTTTTGGATTTGTTGCAAACATGCCGCACCATGCATTTTATCCCAGTTGCACTCTTGCAACATCTTGCAACGCTTGGAACAGCAAGTGGTAGGCAGTTGTATGCCTTTCCAGCTGTGGCAGGTATGAGGAGTATGGCACAGTCGAGCCTTTCGTTCTTCTTGCACCTGCATATTTCACAGGTGCCCTTGACCTTGGAAAACTCATGCAGTGCCTTGGTATGGAAAGCTCAATAATTATGCTCAACTGTCCTGCTTTGCAAGGTTGGCACATGTTGGCACATGTTGGCACGTGTTGGCACATGTTGGCACATGTTGGCACATGTTGGCACATGTTGGCACATGTTGGCACATGTTGGCACTGCTTGCAAATCAGTCCCGGTTTTGTGCTTGTTTCCAGAAGGCCGCTTCCATCGACATGATCAACACGGGATTTGATCTAACCGTGAGGCTTCGCATGATCGTGGAGCGGGTCTCGCAGTCCTTAACATTTCCGGTGGCTGCGTACGAACAGGCAAGGGAGGGCTGCCCAAGGTTCGGGCTTGTAGGTTCAGTCCTGCAAGAGCAAAAATAATCCCAAACCCAATGCTCCTCGCACCTATGTTGGAGGAAAAACAATTAAAAAAATAACATTTCTTTTTGATGCCGAGTTATTGCTTGCATGTGTGATACCCGTCGATACAATATGATACACAGCGGCTGGCAGGCCGTGGGCTGGCGAGTGGCAGCCAACCGCCTGGCCGCCTTGGCTGCGGCCTCCACGGCCTCCATGGCGTCCTCCTCAGCATCCCCGAGCCCGGAGGAAACGGCGTTGAAAGTGGATGGCCTCAACTTGCGAACGCCCGAGGGAAGGCCATGGCCATGGAGAAACTGTATGAAACTGTATGAATGTGGCGAATTTTCTGAGACAGTCATGGGAGATTTTGGCAGATTCGCACATTTTCCTTTCACAGCTGTCGCATTTGTACTGAATACAACACTAATTATAATTAATTCTAATTACCAGTAGTACCGCGCAAGGCGGTGGCGAAAGTTTCAAAAATAGGAAATCTATAGGAGAGGTTGGTTGTTGTGAATCACGGATGGCAGAGCGAATGCACTGATGAACTGAAAGGTCGTTGGAGTTGTGTTTTTCCCCACCTGCCAGGTGAGGGTTGTTAGATTTTATGTCAGTTGCCTCCTCCTGCCTCCTCCTGACTCCTGCCTCGTCCTCCTCCTCCTCCTCCTCTCCTCCTCGTCCTCCTCGTCCTCCTTGTCATCCTTGTCGTCCTTGTCGTCCTCGTCGTCCTCGTCGTCCTCGTCGTCCTCGTCGTCCTTGCTTAACTGCGACCCGCGATCCACAGTGTTCTCTGCCGGACCTCAACCACGACCACCCACGCCCAGTGTTCCCTGCCGGACCTCAACCACGACCATCCACGCCCAGTCTTCCCTGCCAGACCTCAACCACGACCATCCGCGCCCAGTGTTCCCTGCCGGACCTCAACCACGACCATCCACGCCCAGTGTTCCTGCCGGACCTCAACCACGACCATCCACGCCCAGTGTTCCCTGCCGGACCTCAACCGCGAGTATCCCCGCCCAGTGTTCCCTGCCGGACCTCAACCAGGACCATCCACGCCCAGTGTTCCCTGCCGGACCTCAACCGCGAGTATCCACGCCAAAAGATATGCCACATAGAGTGCCAGAAGATATGCCAGATAGAATGTTAGAAGATATGCCAGATAGAATGCCAGAAGGTATGCCAGATAGAATGCCAGATAGAATGTCAGCTAGAATGCCAAAAGATATGCCAGATAAAGTGCCAGAATGTTTGCCAGATAGAATGCCAGCAGATTTGCCAGATAATATGCCAGAAGATATGCTAGATAGAATGCCAGATGGAATGCCAGAAGATTTGCCAGATAATATGCCAGAAGATATGCCAGATAGAATGCCAGATGGAATGCCAGAAGATATGCCAGAACATATGCAAGAAGATATGGCAGAAGATATGCCAGAACATCTGCCAGAAGATATGCCAGAACATCTGCCAGAAGATATGCCAGGTAGAATGCCAGAAGATATGCCAGATAGAATGCCAGATCGAATGCCAGAAAATATGTCAGATAGAATGCCAGAAGATTTGCCAGTAACAAAATGTATAAATGTCATGGTGGGGATCACACGAAGTAAAGTAATTTGGAGTGGTTGCAATGGTTGCAGTGGTCACCTGGTCGGTCACCTCACCCGCAACTGCTATGTAGTGTGGTGTAGTGCAGCTGTAGCTGTAGTTGTAGTTATAGCGTAGTGGAGTTGCAGTTGTGGTGTAGCGTAGTATAGTGTAGTTGCAGTGGCATGTGTGGTGGTGTAATGAGTGTAGTGTAATGCAATGTAGGGTAGTGTAATGTAGTCTAGCGATGTCTAGCGTAGTGGAGTGTAAAGTAGCGTAGTTGTAGTTGTAGCTGTATTTGTAGTTAGTGTAGTGTGGTGTGGCGTGGCGTGGCGTGGTGAAGTGTAGTGGAATTAGTGTAGTGTGGTGTGGCGTAGTGCAGTGGAGTGGACTGAAGTGTAGTGAAGTGAAGTGGAGTGTAGTGTGCTGTAATTAGCGTAGTGTAGTGTAATTTAAGAGTAATTTAGTGTAGTTTTAGTTGTAGTAGTGTAGTGTAATTGAGTGTAGTGTAGTGCAGTTCAGTGTAGTGTAGTGTAGTCTAGTTGAGTGCAGTGTATTGTAGTGTAATGTAACTAGCATAGCGTAGTGTAACGTAGTTGTAGTTGTAGTAGTGGTAGTTGTAGTTGTAGTTGTAGTGTAGTGCAATGTAGTGGAGTGGAGTGTAGTGGTGGTTGTGGTTGAAGCTCCTACAAAACTTGCATGTTTTGTTCGCGTTTGTCAAGGTGCACAATCCCCTGCCCCTGCCACACGAAACGACATCTGAACGTCCAAAAGTGATCCGAACATGTGGTGTCTTTAACATTTTGACTTGGAAATGTGCTTCGCACCACAACGGCGTGCACTTTTTCGACATGTCAACTTCAAAAAGTGTTCCGAACCTGGTGTGTTTTGCGCATTTTGACTTGGAAATGTGCTTGGCGCCACAACGGCGTCCACTTTTTTCGACATCTCAATTTCGAAAAGTGGTCCGACCCTGGTGTTTTTTTGCGCATTTTGACTTGGACATGTGCTTTGCGCCACAACGGCGTGCACTTTTTCGACGTCTCAACTTCCAAAAATGGTCTGAGAATGTTTTGTACATGTTGACTCGGAAATGTGCTTCGCGCCACGGCGTGTAATTTTTCATTTCTCATTTGGCTACATGGCTCCGCACCCGTCGCTTTAGCGAGCCTACTTATCGACCCTCCGGAGCCACAAACCATTGGAAAAACACAGTGTTTCACGACTTTGCTACATTTTTGCGCACCTGCATCCTCTTTCTTCTCACTTTCTCTGATCTTTTCTCTTCTGCTCTTCTCTTCTGACTCTTCCCACCTCTGCTTTTTCATCCCTCCATATTGTCGGAAGTTTGACTTCTAAATTTCCTTCGATTATATTGGACTGTATATCCTCTATATCTACATATATATATATACATTTACACACTTATCATTTATCCACTAATCACCCATCAGAGCGGCCTATTGGACTCGCCCTTTTTGGGAGGCTGCTATTGGAGAACCTGAGCCTTGAAGTCCCCTTTGGCGAACGGCTACTGGTTGTCCTGCCAGCCTCTGGTGGCAAATCCCTGCCGCTTGATGCAATAAACGTCAATAAATTGCCAGGAATATGTTGAATGGCTGACCTCACGAGAGGCTTGAATATTTGGTGCAGTCAGGGCTGTTCATGATGCTCATGGGAGCATGTGGGATGTCTAACCCGTTGACTCACCACCTGCTCCACATTCTGTTTGATTCCATTGGATTCCATGCTAGGCTCTTGCGGGCGATTGCCGGGCTATGGAGCCACATGTCTGGCAGTTCAAACCTCAGCCCGAAGCTTTGTATATTTTCCCCAGATGTGGAACATAGGGCCTCAGGGGCTGGGTGACACTATAGACTATGGCCATTCTGCGGCAAAAATATCGTACCAAATTGTAATACCAAAGTCCGATAGATGCGAAGTTTTTGCTCCATCCATGTTTCTTCTTTTTGCAGCTGCGATCTTGTTTGAATACCAGCTAGCCAGTCCATTGTCAAGCACTCCGTACTTATGCCCTCATGCCCTAATTTTGTGATTTCATTGCCCATTTCCCCAGCTTTCCCGGATGCGAACTGGACTTGATAAGGCATCGAAAAGAGCGACGATGCTGTTTTCATTCAGGGCTTTGAATTTCCTCCCTTGAGTCTGCGACAGCTGCTTTGCTACCCACAGCCGGCAGAAGGAGCCGAGTTTGATCCCGATTCAGCATTTATCAAAAAGGTGTATATAAATGATTGTAAACGTAATTTGCATTCATTTGCATTCAATCGCTGGGTCCAACATGGTCCAACAATGTCTAACACCTTTTTGAAAATAGTATATAAATCTGATTAAATCTGCACATACTACTATTTGTTGCTGACATGCAAGCAGACATAGATTTTGCAAAAGCAAGCAGAACTTGGAGGATTACATTGCTTGTAATTTGCTGCCTTGACTGGATTGTATGCCTACGGCGACCGCACAGCGAGGAGATTCTCAACTGGCGCTGCACATGGTGGACTTAGCATCATTGCTGGCAAGATATCCCCCTGACCGGCAATGCCAATGGGAGGAGCAAGGGATTTTTGACTGTACCTGGGAGACTTGCATTGATGCTAGGAATAATTTTGTCCCCGCAACATTTTGCAGCTATCATTACAATGCTACTGCGTGGTCCACCATGTTCACCCATGTTAGTTCCTAGTGTCCTGCAAGACGATAAAGATCTATAAATATTTGCGGCTTCCTGTTGGAAAACAAGGTTCTCCAATGAGCTGCGGCTCAGATCTCAGTCGTGTTTCAGGAGGTTCTCTCGCCTGAAGAGCAGCAGCGCTTGCTGATCGCTCGTTTACTATTAAGACAGCCACGCTTGGCGATGTTGGACGAGCCTCTAGCAGCCTTGTCCGAGGAGGACTGCGGGGAGAATGCGAGTAGAATGCGAGTTGCTAGGCTAGGCTAGGTTTTGGAGGCGTCATGGCGGAAACTGGACTGATGGACTCTCTTTGGCAAGGACATGCAAGGACCTTGCCCTCCCTTGAAATTCGCCAGTGCCAGGATGCTTGCAGGCTGTTGAGGCAGATTTCCCCAGAGACCGCCGTTGTGAGTTTCTCCAGGACATGAAAGACTTGACCGGGCTGGGTTCGCAAAGTTCTGGCTTAAGATGCACCTTAAACTTCCGCTTGAACGTTTTACGCCCAGCCATTGTTGAAACCACTTCATTTCAATATCACACTTTTTCATGGTTTTCTTCTAAGAATCACGTTCAAATTAATTTGAACTCAAGCGCCAATGATATTTGATGTCATTTGAGTATGTTATGCTGGCAGTATATGGTAGTAACTAGCTGAATCGTCTGGGAAAACGGTGGAGATTCCCAGCCGCCAGGACTCGTCGGCTGGCCGCTGCCCACCATCGTGTTGTGGAACTCGGGGCTGCTCCGGACTGTGTGCAGAACTTGGAGATCAGATTTTCAGTGGGTTGTTGACCATCTGGATGGGATGTATAGCATCACTGTCCTTGTCTAATGTGTCTAGGTCTTGGAGAACTGGAGATTAGTAATTTACTGATATTTATATTACTGTATATGGAGTTGTTTGAATGCCACCATGACATTTCTGGAGATACCTGGTGTAAGTTATATAGGTCTTGGTTACAAGCGTCTTCCTACTTATCCGCATTCTTTTTTGAAGTTGTGTATTCGCTTCGAACTTCGAGGCAAAGTTGAGGGCTAGGTATCCGGACAGACCGGAGCTTGAAGATGATTCAGAATCTTTCTATATCTTTCTCATTTTTGGGTCCCTATCATGTGAAACTTCTCCCCAGGAGTTTTGGAATAGTTTCGGTGCTTCCCTGCCCTCCACAACAGCAGGTGCCATCTGTGTCCGACTTCAAGAGTGAGGAGCGCAAGGTGAGTGCAGCACGACCAATACGCTTGGGCCACAACGGCCACAAGGTGCTGAAAGCCACGGATTGACGCCAAGGCGCTGTCCGCTGTTGTCATTACCGTCACACCCAGGAAATCTTCCGTTTTGATATTTGGCAATCAGAAGTCAGAAGGGATTCGAAGGGTTCCCCAAAGCAATGAGTTGAGTTGAGCAGAATTTCAATGCAGTGGAAAGAAGAAGAAGAAGAAGAAGAAGAAGAGGAAGAAGAAGAAGAAGAAGCAGGAAGAAGAAGAAGAAGAAGAAGCAGGAAGAAGAAGAAGAAGAAAGTGACATATAAGCACAACCATCAATGCTGTGTTGTAACATCCAAGCTGCCATTGATACAGAACACCTCCACAGTCTTTGGCAGGCGCATCAGATTTGCCCGCAAGGGGAGCTGAACAAAATATTGCGTCCGTGTCGGCGTGTTGGAAGCAGCGGTGTCCAAAAGTGGTCTCTGGTATAATTAGTTTTGCCGGGCCGTTCTTGGTCTTTGTTCGCTGTCGCATCTGCTGCCATGGATTCCATTCCCGGGGGGTTACCACTGCGAAAGAATTCGAAGAAAATGAGAGAGATATTTTTTTCCCTCCAGACTGGGTGCAACTGCTACCGAGGACCAAAAGATTTATTGGTCTTGGGACCAGGACTGTTTTTGCTGGTCTGCTTCTGTAACGCTATCGCACTGTCACGGCGTACTTATGTAAACACACCATAGGAGAATGTAGAGAAAGCACAGTGCATGTCTAAAGTGGTCGAGAGATGATAAAAGGAACTTTGTAATTTGTAAAGCAAGGAACCTGCCGGTTGGTGGCCAGCAGTCTGGCACCTTGAAATTGACCCAACCCAAAACAATAATTACTCTAAGTGCCCAATCCGGGGGAGAACTATGTGAACAAGTGTGAACTGAGACGAACTGAGTAACGTGTTTACAATGTATAGGCCTGTTTATCGCCTGGATCCGCATCACTAGAGCAGCCGTATACATCGTACTTTTCATAAATGGCAGGACCAAATCCTATCGGCAGCTGAATCTGTCTCATGGCAGCTGATCAGAACTGCAAAGAGTTGTCTACATCGTTGAGCATGTCATCTATGTCTATGTGATGACATCTTGATTCCAGAAATCTTGCCGGTGTCCAATCACAGGCCCCAAGGCTTGTTATCCTTTTTTCGCGGTATCAAACTAGCAATCCATACTTCTATATCAATCTATATCATTCTATATCATATATCAAGGTAGTGTATGAATTTGGTGCCAAAGAATTCAACGAATGATGATCGTCATGATCATCTTCAAACACCAAAGACCAAGGACCTCACCTATGCGGCCGAGTCGGCCTCCTGGCTGCATGACGCGATGAGTCGCGGTGAGATGCAACTGATTTGTTCCCGATTTGGTCGGCAGCTCCAGCTTCAGGCCAAAGACGCAACGATTACCATTCTTTCTGGTGCTGCTTCCAGCCTATTTTGCTGGTGTGGGAGCTCATTTATATTCTCATATATTCTCATTTGAGCTCATTTATCCCTGATACATTGAATGAGCTTGCCATGCTTGCGTGATACGATATCGCTGCTGCACAACATGCGCACATGTTGGCTTGTTCAACCCTATCTCATCCCATATTGTTTGGTTGACAAGGCTGCCTTTTGTTGTTCAGAATTTGCATTCTTCAGCCACAACAGTAGACAGTAGCTGACACCAAAGCTTCCCACGCCTCCCCTGCTGACTACAAGATCGGGTCTCACTGAGTTGACCAAAACCTTACTGACTCAGTCATGAGATCGTTCAATGAGGATATCTGAGGATATTTTCCAAGTTACTGTAGGGGAAGCGTGGCAATGGGCAGGTTTCAGTTATATAAATTATAAATCGTTTCAGCATGTTTCAGCTTCATATATTACAGACCTATAGGTCTATATAATATATGAAGCTGAAACATGCTGAAACGTTGCATGACAAAGATCCTAGGGTTCCCCACTATGTAATCAGACGCCAAATTAAAATGTATTTAATTACTATAGGTTTACTCCTGACTTCAGGGCTCAAGTGTGATGCAGCACGCAGCGAATGTGCAATCATTTGACTTCATCGGGGATAAACTTCAACATACTCCAGGCCCACACCTTATCGGCGGTTCTCTCACAGCAGATATCAAGCAAAATGCTTCGGACTCGCCTGGCACCATTCTTTGGCTCAAACGCCATTTACCAGGCTTATCACATGCGCGCACACGGCGCCACGGGCACGTGTGGCTGGGCCGAGAAGTTTCTTGGTCTGGATTTAGAAAGCAGTGTGTTTGGCTCAAGGAGTTTAGCCATCTAATGAAGACCTAGTAATTATCAAACAAAAGGAGCTGACTAGATGCAGAATCATGCAGATATGATTCAACATTGAATGCATTAATTTTTCTCCTTCTCCCCTGTCCTGCGGTGAGCTTTGCAGAAACCAATCGCACACCGACGAGCAAAAAGACGATAGAGACGCACCCCCTTGGATCCAATCTGTCTTAGACTTCTTTTGACACTTCGGGACATCACTTTGGCTCAAAATATCCGGGCCATTTCGTTTCCATATGTTTTCATATGTCATAAATCTAGGTGTTTCATGGTGTTTCAAGCCAACCAGTGAAGCCCAGGGTCCCCTTCTGGTCCCCTTCCAGACCTGAGCAGCTTTCGGAGGCCATGAAACCGGCACGGCACATGGCCCTGGCGGGCCGATCGCTTAGGGCCGGTCTGCTGGTGCCTCGTGCTCGTCACACGGCGCGGCGCACCTTCTATGAGGAGCCCTTGTTTTTTTTCTCAGAAAAAGAGGATAAAAGAGGCATGTTCTTATTGTTCTTTGCATGTGTTTGCCTTTGCATCCTGATGCATCATGATATATTCGGACATACTCGGACCACTTTCTTCAAAATGAACTACAATATGGATGTTCGATCCGTGGCAGAAGCATTGAAACAGTATGTCCTTAGCTTTGGTATTTGGGATCGCGGAGTTGGTAACAGTTGGGCAATGTTTTGACTTGGACTTGGTATGCTTTGGCATTTTGAGTCATAAACTTTTCTCGATATGACTTCTCGGTCCCCACGGTCCATTTGCCTCATTACTATTTGACATGTAGGGCACTGTAAGGCCGAAAGGCTACATTGTTCGCAAGTGAAAGTCCCTCGCTGCTCGGACTGAGCAAGCGAAGCGCAGGATGCAGTGGCGTCAGGTGTCAATGCCAGGTACTTGGAGAACCTTTACTTGTGACTGGGTTGCATGGAGTGATATGATACTAGTAATTATGGATGATAGATGATGATATGGTAGCTGCTGCTAGCTTCATCTAAAGCAACTTGTGCCTAGCCTTCCACAACTCTGAAACCAAGGCAGTGGAAGGTGAACCCTGCAAAACTTGACACCCAGTGGAATGACTACTTTCGAGCATTGGAGGCACAGAGAGGGAAGTGCCACATGTTCAACTGGTTCGAAGGCTTCAAAGATCTGAAAGGATTCCGTTAGTGGCATGAGATGATGGACAATAGCGGACTCAATTGGACTCAAGATAAGTTCTTTTTGACTGAAGGAGGTTTCAGGTAGCCAGAGCCACTGAGGTGTTGTTGAATGCGGCGCATGGGGAGTCTGACGTGCTCATATTTGCTATATTATTGGAATATTTGGACTTGTGACGACTTGTGACATCTCCATGGCCGATGTTGATATTTTTTCGTGGTGGATCTCGCTGCTGGAAGTTGGCTTTGGCTCAAGAATTCACATTGGCCAAAAGGGCCGAGACTAAGCTTTTAGCCCGCTGCCCGCTGCCCGTCGCTGCTCGTCCATCCGTTGCTCGCTGCTTTGCATCGCTCACTCGCATGGAGCCCTCCTACGCACTTCAGGAGACTTGGGAGGGTCTGGGCAGGTGGAGGGCACTGGATGACAATTTGTGGCACATAAATGCATGTCAAATTAGATCAAATGAATCAAAGGTATAAAGTACATAAGCAATGCATAAGCAAATTCTATCAATATGTTATATATATAATATATAATATATATATAATACAGTATCTTCACAGACGGTTGTGAACATTGGCAGTTTGTGCGGGATGTCTGGGCCTGGCAAGTGGCTGTGGAAGACGATGATCGATAATGCATACAGCATGTCAAGTATATGTAGGGAGGGCAAACTTTGCCTCGCAATATCACGGAACTGCTGATTTCTGACTTTTAGGGGCAGGATACCGGAAAGATCTCAGCATTTGGCCGTTCAAGGTGAATTTGTGTCACGTCAATTCTATCAATTTTTTCTCACCAACACACCTATTTTGTTTATTTTCGTTTTGCTACTTAGCGGCAGGCTGTCCATGGTCTACGGTCATTGATGTGCCATTGCAGGACGAGTCGCAACAATCCAGATCCAGCGGAGAGGCCAGGCCTTCTCAGAGATGTAAATTGAAACAATTTCTTCTCCTCTGGGCCTTTGGGGCCCAGTCTGGGGCTTTGCTTCCTGGTTTGATAGGAGCCACTCCACATCAAGTAACTATAGCCGCATCCTGTGTAGCTAAGTATGGTAATCATCGGTATTCATATGTAATCATTGGGAGTGCTGGAATTCCGGAATGAGCCTAATCGGAAAAGGGGATGACGCTCACATCCTCAATCGGTTCAGGACGACTATGTACATCATGTACGGAGCAAGAGCAACAAGAGCACCAAGAGCCAATCAATAGATGCCTCTCGATATATTCTGCCAGACTTTTCACATGCAGTTACTGGCTGGAGGAGTTTTTTCCATCAGACGGATAGCCATGATCCCGTGCCTAGTAATAATGATTTGGCAGTATGGCAATAGGGAGGTCTCAAGGTACCTTGCAGGATGTCAGCTACTCGTGCCGGGGGCAGCTTCTGCCCTATGTTTGTGCCACATGAACTGCGGTTCTTGAGATATCAGATAGAGACATGCCAGCTACCCACTGTTTCTTGATGAAGCCCACAAATGGAAGGAATTCCAATGATTCATACGGCAGCTCAAGCGCCCATGGAAATGCTAGAACATTAAATAAATAATTGAAATTAGATGAATGAATAAATAAATGCACACACACACACATATATATATATTATATTAAATACACAAATAATCCTAAATAACTAAATAAATGAATAAACAAATAAATATATATAAAGATTATATTCACCAGCTTGCAGCTGAGCCAGTGCGATTTGTGGGCAATTTTGAATGGCATGAACGGGCTGGGTCCAAGGGCGAAAGCCAAAGAACCACGGAGCTCCAGCCGCTGGAGCCCTTCGAAAGACATCCGACAGACCGATCCTCAAACTGTCTCGAAGACGATGAGAAGGTCGGAATGCACCGGCATACAAAACAGACATAAGCAGACCTATGTTAGCCCAGAAATGCATAATTGTAGCGTCTCTGAATGAACCAAATTCTGAATTGGCAGACTCAGGGCCAGTCCGGTCCCAACCTTTCTTGAAACGAAACTTCGTTATCTTCTTTATTGTCAGTCGTGACCGCCGAAGGTGGAAATGCCGCGGAGTTCCAAACCAGTCGCCCCAGGCGTCATCTTTCAAGGCCATCGGCGGAGACGGGCACCCTTGATCCGCCATGCTGCAACCGATGGGGCTTTATCTTTGATTTTCCAGGGCCTTAATGGTTAAGTGATGTTAAGTTGTGACAAAACAAGACGTTACAGGAGCCATCTGGGATAGAATGCACACTACTGCACACACAGACGCAGACACACACTTGCTCAGAACTGTCATTGCGAACTATGTTGTGGAGTGCATCTTACGTGCAAAAACAATCCTGTTAAACCTGACAGGAATAGGTCACTGATAGGACCGGAAAAACAGTGAAAGCTGCCATCGCCATAGCCAGTGCTAAAAGGTTGAATTGGAGGCTGACCCTTCCCTTTCAACGAAGCCATATCGCTCCCAACTTGACAGATTGCGAAAACCGTACAGGATCAAAGTGACATCAAATTGAAGTCCAAAAGTTCAGGTTGGTTTGAAAAAACCGTTTGAAGAATCGACATCCGGTGCTTGGCCTAGCCGGACGCCGCACTCGAAGATTGAAAAAAACCTTGACATGGAAATGGTTGCAAAACGAGTGCAGGTAAGGTGATCAGCCTGGATATCCTAAGGACACCATAGAGAGCTTCGTTGGGCACAGCTCTATGGGCCTTCTGTGCCCCCCTGCATGAGCTAGATACAAAAAAAAGAAACAAACGAGTAGAAGTTTTACATCTCTTCAGATGGTTCACACACACACACACGTTCATACTTTATGTATCTTTATGTATCTTTATGTGATAAATTCATGTTCACACACAGGCACACACGCGCACCTAGGGTCATATAGACCATCTGTATCCATTTGTAGTTAACGGTTTTGCTTTCACTTTCATAATTTTGGATAGGCCACCGCAGCTCGACAGGTTCAGGTTTCCTGCAGCCATCCTGGTATCCTTACAGTTGGATTGGATCTCCTGAAAATCCTCAAGCATTGCCATATGGAAAATGGAGATGGGAAAATTCTGTGGGAACATGCGCGTATATAGCTTTGTCAGACACGGGCAAATGAGCCATGCATGTTCATGACAATCATGATGTGGAAAGGGCCAATCTTAATATACAGCATAGCATATCCATGCATATCTATTTCTTTGCAATATACAGTAGAGGCTATCCAGGCTGTCCATATCTGTCCATGGCTGTCGGGAAAGTGCACGCTGCCACAGCGACTCACAGGAAAGGCAGATCTTGGCCTCATGTCGTCTGAATGTCTCATGCTTCGAGAGCTGCTTGTCTCATCCCGTGAGGCACTTCTCCGTGGTCACAGGTCACAGGTCAGATATGGTCAGATGGTGGATGATACTTCTCGTTGGCCTTAGGGCCTAAGATTGCATGGGAAGACATGGGAACACCGTGGTGACAACCATGTGCATGCAATTGTGTTTCGGTGGTTGAACCATGGTGACTTGCCAAGGCTCTTGCAGTCTCAGCATGAGGATATGATGATCCGGTTTGACCATCAGCAGGATGCGCAGCATGTGTAGTGCAGTCACCGTTGGAAGCGTTTGGTTTGCCACAAAACTGTTCGCGGTTGGTGTTTTTCTTTGATGGATTTCATTCATTTGGCCCCACAACAACTGATCAGGAGATGCTGAACAAGATCTATAGAACTCGTGGGAGCAATATGTCTGCAGTATCACGCGACAGACATCCATCTATTGTGTCCACGGCATCAGGGAAGCCATCTCAAAGCAGACGTCGATCTGCCACACGTCTGAAATAGATATGACCTGGCACCATGCCAGGTCCATACCAGGACCAGGTCAATGGTCAAGAATGTCAAGAGTCAAGGTACAGCTGGAATCCGACACCGGCTCACTGTGCTAATCTTCTCCGAACATTTTGAGGGTTGCCATTATTTGAACTAGGCCTGGGTGACCTGACTGTCTGTCATACGGATCATATCCATTCATATTTTCGAAGTTTTGCAAGTCATGTGGTTGTCTTTGCAAAGAACTGTTTCTTTTTTACTTACCCGAATGTTTGTGTTCAACTGTTAGGCTACTATATCATACCATGTCATACTATATCTGCTGGGTGACAACAACAGACCTTGGACTTGAGAGCTCATGGGTAAGCCACAGTGTGCTTGCAGCCCTTTTCCTTTCAGACACCGATGTATAAAATTGTATAAACAAATAACTTTATATATATATATATACATATATATTTAATTATATACATATCCAGAAGATTGCGGTTTCTCAATGTACAGTACTTTGATGTACCTAGTATATAACTTCGCAGATACACGGTCCAGTCATGGTCCAGTTATGGTCCAGTCATGGAAATTTGGGGTGAAGCCGGTAGTGAGGTGCGGCAATCGCCACAGAAAATGCCCGATGGAGGTGGTTCCGCTGGATTGTTGGTACGTGTGGATTCACCACAGGCCTTGGAGCTCTTGGACCGGACTTGGCATGGATAGGGTTCAAGGGGCGAAAAGCTGAAGAGTCTTCAGTCTGAGTACAGTATTGGCGATCTTAGTGGACTGAGCCGGGATTCAAAACGGGACAGGTGACTATCTTGACCCACGGCCTCCCACCCCAGCAATCCGCGATCCATCGGGATCTGCCGCGATCCGCAGGCCACTTCTTTTCAAAGCAAGACCAAGCTCTTCAGTTCGCTCACTCGCGTTGACGAAGAGCTGCGGCAGAAAGCTGCTGTTGTCGATGCTGAGCAGGCCAAGGCCCATCGCAAATTCACCGAGGAGGAAAGTGAAGATGGCAGAGACTGGGCTGCAGACCAGGACTGTGACAGGGTGGACGGGGTGGTTGGCGGCGGCTGCTGCTGCTGCTGCTGCTGGATTAAGGGACCTAATATGGGACACAATATAGAAGCAACCAATAAACATATATGATCATATATGAACAAGTGACAAACCGTATTTGATAAGATATAAAGCCATCCTTGGTGCTGGATATCGCAAGGCTTCATTCAGGATGGACCATTCTTCTTGCAGCTCCCGCTAGGCTGCTAGGCCCTTTTGGCCACTAGATTCACTAGATACTCACAGGAAGGTTGAAGTCTGTGCCACGTTGAGCACGGTCTAAGCCACGTGTGCAGAATTGGATTTCATTGGAACATCGCCACATGGCATGCAGATTCTTTTGGGAATCTGTAATCAACTCATGGGGAGCTTCATGATCATTCATGATCCGTCAATTCTATACATATATATATATATCAATCTTTCTATGTAGAACTTCCAGGTTCAAAGTCGACATGTCCCCTCCTTGTCCAATGTTCAGACTGTGCACTTTGCTCCCAGGCCTTCACTTTTTCGAGGCCTTCGTTGCGAACCCTTGGTTCGACCTTTTCTTCGCTATCGCCATCCTCACAAATGCCATTTTCATCGGTTTCGAGGTGATGTTTTGGACATTGCTGGAGTTGGGTGGTCAACATAGGGTGAGTGGGTGATAGAGGTGCTTGCGAGTTGTAGCCTGTTTAGAAATCACGTTGTAACATGCCTACCTGCAATATTACAGGGGTGGACGATGTTGAAGCGTGTGACATGCTGACAGTGTGCTGAGGCCGCAACATCACTGAGTGTCACACCCATTTTGAATTTTATAGATTTCTTTGCATTTGACTGCCGAAAGAATCCGAACTATGTGCCAAGCAAGGCAGACCTAGGCCTTAGGCACTTGATCGTCAAATCTGTGGAATGTTGCCCTTGACAGACTCGACAGGTGCAGGCCTCTATACCAAAGTTTGATGAGAATTCACCGGGAGAGCCGGGCGTGTCCACAATAGATGACGAGTTAGCAGTAATGCTGCTTGCCTGCAATGCCTTCGCAGCTCTGGATGCTTCTGACTTGGCCTGCCCGCAGTGAAAATGTTTATGCCCTCTGTGTATCTCTGTGTCAGACTTAGGCAGGATGTGTTCACCGGTGTTGGCACTCTTGAACCAACCCACAGTTTTGCATGGCTGGGACGGCTCCGGTGTTTCTGATTCTTTCCCACTCTGCAAGTCTTGTTCACGCTGTGGGGTTTGATGCCTCAGGTCAGTAGCCTCAGGGTGCAGCCGGATGTGGCTCCCCATGGCTCCCCTAAAAGAAAGAAAGAACGAAAGAACGAAAGACAGTCAAAGAGAGAAAGTCAAAGAAAGAAAAAACGAAAAGAAAGAAAGAAACAAAGAAAGAAAGAAAGAAAGAAAGAAAGGAAGGAAGGAAGGAAGGAAGGAAGGAAAGAAAGAACGAACGAACGAACGAATGAACGCACCAACGAACCAACGAACGAACCAACGAACGAATCAACGAACGAACGAACGAATGAACGCAATGACATATAATTATTAGAAACAATTATAAACAGTTATAAGTTATATGTAAACAAATAAAGAAACACCCCGAAATTTAAAAAATAGAGATAGATCGATCGATAGATAGACAGATAGATTCACACTTTCATAGATATAGACATAAACAGAGATACAGATCGTTATATAGACCTTGGATTTCCAAAGCCTATTTTAAAAATGTTCTTTTCTGGAAAAGGCCATTTCACGGTTTGTGGAAACGGTCTTTCGCAATCACGGTATGGTTTAGTTCAAGCTTGTAGATTATCATTCGTTAACAGATTTTAGACGATGTTGCATCTCACTGCATGTAGAGACAGGATGAGACAGGCTCATCCATGATCTGAGCCACGTTTCATGATGTTTCATGTGGGGCCCCGGCTTATACACAGACAACTGAATACGGCGATATGGGGGGGCCGGGGGGTGCTAATTTACATGGAGCAAAGGACTGTTGAAACATGTTGAAACCACAATGTGTAACTGACATGAAATTGTGCAGTTCAAAACCCCAAAAGGGCAAAATATTCCAAATGAATATTTACTGATTTCAGAGTAGCATGAATACAGAAATAGATGATAAACCTTTCCGGTCACGGCAAACCAGAAGCAACCCTGGCAGCAAACATTTGCTTTCACATAGATACTCAGAAGTTTGCTGCTTTCACCTGGGTCAACTCAAACTGGGGGATTGATTGTTCCTTTTGTCGTACTGAGTCTTTTGTCTGCTATCTGACAATTTGTCTTGGTCCCATTGATGCTGGTGAATTTGCGCTTAGGACCTTTCCATTCAACGTGAGAAGTGAATAAGACAAACAAAAAGATAGGGATGAGGCAATCTGGAAAGAGAACAGTGCAGTGGGAGCAATTATATAATCATCACCATTGTCAGAAGCTAAAAATAATTAAAACATTGTTCCACAAAAGTAATGCACTCACAGGTCAAGAGGGGGGAGCTAGCCGAAAAGGAAAGTGGCCACAATGCCTGGCACAAGTGAGCGCTTCAACGTGCAACTTGAAAAAATGTAATTAAAGTCAATGCTAAATCAGAAAGCAGGTGCAACACGTACTGTAGTAAATGTGGTTGAGTCAAAGTAAACTTCTTGATCCGGCCAAGTATTGCCCAGATTTGCTCTGATTGATGTTTGGTTTCACTGAAGTATCCTGACTTCGGTGGACGTAGTTCCAGTATCCCAATATGCGGCTTTGTCCAAGAATGTGAGTGACAGTGGCATGTGCCAATTGTTTTGAAGCAGCATTTTGCGTTTTGATATCTGCATGGATCATTCAATACTTTTGCATACTCATGCGCCCCCTTATACGCAACTATGGCAAATTGCCCCGCAAATCTAAGACCCATACCTAGCTTCTCTGCTAGATAATGGTCCAGATTGGTCCAGTCACACTGTGCTAATTGGATCTGTCACCTGCACAGTTAGAGCAAGAAAAGAACTGTAAGTAGCAAATTTTGGCTATCTTTGGTGCATTTGTCTTTCACGGCTAAAAACGGTCTTTCACGGCTAAAAATGGTTCTTTCACGGTTTTTTCACGTTTTTTTCATGCTAGTTCGGCCCCTCTTTCTGTCTGACAAAGCTTTGACAATGCCCTCGGTCGACACTTGACCTCAAATGCATACCAAGTGAACCCATGGCCAGACCTAAAGCTTGTGCATTAGCGCAATAAATTTTGTTAGATCGCACAATGTCTGCCATTGCTGGCCAAGTTTTGGTTCGACTATGTTATTGCACGTTTCTTTTTGGCAAAGACAAGCAATGGTATACGAGTAGACCCAAGACTCAAGGCCGAAGATCTGCACAAAGCAAGCGTGAATGCTTGCATGTGCGTGTGTGTATTTGTGTGTGTGTATGTTTGTCTGTGTGCGCGTGCACATGAATGAGTTTGTGTTGTTTGAGGTCAGGAATTCCTTTGAAGCACGGTGAAGCATACAAATGAGCCGAATTCTTTTCTCATGCGCTTTTGAATCATGAAACAAATGCCGGGAAGGTTTCTGGCCGTGCTATGCTCATCTATCTTAATTCATGATATGCAAATGGTGTGTGATTTTGTTTTTTTCCCTGGAATTGATTACCGGCGTTACTTCTGCGAATGAGATAATTCAATATCCAGCTTTCTGCAGAATCTTATGGCATTTCTCTCTCTCTCTCTCGGGATGAAACTAATGGAGCAAATTTTGCAGTCGCCCCGTTTGGGCGATCTCGGGTAGGTCAGAACCGAAAAACCGGAAAGAAACATGTGCAGCAACAACCGCTATTTTGACTTCTGCCATGCAAGCGGGCTCTGACTCGAAAGAAAATCTGGCAATAGCAACAAAGGTTTTGGAGTGGAATGATGAAAATAATGTTGTCTTGTGAAAACGATAATTATGATGTTATGTACATTGCTCTAGTGTTTCGCTAGAATTGGTTTTTCGAATACTAGGCTAAAAGATAAGCCTCAACTTATTCATGATGATGCATACTGTACCTGCCCAGTTTGTGTTGATGATGGAATTCACTCAATAAAGATCAATAAAACCCTCTAATGGAGAAGCTACTTTCGAAGGTTTGCTTCATTTGCTACTTTTGAGTGTGAACTGAGTAGCACATAGATGTAGATAGTACATATCTTGCTTGTCAGGCTAAACATGCTGCAAATTGCATAAGACCAGTAGCAAATGGGTATGTTCAAACAAGTCTGAAAGTCTTTCGTCACTAAAAATGGTCTTTCCCCAAAGATCATTAAAAACAGAGTCCTGGACTCCCAGGGTAGATATAGATAGGGAATGATAGGTACATAAATCGAAAATATTAGATTGGATTGGATTAGAGTAGATTAGATTATATAGATAAGATTAGATCAGATTAGATAGATAGTAATACCCTATGCTTCCAAAGGACATATTTGGTATAGTCGTTACGTGCTAGCCTATACCGGGGTTTTGGAGGCTATACCAGGATGTTTTCCTGGTATAGGCGAGCAGTTTTCCCAGTATAGGCTTTCATGCAATCCCTGTATAGGCGTTCATGGTTTCCCGGTATAGGCGCTAAGCCCCTTGAGTCCATACGTATAGGCTGTGAACCATCCCCTGCACAATCTAGATTGTTTTTTTGCAAGCTATTTCATTTGTGTGCGCGAACCCGACCTCGTGTTTGCTCATTGAAGCTGGGCACAAACAAACCGCCAAAAGTCAAAACAAACAGCTATCAAAAAAAACGATTTCGTTTTTTTTTGTGATCTCCCAGTTCATGTCCCGGTATAGGCGTTCCACGTCCCAGTATAGGCGTTCCACGTCCCAGCATGATCCAGCATGGGCGTTCCACGAGTTGTCCTCGGGTTGTCCTCGGCTCCCTGTGCTTTCAACATGCCATCTTTTATCTTGCTGAAATTCTCTGAATGTTTCTGATATCCTGACTCAAACTCCCGAGCGCATGCTCGTTTCCAAGAAAATTGTCGATCGTTTTTTTTCTGCTGGGCATTTGTGGACAATCCAAAGGGGTCTTAGCATATCCTATTACTATTCCTTGGGCCAGTATCCTGGTATATCCTGGTACAACCCTTAGGCCAATCCCGGTATAGTCGTTCGTGGCTTCCTGGTATGTCCGAGGTGTTATCCTGGTATGTTCGAGCGAAACCCCGTATGTTCAAGCATTCCCAGTATGTTCGAGGCTATACCAGATATGGTCCAGGAAGCATAGGGAATAGCTAGCGAATCTACGATATATTTGATCAGTGTTCTCTTGGTTGCCTAAAGTGACCATGCGTGTCCGTGCTTTTGTTTCGCAAGGCTTTCCATCTTTGGCAAAGCATATGCCGGCCTCTTCTTTGTGGAGCTTTGCATTCGCGTGCTTGCTCAAAGACGGAGCTTTGTGTCTATGCAACTTGGCTGGAGGTGGGCAGTATCATCGGAATAGGTTGAGACAGCTGAACATGTCTCAAGCTCTCCTTTGGATGAGCCATTGCCGCCTCAAATGAAACTGAATTAATCGTGTTAATAGTGATTGGTGATGATTCGTGAGTGTTTGCATGAAGAAACGGGAACAACTCCTTTTGAGTGTCACAGCTTCCTCAAAGAGGTTTTGGCGCGGGGATTGTGTGACAAGCTAGGACATTGGGAAGAGTCAGCAGACACCAAGACATCAAAGCTTTATATAATGGTGTCAACGACTGTAGTTTTTTTTTGTGCTTCCCAAACATATCAGGGAGTGTTTGGAGCAAGTAACCATGTGCAAAATTCAGGCGGTGATCTGTGTTTCAGGAGAAATCCGGAATGGAGATGGAATCTGATGGACTCAATCATAGTCCTGGCCTCTTTGGTGGAGATTATCTTTGAAGTGAGCAGTTATGCATCCGGTGCGGAGGAGATGAGCTTGACGGGTATGTCAGGCGCAGGGTTTCCAGGGTTCAAACATCCACCAAGTCACTCAACTTTCCGTAGGCAGTGGATCATCACTGGGATTTTGCCGCCTAGTCTCTCTAAAATCTGGATCATGGCTGATATGGCAGTGGCCAGCAAATGCAACAACTGTCTGGGTTTGCTTGAGAGCACGCCCCAAAATACGAACTTGGAACATTATTGTTTGATATTGTTTGATTTTGTTCGATATTTTTTATTCTTGGTGTCACGGCAAGCTTTGCCCATCTTTGCGCACCATCGCCGATGAGTTGGATTTGTTTTGCCTGGGAAGGCCTTCGGACCTTGCGAATTATTCGCATCACCCGCCTGGTGAAGATTGCCCGTTTGGCCCGCATCTTGCGCTTTGTGATGGCACTCAGGACGCCTCGGCTGTGTTGACAGATGTTGCCAGCGACAAATCTGGAAAATCAAGGTAAACAATGCTGCTGGCCATGTCTTTGTTCACCTTGCGATCGGTGTGCCTACTGATCCTTTTTTTTCCACTTGAATCTGATTCGGCCAAGCATTCTATGTTACATTCTATGTTAGATGATGAGGTTCATCGAGTGATATGTACGTATATTAATATAGATATATAATAGTTGTATAATGTTGTATATATGCACGAAAGGGCAGAATGTAGTCATGTTGGGAGAAGCGCTCTTGGAGGACATTGACGCAATCTATCCTGCATACTTCGAAATCTTTGATTTGGGCCGTGGTTCTGCTGCTTTTGATTGTATACACGTTGCTTGAAACAATTGCGTGTGTGTGTGTGTTCTATGTTTCCATGTTCAAGGATGCGTTTAAGTCAATGCCAATCCTTAAACATGAAGTCCCCAGATGGCTGTCCCCAAGTCGACCAATGGCACATGGCAAAACAGTTGGTTGTTTCTCAAACTTTGGCAGATGACACAGGCATGCACTTGTTGTATCGCAGTAATTAATGTGCCAAATACTTCATCAACAAGGATGGTGTGATTCAGAGTGCATCTTCACTTCACTCCATTTTGAATGCCCCCCCCATGCCTGACAAAACTTTGAATGCAACCAACATAGGGCCCAGTCAGCCATTGTCAACCAAACCCGGCAATTGTAATTCAGAAAAGCACGTTGTGCAGGTTTTCAGTTGCTTTTAGGCTTCCCTGGCCGCCCTGGCCAAGGTTTGCAATTCTTTTCACACAGGTTGTCAACGACTACATGCGACTTGCCTGATGTACAGGGGAATGCAACGATGTGCAAAGATGGGACTGGTCGCCAAATTTGGCCGCAAGAGTCAACACATGTGGAGGTTGGCTCTTGGCCCTGGCTTCTAGTGCATGTTCTCTTTCAAGGGTGAAGCACCAGTTGTATAACGCTCTGGTGACCAAGGCAAGATACAAATACTACCATGACTCTTGAAGAATGGGAGCTTGGACGGCGCTACTTCAGCTCCCTCCCAAAGGCCTCCAGGGAGAAAACCGATTCATGGAACCTGACACATTTCTTCGGTGTCTTTATACGCCTCTATTTGATTCTATTTGATTTCCGGATTTTTGGGCATGGGTGTGAAACCAAAGACACAAAGGCAATGCTTGGGGCATATTGGGGCTAAGACTGGTCAAAGAAAAAGACTAATCACAAAGTTACTCTTGCTTCAGCAAGGGGAGGGGCAGGTCTGAGTCCAATGCAGTGATTTTTCACTCGAACCCCCTGAAGCAGATGGTCACGGGCTCAAATCCTGCCAGGTCTCTAGATTCTAGGCGATCTGTATTCAGCATATCCAACTCCCATCAAAATCCCATCGTGTTTCAAGGCTCATATGAACCGTAGCTTTCGTTCACCCCCCCCTTGGGCCTCAAGTTAGCATGACACCCCCCGAACTTGGCAGCATGGTTCGACAGATCTCACAGATTTGCCAGGCAATGCTATGCCTGTACATGAGCATTGCCAATGGTGTTTCCTGGGAGCAAGTCATTATTCCTTTAAACGCGGTATCTGGCCTCAAAGATGCCTGCGTCGGTGTTGGGCAACGCCAAGCAACGCATATCGATGGTACGGCCAGCGATGCTAACCCTCTTTATCCCTCTTTCAAAACCACTCATCAAGGAGGGAACACACGACTCCAGAAGCATTCTGTTCAATTTGCATGCAGAGGCTCCATTACGAGTGGAAATCAGTTATAGAAGGCATTGAACACAGGCAGGTACAAAAGATGCGTGGCCTAGATGCCACGCCACTCACTCAGAAACTTTGTGGCAACGTGTTTGACTACCACAGATGTTGATCCAAGATGATGAGGAGCAATTCAGAAAGTTTGCATCAGAAGCCCAACCTTCAGATTGTGTTGATGCAACCTGGCCAGCCACTTTGGCTGAGGTATCTGTGGTATGGGACTTCATGTTCCTGTTCTACATTGCGTTCGCTACACTTGCAGTGCCTAGACTGGCAAGGTCAACAGGAAGATTCAGGAAGATTCTTTTGACCATCTTACCCCCCCAATATCCTCTCCTTCCTTGAAGATCTGCAACTCGCTGCATCAGGTGCTGAACGTGATCACGGGTGCTTGGTCTGCTTTGGTTTCTACAAGCCTTTACAAACCAAACCGTTTGTTTTGGCAACCTTAGGCATTTTTGCTTATTCTTATTATTTCTTATTATTATACAGTCACCGGTTCGGTCTGATTGTGGTTTGCATGTGTTGTTTGTTCAGTGCATTTCAGTTGGGATCATTAGTACTCAAGAACATTTGAACCACAATGAATCGCAGCTTCAGGCGGATTTGTTTTGTATGTTGTGTCATTTTACGCATTCTCCGCCGGTTCAGCGTGCCTGCAGGTGTTTTCTGAACCTAGTTTGCAATTATCAGGGCCGATCTCATGGAAATGGGCAATGTTGGATGTCTACAAACCAGTATAATCAGACTTGAGCTGACATGAACGCATTGCCAGTGACGTAACTTTTCGTCGGCGCCAAGTAGAAGTTTCACAGCAAACCCACCCCTTCCCTTTGAATTGACCACCCTCCCACACGTTCGGAAGATTTGTAGCTATACCAATTGCATTCGTGCTTACCTTGATCATATTTACATTAGATACATTACATCCATAATCATACCAACCATCGAAATCCATGGGAACATGTTCCCGATCTTAAGTGGCAAGGTCAAAGTGCCATTGATAGCGCGCAGAGCGACCATGAAATGGTGATCCAATCGATCATGAACAACAAGGACATTTTGCAGTGTTGATTTGTCGTCCGGACCGCAGATAAGAGGGTATCAACCGATGCCATGCGTGCTGCACCGATCCAATAAATGCAGACATAGCCATAGTGCATAGTGGTTCTACCAATACCTCATGTACATCTTACTTCAATCATCTTCATATATACAGATATATACAGTACTTCTACGTTTTATGCCCAATTTGCTGTGACCATGGCTTTTAGACCCGGGCTAACCAGCTGGTACAAACCTTCCATGTCTCAGTCATGCAGAGATTTTGTTTTAGTGTTTTTTTTAATGTTTTTTTCAAAGACTGCCTGGTTCCAGGCTATCCCGTTCCACATTTGCAACCAGATTGCATCCCATGCAAGATGCAAGGGACGCCAAACCAGAATCGTTGGAAAGGTTGGCACCTTAAACATGTCTCAATGCCCTTGGATGATCTTGAATGTTTTTGGCGCAGGTGTCAGATGCGACGGAACGCAAAAGGGATTGGCTAGAAGTATTTCCTTAAGCAATGAAATCAACTCGTTAAGCGGATGGAGCTGACTGAAAGCCAGTCTACTTTGGGTCCCGACCAGCTCTCCTTAGTCCAACCCAAATTTGTTTGGCCCTTCTTCTGCTTCTTCTTTTCCAGGATGCGCATATTGAAAAGATCCGCATGCTGTTCTCAGAGATCGATGAAGATGAAAGCGGGGTCATTACCTATCAGATGTTTGAGAAAGGCATCCGGTCACAAGATGTGAAGATGCTTGGCAGATGCGATAGCGCCTCCGTCAACCCAGTTGTTCAGCATCTCTCGACATCATGACACATTGTAAGGTTCGTAAGCTCAAAACTTGTGGGGGGGCGTTCGGAATCATACGCAAGGACGATGGTTAAACATGGTTAAACAGCACCACTTTGGTGCTACCTTTTCGTTTCCCAGCACCATGGGTCGGAGCGCAGTTGCCACCTTTAGCCTGAAGATGGCATTGGCCCCAGCGCCACATCTGAGATCATCTGAGGACTTACTTTGAGTCGATTGACCTTGATGTTTGGGATGCGTGGACCTTCTTCAAGTTTCTTGGCTGACCTATCCTGAGACAGCTTGCAGATCAGCTTGTTGGTCGATTGCTCGGATGCGGCATGCCAGTGGATGTCTCTGGATCCTTTTATCATTGTAATTACGTCCTTTTGTCATCTTTTGTCCTTAATTTAAATGTTGAGTCAGTTGATGTCAGTCAGTCGTGATCGAATGATCGAATACTTCCACTCCTGCAGGCTGTTGGACATGGATTCCGGCGGCGCCGTGGAAATAGAAGAGTTCCTGATGGGGTGCTTACGACTACGTGGCAATGTGCCTAGGTCTGAAAGGATTTGAAGCTTCCAGCCAGTACAGCGTCTGGGGACTCTAGGCGGTGTCATCCAAAAAGAAAGTAGACAAACCGGAGAATGCAAGTATGCTTGCCATGCGTAGACATGGAAGGTCATGGAACACAAGAAAAACCATTTATACTTTGCTCTTTTAATATGTTTCACCTCATTTCAATCATATGCAGTCACTACCAAAAGAACAACTTCTGGAAAAGAGCACGGAGTTTCCAAGGAACTAGCTTTGATATGTTTTGATCCTCCTATGGTGCACCCCAAGAGAATGGGGGGGCTGGAGCCCCTAAAAAAAATAAAAAATCTAGCAAATCTGAAATAAAATGGGGTCAGACCCCAGCATTTTATTTTGTGGGGTGCATTTTATTTTTTGAGGGGCCCAACCCATCAACTTAACTGACAGAGATAGCATGATAGCAATGATGCACAGCTGTGAACGGTCTGATCATTGTGCGAAACCTTCCAGAGATTTGGAATCACTTGTAATCTATCTCATATGATATTGTTATCTATCTCACCAACAACTCATCAAAATCACACGGCTAAAAAACATAAACTTTACAAGACTAAAAGTGTTATAAGATGCTATTTATCAAAAAGGAAACTAAGTTTTGAACAAATAAATATGAACCACAATTACAAATAATAAAGATGAAATGATCGTGAGTAAGAACGATAATCCCAATGTATAACAAAAATGCTAGAGATGAATTAAGTTCTGAAACTGTAATGATTATGCATATCATGCTGTACAATTGTCTGTCAACGATCTAAGGAAATATAAAAATCAATATAACGAAAAAGAAATGCCGGGGCTGACGTCCAACAGTTGCCAGGTGGAGGGGGCCCGACGCCATATTCTCTTTGTGTTTGTCCAGTGTGTTTTGCTTGGATTATCATATCTTAGATCTTACCGTATGCCCTATCATTTTATTTACATTTTGTTCCTAGGCCCCTACATTTTATATGCGTCCTACCTTAGATTTTTTTGGGGTGGGACCTGGTTCTTGAAATCTTTTTTTCAAATTAGTTTCCATTTTTTCATTTTTTCCCCTAAATGTTGGTGTTAACATCAGCTAGCAAGAATCATAGCAAAATAATTTATCGATCCGTAACCTCCTGATGAGGTAAAATAATTTTCCTCTACAGAAGTTGAAGCACCTTGAAACAATTTTAGAAAATTGACTGAAGGCACCCCAAAAATAATTTCTCGATTGGGCAGGGGAAATTATTTCACAGAGTTCCAACTATAGAATAATTTCGCCAGGTTCACCACCAAAATAATTTATTGGGGAGAAAGGAGTCGATTGAGATTTCTTTGTCCAAAAGTCGATAATAAGTGGTTCAGTAGTGCCACCACCCCCAAAAAATAATTAGGTTCTCATGGTTTGATTCTTTCAGACAGTTTGGGTCTGTTTGGATCAATTCGGTACTTTTGACCTATTTAATCCAGGGGAAGTTGAGTTTTGCCACGTTAGGTCAATTGGTTTCCCCGGGTGGTCTAGTAGTATCCCCACCCCCAAAATAATTGTCTGGTGTGAAAGGGAGTCGGTTTAGAGATGATTTTATGCGATTTGTGGCGCCACCACCTCCTTTGTTTTTTTCCACGCTTGAGCGGCTGCCCTGCCAGGCGGCATCAGACGGCATCAGATTTTGTTGGTTAGTATTTTGAGGTGGCTCTACTGTTCTTTCAATCATTCATCACCATCTCCCACCATCTCAACATAATTTGGAAAAATATTTTGAGGCAAGGGATCTGCTTTGAGAGTAATAGTGGAACCACCACCAAATGACTGTTAGAAATTATTTTGACGTGGGTCGGTAGCTTGAAAGAAAATTATTTTGGGTGGGTGTTCCTGTTTTTGAAAATTATATTTTGCAGTGCCTCCCAACTATAAGCACCTCTGATTCATTTTTTATTTTATTTTAAGGGGCACCTAGTGTTTTTGCTTAAGGTAGCCCGCGTCATTTTCTAATATTTTTTTTGGGGTTGCACCCCGCCCTGGCACCACACGGGGATTGTTTTGATTGTTCTCAACGGGGGGGCTGTTTGCACATTGCATAGGCACAATCCTGGGGGATGCCACGGGCTTCCCGAACACCTTTTTTCACCTTTTGCCAGTCGCACTGCGCGCCTCCTATCAGTGATTTCTTGCAGTGCACCTAAGGCAAAAGCCATGGATATTGCAAAGCTTTGCCATGACCAAACGTGGCTCATCAAGGAGCAGGCGGATCATGGCAGATCACTGGTACTCACTGGCTTGCTTCGGTTTGTTGCATTTTTCCCCCACATCTTTGTGTGGGGTTCTTGTTTTTTGTTGTGCCGCTACCATTGCCAGCATAGGGCTGGCACGGAGGCCCTGATTTCGCAGTCGGCCTGCTCCTCGAGGTTGACTGCCAACAGGTCTCCCTGTTTTTGGCCAGCTTTCACCTGCTGCAGACCACCACTGCCAGCTTTGACCAGGTTCTGGTAAAACTTCTGGATATCGGAGCCAAAATCATGGCAAACCGTGGCAGTATATTTACTGTCACTGGCCTCGATCCATGACCTCAAGCCCCCTACACCGACGCATGGCTCTGCTGCTGCGGGGCAAAAGCGCCTCCTCCTCCTCCCGCCGCCGCACACACAACTCTCTCACACACAACTTACTCACACACACAACTGTCTCACACACACAACTTGCTCACACACAACTCTCTCACACACAACTCCCTCACACAACTCGATCACAACCAATTTACTCACACAACTCCATCACACACGCACACAACTCCATCACACACACACAGCCTACTGGCACACACAACCTACTCACACACACACAACTCGATCACACACACACACAACTTATGCACACACACACACAACTTACTCACACACAACTCACTCACACGCAACTCTCTACTCACACACACACAACTCGATCACACACAACTTACGCCAGACAGACAGACAGACAGACAGACAGACAGACAGACAGAGAGACAGAGACAGAGACAGAGACAGAGACAGAGACAGAGACAGACAGACAGAGACAGACAGAGACAGACAGAGACAGACAGACAGAGACAGAGAGACAGACACACACACACAAAAGCAACCCTCTCACACGCAAGTCTTTCATACGTACATTTCACCATCTCATGTCCCTTTCCTGCCTTTCCCATTCCGTCTTCACCTTTCTTTTGTGACTTATTGGAAGAAGCTGACATGTCGGGTTATCCATTCCTTTAGTTGCGACAGCCGGAAAGGGACGACAATGGATGCAGGAACATTACGAAACATATATAGACCCAGTTGGAACACGATCCGAGCTTTGAATTGCCGGTGGCGCTGCGGCACTTGTGAGCACTAAAGAAATATGCCAGGCCTTGGGACTACTATATATAAATCCATATAAAATTAACAGGCGTGGAATGTTGTAGAGGCAGGCCGCGAAGCAAGAGCACCGGCAAACGTAAAAACACGTATAAAACAATAAAACACATGTCAATAGCTACAGCAGTTGTCATAGTTGTCAGACGCAGCAGCAACCGCAGCAGCCGCAGCAACCAGTGGCAGCAGCCGCTGCAAAAGCACACTTGTTATTATTGAAGTGAACATGGTGACAAAATATTATGACCAACATTAACTAATATAACTAATTATTATATAATTACCCTGCTCTCACTTCGGCTGGCTTGACTCTGATATCTCTCCACTCCACCCTGGTTCCTGGAGGCTCGATTCTGGGAGTTTGTGGAGGAAGAACTCAACCACCTCCACACAGTCCATATGCAACTTGCACGAGCAGCGGCCGGCTATTGAGATCTGAAGCCGGATGAAGCCGGTGCACAGGTCTCGTTTTACCGTTTTCCTTGCGACATCCCAGGTCGCATGTCGCAGAATGTGACATGAAGATGTGGGCTTTCATTTTTTTACTGATCAGGATCGATAGGAGACCATCCCTTTCCCAGGTGAAAGAGTGCAAACAGGATAAACAGGTCAAAGCAGGCATTAAAACTTATGCAAGTCCATTATGCAAGCTCAAACAGGATAACAGGCCATGTTGGCAGGTGATTTTGTCAGACGAGTCTTCGGCGTTTGGGATTGGAGCTTAAAAAGTTCCATATGCATGGCCTGTCGGTAGCCAGTTGCTATCAGGGATTTGCATTTCAGATAGCCTGTGGATCAAAACAATCGTAATTTCCAATCGTACTGTATACGTTTGACTCAGCTACTTTTTCTTTTTGACAGGATTTGGCAAATTTCCCTATATGTTGGTGAGATGAGAAAAAGTGCAGGCTGCAAGTCCCTTCGAGCAAAGATTTACACCAAGTTTCAAGAAAGTAAGACACAAACATACTGTAGTGGTTTTGGTTTGGGATTGCATGGGATTGCTTTTCAATGACAGCGGCTAAGTATTCAGAACGGATTGAAGAAACCGGAGACCAGCAGCAAGCCCACGCCAAAGACTGCACCATCAGGCGCTTGTGGTGCTACATCCCTCCGATCTTGTTTGGTCAATCGGCATGATAGGCCACATATTGGCCACATAAACCTTTTTTCCATCTCAAATGTGTTGGGGCATATTTATGTTTGCACATCCACATCATTCTCCTATCTTCTGCTTCTGTGAAGCAATTAAAGTTATAGATTTTCATCAGCAGATTGATAGTTCTTCCAAGAAGACATGTACCAATTGCCAGGCCGAACCATTGAGTACATTTCAAGGAATACAATACACAAATACCAGTCAGTCTCACCTGTGCTGGCAGCTTCATATCTCACTTCGGAAATCTTGAGATCTTTTGGAGCCCACTCTCAACTCATCTGTTTGAGCTGCTGGAGTGGAAGCTGCCAGTCGTGGGTCTTTTTCACAGTTCCCAAGCTTGCATCAGGCGTCCTTCAGATTAGCCCATGCGTGGCACCTCTACTCACAAAGGCCAAAACTAGCCAAAACTAATGTATGAGATGAGGGTTCATGGAGGCACATGCGCAGTGAAAGACCATGACCAGGTGGTATGTATTACGTACCATGTTTTATACTAACTAACTATATGTCTTATTAGACATTTTATAAATATGTTATTTTCATTAAAGAACGACGTATCATGCACAATCGCACAGATGCACAAACATACACACGGGTGTATTGTGGGTGTATATTAGACTTTTTTAACACACACACACACGCAAACATATAATATATATATATATATACATATATATATACACATATATATATATACAAAATATGACATACATATGTATCTGCACATTGGCCAACATACGCAGACAGATGCACAAAGTATATATATATCTCTACTCGCATGCAAGCCTATGGCATCATGCAACATTTCATGTGGGGGTGGGGCTAAGAAGAATCGAAATCTTGAAGGACCGGTCGCACAGAGCCACTTGGTCCATCCAGACCTGAGAAAAAGTTGGGCGACTGCTGGCTGATCCAGTGTAAGCGAAGCTGGGGATCTGAAGCAGAGTATACAACCGTATTTATAAATAATTATATAATAATCAACCCATGTATCTCTCTATGGTTTTATCGATAAGTAGATAGATGGGTAGATAGCTACACAGGTAGATAGATGGATAGATGGACAGACAGCCGACAAGTACAGAAAGGTATGTAAAGATATGATGTCATTGGATAGTACGGAAATGCAAGTATAGCATGCCTAGATCTAAGGAAACAGGATGGTTTGTTTTGACTGTTTTGTACCCCGTCACTGAAACGATGCTCTGGGTGCAACTATCCATTCCAAGGTGAGATCAATAGGATTTCAATAGGTGTCTAGGGCTGCAGGCTGGTACTTCTACGACGTCCACTGGTGTGGTCGGCTCTGGTGGCGCTGGTGGTTTGCAAAACTTGATCCGAGCTTACCAGGCCTGGTGTGCTTAGCCAGTGGCTTCTGAGGTCCCGAAAAGAGATTGAATGGATAAATAGAGAGATATAGATCAGATTAGCTTAGATTAGATTAGATTGGATTAGATTAGATAAATAGATAATATATAATAACATATAGATAGATGGATAGATGGTGATGGAGAGAGAGAGAGAGTTTTTTTTTTTAAAATAATTATATATATACTAGTAGATATGTGTGTATATGAATATGATTTCAAGATACCATGTCTATATAATGATATATAATTTTCACACACACATGCCTACACACACATAATATATATATATAGTACATACATCGTACTATATTTAGTTTCCTTTGCGTTTGACCATGTTCATCATGTTTAAGGTGCGTGGACATGAAGCAGCAGAGCTGGATCCTTTGGGGCTGCATGCCTGGCGGAAGTGGACAGACAAGGCCATCGCCTCGGTCGTCGCTGTGGACACATCATCTCCACAACGAAACGGAGTCAGTACTTCAGCGAAAAAAGGTACAATGTCTTATGTTTTCCTATGCAGATATGGTGAATAAATGTGACATATGCTGATATCACCTAGATGTACATACATGGATAATATTCTTACTCAAAAAAAATCAAAAAAGTGGGACTTGCAAAAGACTTGGTAAATTCTTCTAGCAGGCCACAGCTGCAGTTACAGGTACAGTCACCGACAGAATTATGGAAAAAAAAACGTTTCAATTTACAGGCGCTGCCTGTCTATGATAGAAAAGTTACGAACCTTTTTTTTTCTCCATATTTATTGTTTCCATATGTTTTTTCCATAATTCTGTCGGTGACTGTATGTCCATCGATTCGCAATTTGAATGCATTTTAAGGGGGAATATTGAATTATAGAAAATATGTGTCTAAAGATCTGGTATATGCCCCTAAGTCTTCCATTGATATACATAATATCATGTGATGTTCGCAATTTGAATGCATTTTAAGGGGAATATTGAATTATAGAAAATATGTGTCTAAAGATCTGGTATAAGTATATGCCCCTAAAGCCTGCCATTGATATACATAATATCATGTATACTGGTATGTACATGTAAACCCCATTTCACCATTTCCATAACCCCAAAAAAAACGGGTTTGAATTGTGGATCCATGACATGTCCAACAGGTGGAGCCCCAAACATTAATTATGGAAAAAATAATTATGGAAAAACCGGTCAATCTGCTCTAGCCCCCTGATTTCACAGGAAAAATCAATTATGGAAATAATGGCCACCTCCAAGAATTATGGAAAAAAAAAGGTTCGGATCACTTCCGGGATATTTTGAACCCTTATGGGGGAAAAATCCAATTATGGAAAAATCGGACGCAGGCGCCGCCTGTCTAAGTTGAACGTTTTTTTTTTTCCATACGTAATTCTGTCGGTTACCATAAGCTAGTCTGGCTATTGAAAGAGACTTGAAAGGTATTCGGGTCAGCTGCATGCTTTCTATTTCTGAGATCCTGAGTATTTGAGAAGAGATCATGTGGTTTCAACACTTTTCAACTATCACAGATTCAGACGGATCGGGGTCAGCTGCATGCTACTGTACATTCCATTTTTACATGCTGGTCTTGGAGGCATGCTCCTGGCCATGTCGGCTGTGCACTATATAGACCTATATGCTGTATACTGAGATCACCATTGATCACCCTTCCTGAGCTGTTTTTGCTGGAGATATGCAGAGCACAGCTTGAAAAATGTCAAAGGCACGAATCACCGACATTTCTTTCGCGTAGGCTTATACATGTTAACCAGAGCTGCAGGAGGATTTGTGGAAGGATTTGAGTCACGAAGGTACGTTCCTACGTGGATACGGGCGCACATAGACAAACTCGCACTATGCATATGCAGGAGTATAATTATAATACGTAGTACACATATATATATATATATTCACATTTGTATATGCATATATATATATATACACATCATATATGCACATGTATATATAATATATATATAGATACATACATATTATATATGCATATATATATATATGTATATGTATATATATATATATCTATCATAGCACACAAACTATGTAAACAGCATGAATAATATAGAGATTTATGTACTACAAACATGAAATGATATGAGCCATGAATTATCGTGCTGCACCTGTAGATATGGGCATATGTAGAACTATAGTGATACTAAGGCTCCGCCCGGAAAACTCACGTGCATAGCTACAACTGCAACCTAGAAATTGACTTCTCAAATTGATGTGGTCAGTAGTGCCGGTCCGGTGCGTTATCGCTAGCAATGGAGTGGGAAAACTTGTCCCACTTGGAGCAGCTTGGACCTGACTGATACGGTGTTTGATTCGCTGAGCGGCTTCATTTATCTCCTCAGTCTGTTTCATATGTTTCTCTGAATGCACGGAAGACCTGAGCCGACAGCGGAGAGCCCAAACATTCCTATGATCAGAGTGTCTGAGAATCGAATTTGACGAGATACAGCATGAGGCCAATGTTATTTGAATATTTGCAACGTTTCTCAAAAACGTAACCAGTGTGAACTTCCGAAGCTGAGGCTGGTTCGCCAAGTGGCCAAAGCCGATGTCAAAAACCGGCGTCGAATGAGCCCAGCAACGTGACTTGGTTTCAATATGTTTCAGACGTTCAGCGGAGACGAAGCGGGCCTCAGCTTCCCTAGCATCGTGCGTGCTAGTGCTGCTTTCGGCATTTCAATGGCATCGCAATGGCTTTCACTCTGAGGATTCCGTCCGAGCTTTCTGTACCAGTTTTAGCAGCGATTGCGCTTTACGCACGTGAGGCAGGGTTGAATATGGGTGAATATGGTTGAATATGGTTGAATGCTTGTTCAAGGTTGGCAGTGAGATGCCAGGCTGCCGGGTTCATCGCTGTGCCACAACATTGATCCCGGTCCTTGCATTGAAGAAGACAATGCAAAGATGAGCAGGGTGCTGCACCAACCCCTGTGTCTCTCTCATAAAGATTCATTCCCGCTTCAAGCTACAAGGCCCAGAAGAACACCTCTACGCCGCGTCCCCTCCTGCTCTGTGACAGGCCACCAGAAGTTCTGCCAACAAGAGTTCAGCAACGCACCTGCACAAGTCAGAGATAGCCACTAAGCATCAGTACGTGTTCTGTGCAGTTGTGAATTCTGTGGGGATGGAGTTTGGGTATGCTTGAGCGTACTATTTGTATATTATATATTTGATTATATTTGTATCTATTTGTGGAGCAATAAGCAGCTGAGCAGCTTCGCAGCCGGCTGGAGTTTAACTGATTTTTTTCAACTCCGCTCCACACAGTGACCACAATGACCACTATTAAGTCACTATTAGGCTATGCCATAGCTGCTTCACAAGTCACCCTAGCCCCCATCCCTGCCATCGTCCGAAAAGCGCTGAGGCGGAGCCTCAGGTGCCAAAGGTAACTCCCAGCCCAATAGGCGCAACGGGCCCAGACCCGACAGGCCCAAGCTGCAAGGAGATGGCTGTCCAGGCGCGGTGGCTGACCTGATTGGGTCAGCACAATGACGGATGCTTATGATTTATGAATATGTCATGATATGTTAGGATGGTATGTGAGTTTATATGTTATGATATGTTAGGATGTTTCCTCGTCCGCCCCCAATTGTCTCAGACTTATCATCCCCGGGAGTCAGCAGGTTAATGCTGATTACCTTCCAGATATGAGAAGGTGCAATGGGTGACAACAATCGGCCGGACCGGGACCTGCCAAAACATTGTCAACGACAACAATGGTTGGCAGAAGTACACTGTTTATCAGTAAACTTTACTGAGCCTCCCTGCAAATGAGTAGATCGTTGAAGGTCTCTGAAGTCTATAGGAATCACAGCTTGCAATCGCCTGCTTCAAACTTTCCTTAGCCGGCCCGAAGGAGTCCTTGGTGTGATGGTTGTGAATGGGTTTTGCGTGAGTTTTGACATCAGGAAGTTAAGCGAGGGTGTGGCATGTACTTGCCGCATATAATCAGATTGAATATCGTGTGATTTCATTGATTTCATATTATAAATAATGAAGCTACACCGGCTACACCGTAATGCACAACTGGTCAGGAGTGACGGTCCGGATGATGCTGTTGGTGAAGAGGCCCTGTGTCATTCACCTGTTGTGTTTGCGTCTTGGATGTTGGGGGTGGCTGCCGGGTGGCTATGGCAGCTATGGCATGGCTATGCGAGGACGGATCGCCCATGCCAGTGGCGGAGCATCGCTTCGTGGCCCTGGAGCCGGGAGAACACGAGGCCCTTGAGGCCATGGGAGAGCTGATATGGATGGACGATGATATGAAGATGATATGAAGATGATATGAAGATGATATGAAGACGATATGAAGATGTGTAACTAAATCATTTACAAGAGAAATTGATAGAAGACCTGCGAAGGTGACAGATTGGTCATTCTTCGTGCATCTTTGTGCATTTCTGTGCTATCTTGCCCTGAAAGATGTCGGAAGGTAGACCGGTTGCAGCCACTTCGAGACCTTCTCGAAGCTTTGCGGCATACATGCAGCATGTATGATCGTGCACGGGTCAAGGGTCAAGACAGAGTGAGCTTTTCAATATCTGGCACTATGTTGGGGTTGCATTAGAGAGTAGAGAGGGACGATGCGGGCTGGATTTCTCATGATTTCGCGGAAACCTAGGAAGATGCTTCTGGCCTGTACGACTGGCAGCCTTCTACAAATGAGGATGCTGAGGTCAAGAGACAACTGGTTTCGGATTCTTGTCAATATAGCTGGCCAATTCCTTGGTTCATGGGTAGTTGTTGTAGAGCCCCGTATTCCTGAGACAAAAATCAGAATCATTTTCGCATGCCCGTTGCTTCTGAAGAGCATAGTCACAGAAGCATGGAGAACGTGCTCGTCGTACCTGGACGCTGGAAGATGGTTACGACGGTTACGACTTCAAATAGGATCATGGGGTGATGATAGAAGTGAAACCCTTCCTTCGAAGTCATTGGCATTCATCATTAAGTAGCAGATATCCAAAGATTTCAAAAGATACTCTAAGTCTTTTTTCCTCTGGAGGCATTTCATCTTTGAATTTCACTTTGATCTGATAAGCATGCATTCAGCTGGGCTTGGGTTGGAAAGTTGGAAAATCCCAAGGATGTGCAGAGGCTTCTGGAGCAATTGGAGTCTGCTGTGGCTTGGATGTATCAAGCTGGGGATGCCACTGAGTGTTTGGACACAGGAAACTGGATTGCTCGCCAGACCTTAGTTTCTTCAAAGTATCCTGCGACATGTCTGGTCTTGCACTTCCTGTATTCCAGAACTAGTTTCCCGTTCCCATCCCAAAGTATCTTCTTTGAGCTGAATTCCTGATTTACATACTGTAAATATATGTAAATCATCAGAGGGAAGCAGTGGGGATAAACTATCGGATAAACAGGCTAACCATTGGCTAACCAGGATAAACAACTGGTTTCAAACACCTCTGCAGTGGACTCTACAAGATAAAGATCCTAAGGTCTTGGATGCTGTGGTCTCGGATGCTGCTGAGCACTTGGCGCATTTGAACATCCAGAAGGAGCTGGCTGCAACACACCTAAAAGGCTGGATTCGGCTGTCGCACATGTCACAAATGATCATGACATGTTGGTCCTTGTACATGTTGATACTTTTGATACGTTTGGATCCATTGTCGAATAATATTGTGACATTTGGATATGTTTGGCTGTTCTTGGTATCAGACGCGCGACGGAAAGAGCTGATGGGAATGATTTTGCTCCGATGTGCTGCGTCAGGTGATGTCGGGGACAGTGACATTACTGTGAAAGACTTCATCGAGAATTGCCGCCAATTCGAAGACGACTTGTGCAAGAAGTATGGGGTCCAAAAAGAGCAGCTGCTGTATACACCCAATATTGAGAACATTGTGTCATTGTGCCTACATGTAGGATCATATAAGATCATATAAGTATATATGATATGATGTGATGTGATATGATATGATGTAATATGACATAATTTATATATACATATACATACAGCATCATAGAATTCAATATGTTGCTGTATATCTTTGATTCTCCGTGGCTAGGGCCTCTCGCCAGCCGTGCCAGAGTTGGAGCCCAGCTGCTCGGCGTGGCGTCCGTTGACACGCTCGGCCGGTGACGGGAGCCTCCCGCCGAGGCTTCCATGGCTTCTCCGAAGCAGATTTGGAAAAAACCTTCCAGGCCCAGTTGATGTTTGCGCATTTAGCTGGCCTGATTAAGTTGGGGCAAGTTTTATAGATTTTGATGAATTATTTGTGACTTTTGGGTGTGAGATGTTCAGATGCTAAGGTGAACAGTCTCTGACAATATTCATTGTTTACTGTTGTTTGGACTTGGTGGCCGGCAGTCGACAACTAGTACTTTGCAATCACCGGCAGGTCAGCTTGGCCAACTTGAATGGAGAACATACTTTGCAAGAAGCTGGGCTTTTTCTTTGGCTTTTGCACGCCTTGAGTTGCGAGTCAGATCTATGAATCTTTTGTGCAGATGTTCTTGAAATCAGTCCTTTGTCACAGAGGGTAGCGTTTGCTCCCGGCAATGGCCTTGCTGAATACAAAACCCAGCAATGTGAACACTGTGAACCAGGTGCCCAAGGTGGGCCCACTCTTGAGTAGGCTCATTCCTCCGCTTGCCCTTGCTGAGGAGATTCTGGGGACTCTTCGCAGCACGCTGCTTTGGCCAAACATATCAAAAAATGCTGTGGGTGAGAAATCGTCATTGGACTCTAGAGCAGCTGGCTGTGAAGAACGGGGCATGTTTTAAGTCTTTCTTTAATGAGTAGAATTTAGTATTTCACCTGTGGATGGATCTTGGCAACTGAACTGCCCTGTTTGCATGCTATTAATGGTCCGACCCATCTGAGGTATTCTGGTTCCGTTGGCATTGAGCACCTTGGGAAAAAACACAGATTTTTGAGTTACCGTGATCAACCCGCGTGTCCCGAATTGTGCCCCATCGTTTTGGAGCCCCCTGCTTGCAAAATCATGGTCCGTGGTCCCACAGCCAAGGTATATGCACATCGGTGACCTCAAAAAAGTGGAGTGGATCAGACAAAGAGTTTCTTGCTGCATTCAGCCGGATCATTTGAACACTGCTCGTAGATTCCAACACCAGAAAGCAAATGAATGCAAAAGAACAGTCAGAAAACTTCTAAAAATCCAACAGTCAGTCAGGTTGCAAGTTGTTACTGTCACTGTGGCCAAGATAAAAGAAGCTCCAATCTTGATGCCAAAATGGCCTTAAATGATTGACTGAGACATGTTTGGCACGACTTAAAGACTTGTTGGATGCTCCGAAGAGGTCGAAGATCCCAACTTCATCCCTTCAGACAAGAACAAGCTCATCAAGGCGCTGCTAAAGGGACAGCCTTGTGCAGAGTCTGCCACAATTTGCCAAGTGCGCCTCATTCTGCTCCGGGATGACTACCAACCTGTCTTCCGTAGGCTTTGCCTACTACTTTCCTACAATTTTTGGGATGTGGACCTACCAATGTGTGGAAGGGCACTCCACAGAGAGTTCATTGATTTGGATATACCCGATATATATATATATATCATGATATATCATGATATATCTGTATATGATGTGATGTACATGGTTAGCTGTGTCAGCTGTCTCATGGATGCCCGTCAGCTTCCATCCATATGTTTTGGGACTTTTTGGGGAACCTGGGAACGCATGACAGTCTCCATTCCCAGGTCTATCAAGAGCTCTTGAAGGTGGAAGCTTGTTGTGCCATGAGATGCCATGAATCCCGAGTGTTTCGAGAGCCAAGCTGCAGAGTCAAGACAGTTGCCACGAGATTGCTGGTAAAACCAAGGATACGTTTGAACAATTCCTCAATGTTCAGACACTTGGCTTCAAGGAATGAACATGCCGATTCAGAAAGAGTTCTTGCGGGGCTTGCCACGTCTAGTCAATTGTGCCACCATCAAGGTACAAAACTACAAAGCGCTTTGGCGTGGACGGTGGTGAAGCTGCTGTTGCAGGCGCAGCAGATGCAGCAGATGCAGCAGATGCAGCAGATGCATGATCACGGCTCTGTCAGGACAGATTTTTGCATCCATGTTGCTCCTGTGGCATACTATACAATGTACTTGTATAATATAATATCAATCTGTTCATTTTGCGTGTAATCATACATATACATATACGGATACAGATAAACACACATATACAATACATATACAGATACATAATACATAATACATATACATAATGCATAATACATAATACATAATACATAATACATAATACATATACATACACATACAGGCGCGCACACACACACATTATGTGTATGTATATATACGTGTATATATATATATGCGCCAATGCAATCACTTGATGGCACTGCTTGCAATTCTATGAAAATATGTGCAGGGCAAGCCACATATAGGACATATTCGCCATAATTTCACCATTCTTGTTACCCCAAAGATGCCTGGTTGATCAGGTGTCAACGCTGCCATCGAGAAGGCACTGTTCCAGTCTGTGCTATGACATAATGTTTCATCGGAGCAACTGCAAAGCTACTTGCGAGACCGCGTTTCTTCTTTATGAGAATGAGATATAAGACCAGATATTACCACTGTACATGCATGGATGCGTGCGAGCATGCATGTAAGCATAATACGTAATGTGATATAACTATTACTACTATGTGATGATTACAAGTATCAGTTGGGAAGAGTTGGAAGCAGTTGGCATAGCATGAGCAGAGCCGTGAAGCGCTGGAGGCTGCAACTTTGGGCATGACCGAGTGCGTGATCGGCATGCCACACAGAGGTCGCTTGAATGCCTCTTGGCCTTGGCCAGAAAAGTCAGCAGCAAGTCAGCTAATCGGGGCAGATGGTTTGATTTCTATCCGAGAGCTCAACTGAAGGGTTGGGGGCCTCTGTAGCATAGCAGGCCTCCCATTGGAAGCGTGAAGCCGTTTCAGCTCACGTGCCAACCTAATACATACTATCTATATCTATCTATTACATTCTATTACCATGTTCATCCATTTTCTATGTGCATGCTTAGGTGCTGACTAATGTGGTGCGAAAGCCCTTGGTTCAGATGTTTGCAGAGTTCAAGGCTTTCTGGTGCTGGATGTCAGTGGGAGGTTGAAATAGTTTCACCACTTGAATGTGCTGGATGCTTCACGGTGATGATGACGTTCTCAGCTTTGTAGCTGCTAGCGCTACAAACAACAACACTGTAGGCACTGTAAACCGTGAAACACAATCAAGAATATGCGTTCCTTTCCACAGCACATTTCCATGCATTTCCAGTTTCAACATTTTTCTTTCGGATTTCGGACGCTGAAAAACTTGGATATGAGACCAACTGCAACTAGGTGCCATGATTATGCTACAATGGCACGAAATTATGTTGCAATGGCAGACAAGCCTGCTTACTCAGGGCACGCACTATGACTTCGAAAAGCTGGTAGAGAAGTGTCTTGACAAGTGTTGACCATAAGGGTGCAAACGCTGCATGCAGTCTGCACTTGAACGACTTGAAGTAGTGCAGCAGCTCGAAGCTTTCAGATCTTTCAGCTGCAGAGTGCTGAGTTTCAGTCGAATCTTATGCGCAAGTCCCAGGAGTGAAGGAGATGATTGGCTGTTTGCTGGCGATGTGAAGTATCACCTTGGCACATCCCAGGCCCTCCTGTCACTGTAAGTTGCTGAGTCTGAAGGGCATCAGAAGGGTAAAAAGCGGAAGAGAATGAACATGAATGAAGTAGGACGGTGCTTCGTGCCATGAACGAATGCGTTTAGTTACCAAACTCACTACTTATTGTATAATATAAATGTATATATTTATATACATATAATATATAAGGTATGAGCATGCTTTGACATCCTTTGATATCTTTGATGTCCTTTAAGAACTGAAGATAATATGAGAGTCTGTGTGCTGCGAAGTGGTTCCACTCCGTATCAGCAACTAACGCTAGTTGTGGAGCTTTTTCTTGCCGAGACCTTCACCCTTAATGGTGCCAACACCATTACTGCAACATTGGAAGCCAACCCCTCGCACTTGGAGACAGCCACCTGGCATCACCTGGCTGCACAAGCGCGATGGACAAGTTTCCCTTTGAAGTTATGTAATCCGTATGTAATGCTTGGAGGATTGTGAATGACTCTTTCTTTCACAGACCTTTTTTGTGGGGGGTGAAGTTTCAAACGGCAGTATGATGCACAAGAAGCGGTGCTGCAACTTGGAATGAGATTATGGGCTTGTCGAAGTCGCGACATTTCACTCAGGTCAACACAGTTACACTTGGCCGTGCGCGAGCGAAACAGCAGCTTGGAAAAGCAATTTTGGTGCTGCTTATTGATCTTATTGTCGGTTGCAGACTCAGGCTGCCAGTCAACGGTAGTCCTACACAGTAACAAGCTATCATTAAAGAAAAAAGCATCGTTTCGTGGATGTTGCCCAAGACTCTCCCGGTGAGTTTAAAGCTGGAGTGATGAATGGATGAATGGCAACAGGTCCCCCTGATGTTAATTTGATGCAGGCCTTGTCGCTCAGCGCCACTGTTTTGGGAATGAACACCACTTGGTGTGTTATAGCTGGTTTGCAGTGGTGTTGAGGTGAATAAATGTGAATATTCTGAAACATTCTGAATAACCCATCTCCAAATGAAACTGTTCGAAACGAGGTACTACCTTGGCAACACTGCGGAGTCTCGCCACAGGGTTCTGCCCATCCTCTTCCACGGAGATTCTTGACAGAATTTGACAGTTGAGAGTGCCTCAGGATTACTGCTAATCCGAATTAATCCGATGTATTTACGTAAATTTGATTGTATAATTATACAGTATCGGATTACTTTTGCATAGCATACTTAATTACCAATATTTGCCAATGCACAATATTCGAACATGTTTCCGAGAGATACACACACATACCCGCACCCACATACACATATATATAATACAAATTAAAAAATAAATGATCTTAAATAAATAAATAAATAAATATATACATATATAATTGCATATGATATTAAATATGTGATTATGCTCAATGCTTCCAAGGGGCGAAACGGACATATGGTTCGTCTTTCCAGCAAGCATTTAGCTTGATGATACTTGCCAAGAAAAGCAGAGCGCCCATCAAAGCCATGCAGCTGTTAATTCTGAGGATGCTTCGTTTGCTGGCCAGGGAGTCGTCTATGAGACAATGCAACTAGCTCACGTGCAGGAGCACTGTTAAGCATTCGATGCCAAGTAAACACTGCTAGTGAGGCACGTGAGATGTTGGCATTTGTTCCGCTCGGAGAAACGTTGACAGCCTGGTGCAGGAGTTTGATGTTGGTGGGACCATCCATGTGATTATCAACAACCAGGCTTGCAGGACGGACCATGACGGAGCTCTGACTTCAATCGACCCACATATTTACTTCAAGCATCCAAAGGCGTGCGCTGACATGAGCAAACCACTCAAAGCTAGCTTGGTATGGAGCGCCCCAAAATGTCTATAGGCTCGGAACAGCTTTTTTTAGGCAATCAAGCAGCGTGTGCAGTACAGCCAGGTAGGCTTCACCACTGATCCTGTGGACGACCGATCAACCATGTACACTTCAGACGTCGGTACTTTGCTGCAAGAAGGAGGTGGACTAATTATACTAATTAATGCAAATTGAAGAACCTAGACACAATTCAAACTTGAACATATTTGACAAACACCCTCGCTGGCAGGGTTCAGCATTTCAAGCCAGAATTTGGACTCACTTCTGTTGAATTGAATGATTATTGAATGAATGTGTGAATGTGTGTGCTCACAGTCACAGATGACGAGTTTGATAGCCAGCTGCAAGCTTCCAACTCCCCAGTCAGTGGGGTAGCAAGAGCACTTTTCAAGTTCGATCGCGCAAGGCAAGACCTTCAATCTACCCATTCTGCATGTGGCTTGGCATGCCAGTCCTGTCCAACCATCGACATAAAATTACATAAACACGGAATACGATGAAATGGCGAGGGAGAGAGGGAGAGAGAGAGAGAGACATGACGATTCACAAGTATTGATTGGGACTCTGCTTAGACACTTCGACGCGAATAATGCACAACGTGGCCTCATTGAAGTGTGAACTGCTGTTAAATTGTCAGCTCAGAATGATGGTAAAGAGAGGTGCATGAGAGCCCCTGGGTTGTGAGATGTTTTGAGCAAAGGGCTCCTGCAAGATCATGTTTCAACAAATTTCCGGGTAGACCCTTCCCTCCAGCAGCAGGTGAACGGAGATGATCCTGTAGCAGTGACCAGTGCCTTCGAATTGGCGGCAGAATGGAGACAGACGTGGCAAACAGATGCCACTTATATCAATCCATTGAAGCCAAGCTTCGAGTTTGTTTGGAGCAGCGAGGGATTGCGAAGGATGTGGGGTTGACCTGAAAATAGGGTAACTAGTGTAAATAGAACAGCAAAAGCGGCAAAAGATGGTAAAATGGTAAAAGTACTGCCATGCCGCACAGCCTGGACATGCTTGCTCGTATGAATCCAGAGGAGGTTGACAGAGGTTACGAAACCTCGAGGTGAGCAAGGTTGGACCAAGTTTGGATCAAGGTTGGGGCAGAAGTTCATGCGAACATCACGGAACATCCCAATCCCACAGAAACAAGACCTTTTGGCAATGCCGAGGTTATCATGGACGTAGCTACTTGGCCCTGCACTGTAAGTTAGTGAGTCATTGATGCTTTTGTTGCACCTTATTTTTGGAAGAACTTGGCAGGCGCTGGTGGCAAAACGAGATGAAGACAAGTTTATTGACGTGTTTGTAGTTTATAGTTTTGGGTAGTTTTTGAATGCGACACATTGGAAGCCTTCGTGTACATGTAGTGTATGGTCATTCTTCCAAGATGCTGGCACGGGGTCCCTACGGAATTCTCAGACATGACATTTCAGAACAACGTTTGTTCTTGACGGGGGTTGGGTCCAGACGGCGTCCCCCAGATTTGCTACCGTCGCTTCGGACACAACGAAACTGATGCGCCTGAGCATCTTGGCATCATTGTTTTGTCACGTTTTATCATGCTTTTCCTCATGTTTTTTCTCATGGTGAGCCCGTGAAAGCTTGAAACGTCACAACTCCGCATAGACATCATGAAACCCGGCCATTCCTCTTTGTGAGTGGAACGGCGGCGGAATCTGCGATGCCTGAGGTACACCCAGCCAGTCCTCTATAAGCAAATCAACAAGCACCCACGAACAGAAGCAGTGCCACTCGTCAGATCCCAGAGTAGTAAAGCATTTTTTGCACAGTTTGCTCAAACTTTAGTTCTGAGCGACGGGACAGCTAAATTTCTCATGACCAATCATTGCTGTAGTTGACGTATTTGTGGTTGCAAGGAAAGAGCATGGGAAGACACAACTTAAACTTAAAGTGTGCTGTCTGGACTCTTGCCCCAAGAATTGAAGAAACATCGAGCATATTGGAAAATCGTGAGTCGTAAGGACTTTGCCAATTTGCATGGTCCAATAGTGTAGTGGGTCTTAGTCTTAGTATTCTTACTTCTACATCACATTGGAGCTGCCAAAAACGCCAGGTATTCCAAGAGCTTGGTTGACAACAGTGTTGCCTCACAAAAGGACACAACTCATGGCTTGTCACGTTTGTCGCGTTTGTTATTTCCCCTGTGTGCTTGTGAGTTTATTTCGATGCTAGACACTGGAAAGACATCCGGGGTCATCCAGGTTCACTTACTTATACTTGATTAATCTTGATTATACTTGCTTAATTGTGTATAATTATATGTATCTGTATGCCTGTATGATCCCGTATGCATATATTATCATATATTATATCATTGCGTGTAGTACATTTGTTTAAAACGTATCCCACGTATCTATTTCCATGTGGAACTCAAGCCAGCTGCCATTGTGGCCATGCCATCCGATATCATCAACCCATTTCATTTCCAGTGGAACCTGGCCTCGCAGGAGCTGGATTCCATGAAATCTGCTCCTTGGTTGCACTGTGACACTATGTGGAACTAGGGTCCGCCAGTTTTGTTTCTGGGAGTTGTTGGTTCGGCAACCGATGGTCTCCACTTGATCTTCCAGAAAGCGTTTCTGCGCAGCCAGCACTGCAGCCTACCGCTGCGTAGATACGGCAACTTTTTTTTTCTCCGCTACAAGCGTTTCCCCTCTTCCATATTGTGATTTGAGAGGACTTGTGGAAGCAACACGAGACTGCGTTCAAGGCCTGCAAAGGGTGAACTGGCTACAACGTGCAAGTGCATCAGCAAGATAAATTTTCCTTTCCCATCTTTTTGTTGAGGTTGCTGCAGGTTGACAGGATTGTCCGGGAATGTCTTAGTTTGTGAGGAAAGTTTGGCTCAATATTTCAATATGAATGGCAATCAAGAATTGACTTCATCAATTTCTGGATCCCGGGCGCACAGCATGGCAGCATGGCTATGCTAAGGTGCCTCAATGCTACCCCCACAGATTAACCATACCATACTGTACATGCTTTGTTTGAAATTCAGCAGGAATGATCTGAAACCCTAGTACTCTGCTGAACATCTAGAATCATCTATGAGAAATTGAAGTAACCAGGAGTGGACATGGGTGTTAATCCCCCCAATAACTGACCAACTTATATCAATATCGACCCAATACTATCCAATACTGCTATTGAAATTGCCTTCCAATGTCGAGCGATGGATATGCCTCCAGCAACTCGTTGCTAAAATCGCTTCATGGTGACCGTGTGGAGCGGCAGAAGAACCGCCGTTGGGAGGCATTGGGATGGTTTTGTTGTGTGCTTTGCTATTTAGCATTGTTTAGAAATTTGGCTTGGCCCAGAGATTGGAGATATTTGGGAAGGGGGTACTTGTACAAAGAAGTCATGGAAGGATAGTGGATCAAGACTGTTCAAGATGGGCATAGTATAACGGACCGCCAGGCACCAGAGATTTTCGACTTTGGAGCTGGTGAGCCATTGAGGCTGGGATTGGGTGTGTTAAAACCAGTGGATCAGAAAGATTGTCCAGGTCTGGTGTAGTGATGTGGGAAGACGTGTCAATGTTTGTGACAAATATCTAAATTCCCCTTCGCATTTACGTCGTGTTGAGAGATGGCCGGATAGTTGATGGCTTATTGTCACTTGTCCTTCAGATATAGATGTCGCTGCTGCGTTGTGGTCCTCCTTTGGGGTCTGTTTTCACATGTTTTCACTGTTTTTTTTTTGGGATGTTGGGCTGCAAACCAGAATCCTTGGTGTGTTTCCTGGCATTCTGCAGGCTATGTTCAGTGCCTTCCATGTTTTTGGGAGCGCGACTTGGCTGGTAGCAGCTGCGGCCTGCAGATGTGATGGTGCCCTTGCTGGGCTAGGCTGAAACTGAACTTGGGAAGCAGAATCTTTTTTTTTGCATTCTACAACTGTACAACCATGGTATTCATCTTCCGTTTCCATGCAAGCTTGGTATTCGTTTATAGACTTCCTGATTTGGTGCAACATTTTTTTACAGAATCTGTGCGTCAACATGCTCATTGGTCCTTCCAAGCATCATCATGCTTCAGAGGCAACATGTCCTGATGTTTCTTATCTAAGACAGATTTGGAGCATCAGGCTCGTCTAGTTTTATGTAAATTCTATTTGCCTATTACGACGGCTTTATCTTGGTCAATCTTTGTCCTGAAAAGTGTGGCGATCCGTGACGTACATAATTCCATCATTGTGCTGTATGGACTTGAGATGATTTTCATCTTTATAATTGCAGATGATCTTTCCCATTTCCTATAGCCTATAAATATACATAACTATACATCATTATACACCTGTTATGTTATAGATAAACAGTTTATACAGGTAGATCTTTACCCCATCTTTTCTCACTTGGCGAGGCAATTTTGGTCCTCCGGTCTGGCCATGGCCCGTGCCTTGTCGAAGGGCGACCACGACCTGGCGGGCGCCCGGTGCTTGGAGCTGGGCGCTGGGCTGGGCCTCGTGGGCCTGGCGGCAGCGCGATATCTGCGCGCCCAGAAGGTGGTCCTCAGCGATTTGGAGGATCCCAAACCCGAAATGACCCGAAATGATGAAGAAACATACAGAATATACGGAGAAATCAGAGAAATCAGAGAAACTGAAACTCTGAAAGTTGGACATGATTCACACGATATATTTTTTTGTCGCAGGAAACTGGTATATAAAATAGATCATAATAGATGCAACATGATCCAAGGTGGTCTAATTTAATATAAATATATGTATACAATTTAACATATATATATATATGTCTATATATATATATATGTAGATATTGTAGCCATATACAATTTCACATGCTGATTTTTAACATCCTGAACTATGGGTGACTTCATCGGAGCAGTTCTCCAAGATGAAACTGCAGGAGATGAACGCTGTAGGTATTTGGAGGTCGTTTGTAGGAAACGTCGAGGGGATGGACAGTGAGACAGAGAGAGAGAGAGAGATACATAATATATATATATATATGGCACCTGCAGAGGATTATGTTTTTACAACTATGACTATAACTGAGAAAATATATTCAATGTGGGGTCTCCGATCAGGAGAGTAGTGCCCTGAGCCCCCGAAGCATAGCTGATATGATATGATATGATATGATGTGAAAGGACGTCGAAAGAACAGAGGCCGCTGGCCGCCGCATTTCTTCACAACTATTTTATTTTTTAGCATCGTCCTCCCACCTGTCACGAGGCACGTAGATTTTTCGAAGAGCGTTCCAGCCATGTGCAGGAGATGCAGCCGTTGTTGCAGAGGAGCCGCACGGGGAAGGGCTAAACAGGACAAGTTGGAAGCATTGACAATGATTGGGCTACCTCCTGTTGATCAATTTCTTTTGATCAATTTCTGTACTGTTGTCTCTTGCCCACGGTTGGGAGCGATAATCCCCAGCCAGCTGCTATGCCAGCATTGGGGTGTAGGTAGAGAGAGTGTGGAGTGCTGTTGATGGCGTGCGTGACTTTGCCTGCCGTTCCTTGTTCAAATGATCTTGCAACCGACCGAACTCGAGAAAATTTGGCTCAAATAAGTAAGAACAGCAACTACCGAACTGGTATGGCAAGTTTTACTTTTGAAGCCTCGGAGCACTGGTGGAGGCGCGCTTTGAAAGGTCGGTCATCGAACACAGAGACGGAGTGGGATTTACATATATCCGCAGGCCTCCTGCGCTCAGTGGATAGGGAGCGTGCCAACCTACTGATTGAAAAGATCCGTGGCATAATGGTAGTTCCAGAAGAACTGACGGAAGCAAACTTGAATCAACATAATGGTAGTTTCCTACACAGAGAGCCACAGAGACCATCATCAGGAAACACCGCTGAGGGTTCTACGGAGAAGGACCCCCTGCCCGACATTGACACTGAGGTTTGTCAAGTTTGCCGAGGCCATGGCCTATCTGAGATGTCCCCGGCATGCTGTGGCCTGAGGTGCTGCGAAGACTGCCGCAGGAACAAGCCAATGTGCCCTCAATGCCTGCAGTTCATCCCAGCGCAGGAAAAGACAGCTGCACAGCCAGGTCCTCACGGTCAGGTGACGGTGCTTTTAGACCTGAACGGAGTGCTCGAGTGCGAGCCAAGACGACATGAGCAGTGTTTAGATTGCCCTTTGTCAACACGGTTCTGTGCGCCTTCAGAAGCAGATGCCAAAACAGAGCACGACCCATCATCCTCAATGTTGGCACATTGTGTGCCACTGGAAGCGCCTTTCGCACAATGCAGGTTTGATCCCGTCAAGAAACCTGCAGGTTACAACAATATTCCGTCATGGCTCTACGTAAGGCACGGTACAGCATCACTGATTGAGTTTCTGAGGACAGAGGAGCGACTGCAATGGGGAATCTGCTCGACCATGACAGCGAAAAACGCACTTGCAAGCTTCAAGGCGCTGATGAATCATTTGGGTTACGAGGTAACGACAACCCTGGATGAACATCGTCCTGGAGAACATGCTCATATTCCAGGTCATCAGTGCAGCTTTCGAGGTCAGGATGTTTTTGAGCAGAAAGTTTGGTTCTTCACGCAGGAGGATTGTGAACCGGATGGCCACATCATTTACCCTAACGGAAACAAAGGCAGTTTGCCCAGCCCTGATGTGGTAGCTAAGGTCTTGGCTGCCGAGCCTGGGGTTGTCGCTTTTGTCCTTCCAAATGCGAGGAAGTCGACACTCGTCCACGCTCATACTCTCCTCGTTCCGGATTATAGGCGGGAGGAGTTCCAGACTATGCAAGATGAGAAGTGGGCCAAGGATATTCAATTTGTTATTCTCCAGATTATCTCCAATCCTGAGACAGCCAAAGAGCTTCTCAGGAAGCAAACCAGGTGCTTTGTTGAGACGAATCGAGCAGGAGTCTTGCCGGGGCCAGTGCTTGACACTGTCACTGCTTTCCTAGCCGAACCAGAGCTGACAGTTCTGAGGGAATGGCCTTTTTTATTTTCCTTTGCCTTTAAGCGAGGTATATAGTTAGATTGTTGGACAGCTGAATGTGCGAGTCGAAAAAAAGGGTGGATCTCAGGCTACCGCCGTGTGCCCAGCTGGGAACGTTGCGCCTGAAACCAAGTTCACAAACAGAAGAGGTTGGCTGAGAAGTTTCATCAGTTCGGATTATATAATATTATAAATTATTATAATATATTATATAATTATATATAATTACTATATTTCTTTTTGCATGATAGCTCTTCCAATGGCAGCTTGTGGCAGGGCTGCAGGCGCCAGATACTGAAAGCACACACGTTTTGCACATGCTCGACCTTTTTTTAAACAAATAAATGTTGAAGATGTGGAAGGTATCTTAATGATCTTAATGTCCCAACGTGCTGGTTACCTTGCGATGTGTTTGCTTGGAAGGAACATCGAGCTGAACGACATGTCAGGAACTTGTGAAGCACGAACATTGGTTTGGGGAGACGCCTTGCCTGAGGAGCTGGAAGACGTGAACTTCAGTTCTTCCGTTCTTTTGAGACTCTTTCTTTCAAGTATTTCTGTTCGACTTGCTGCAGAGACAGCATCATCAGCTTACTATGGGATAGGTGGCGGCTTCTAGTCTTGTCCATTCAAAAATCGGCAATATCTGACTTGCTGTGATTCAGAAACCATGTGTTTGATCTGGGGTTGTTTGATGTGAACGTTGGAGGAGTTGGAGACAGCCTTCGACGTGGTTTTAGCAGCTGATGTGATTTATCCCACTACTGGTGGCTCTCTGCCACTGCTGCTGAAGACTCTAAGCTTAAGCATCAGCCACAAAGGGAACCTGCTTGGACAATGATTTTAGAATTAGCCGTCGCCTAGCTGGCCATGCAATGGAATGTGCAAGCGACTTGCCCTTCTGCCTGGCGGTTTTTTTCCCCGAATGCGTAGCAAGGGTTCCCGTTTCACTGATTCACTCTGGGGGTCTGGGGTTGAGGGTGTGTTCGCTCGACGTTGCGTTTACGTTCGCAACGGTTTTCGTGTGAGGGCCAATATGGCCGTGCCTATTGTGAGTTCTGCAAAAGGGGTCACTTTTGGACCTTTTGGAGGTTTCAAGCGTTGCGTAGCCTCGTGTCGCGTGGCAGGCGTGGCACTTTGTGACATTCCCACACGTTTCATAATGTGTCAAAAGTATTCAAAAGTCGTTTTGTGTGGCAGGCGCGATACTTTTGCGACATTTTCACACGATGAGTTGCATTTTTCGTGGCAGATGCAGCACTTTGGAGACCTCCATCGGTATTTTGAGTGGCAGGTGCAGCACTTTAGACGTGTCATGTTGCGTGTTTTTTGCGAATTACCATTGTCAGGGCTGCGTCAAGTGGTGTTCAATGTGCAAAATCCGTGGCAGGAGTGGCACTTTGTGAGATGTGCTGAAAATTGCCGGAAGCCTCGCATGAAACATCGGTTTCGAGCTAGCTGAGTTTAGGGTTCGTTGGGAAAACTCGTGGGAAAACATCGATTTTGAAACACAAAGTGTAAAAATTGGAGGAAGTCTTGCACGACATGCTCGTTTTGATGCTCTAACATGTCTCGTCTCGAGTCTCTGGTTTTCCATTGGTTTTCCTCTAGCCTCGCCGTGTCTATGGGGGAAGCTGCAAAACCTATCCTTTTTGAAGGTGTCAAATCAGGTTGTAACGTCGTTTTGCGTGTACCGTTGCGTCATGTTGCGTCGTTTTCAGAAGAAGTTTTCATGGCAGATGCAGCACTTTGGAGACCTCCATCGGTATTTTGAGTGGCAGGTGCAGCACTTTAGACGTGTCATGTTGCGTGTTTTTTGCGAATTACAATTGTCAGGGCTGCGTCAAGTGGTGTTCAATGTGCAAAATCCGTGGCAGGCATGGAATGTTGTGACACACTCCCCACACTCCCCACACTCCCCGCACTCCCCACACTCCCCACACTCCACACACTCCACACACTACACTCCACACTCCACATCACACTCCACGCCACACTTTACACTCTACACTCCACACGCTCCACACATTCCACACTTCACACTTCACTCTTTACACTTTACACTATACACTCCACACTGGACACTTGACACTCCACACTCTACACTTCACACTCCACACTCCGCACTTTACACTTCACACTTTGCACTTTAAACTTTACACTCCACACTTAACACTTGACACTCCACACTCTACACTCCACACTCTACACTTTTCACTCCACACTCTACACTTTACACTCCACACTCCACACTTTACACTTCACACTTTGCACTTTAAATTTTACACTCCACACTTAGCACTTCACACTTGACACTCCACACTCTACACTCTACACTCCACACTCTACACTCTACACTTTACACTTTACACTTTACACTCCACACACTACACTTTACACTCCACACTCCACACTTCACACTTTGCACTTTAAACTTTACACTCCACACTGAACACTTGACACTCCACACTCTACACTCTACACTCCACACTCTACACTCCACACTCCACACTCTACACTTTACACTCCACACTCCACACTTTACACTTCACACTTTGGACTTTAAACTTTACACTCCACACTTTACACTTTACACTTGACACTTGACACTCCACACTCTACACTCTACACTCCACACTCCACACTCTACACTTTACACTCCACACTCTACACTCCACACTCGACACTCGACACTCTACACTTCACACTTCACACTCCACACTCCACACTCCACACTCTACACTCTACATTCCACACTCTACACTTTTCACTCCACACTTGACACTTGACACTTGACACTCCACACTCTACACTCCACACTCTACACTTTACACTTTACACTCCACACTCTACTCTTTACACTCCACACTTCGCACTTTCCACTTCACACTTTACACTCTACACTCTACACTTTACACTCCACACTCCACATGTACACTTCACACTTTACACTTTACACTCCACACTTTACACTTTACACTTTACACTCCACACTCTACGCTCTACACTTTACACTCTACACTTTACACTCCACACTCTACACTCCACACTCTACACTCCACACTCCACACTTCACACTCCACACTCCACACTCTACACTTTACACCCCACACACCCCACACATTCCACACTTCACACTTCACACTCTACAGCCCCACACTTTACACTTACACTCCACACTTTACACTGTACACTCCACACTTCACACTCTAACACTTTGCACTTTACACTTTGCACTGTGCACTCCATACTATACACTCCACACTTTACACTTTACACTTTACACTCCACACCTTACACTGTACACTCCACACTCCGCACTCTACGCTCCACACTCTGCACTCCACACTCCACAGTTTACACTTTACACTCCAAACTCCACAGTTTACACTTTACACCCCAGACTCTACCCTTACACTCCACACTACACTTTACACTGTGCACTCCACACTTCACACTCCACCCTCTTCCGCATTCCACAGTCTACAGTGCAAGGTTTACGGTAACAGGGGAAAAATGTACAAGACTGTTCAAATAACTTGTTTCGCAAAAGTGTCCTGCGTGACTGCATTCGGGTTGGTCGGCTGCATCTTGTTTCATTCAAATCTGAATGTATGTTTCAATCCTGTTGCTCATAAGCTTCAAAAACAGCTTAGTAGGCGTATGTGGCCAGTGATTGTAAGTGGCAAACGAAGCTCACTGGCTCATAGATGCTGTTGCTCTTGTTTAAAGTTTAAAGATGCTTAACATGGTTAAAGCACTGGAACCTGAGGACAATACTGCAACTTTGCCCAACTGGATCTTCAACACAGTTGTTATTGGCATATCAGCCACGGGCCAGAGAGGACCAGACTTTTCTCAACGAGGCGTGGCACCGCTTCAGCAATGTAGATATAGCCTTATAGCCATGCCTCTTCACAAACCTTCAAAGACACTGTAGAGAGATTCTATTGAGATTCAGGGGGTGTGGTCAGTGTGGTCCTCGGGGGACCTGGCTGCATGAGTATTGCGGTGTTGGGCACGAGTGGGAATCAAGGGTGACCACATGTCATTCACTCTTTGCTTCTGGTAGAATTTCCTTTTTTTTCCTACAAGAACCTTCAAGCCTCCCACAGCATCCCACAGCAAATCTTTCCTGCGTGGCGGACTTGGACCGTGATACTTGTACCACCCTTCAATTGCATGCTGACATTTCTGAGATGCTTTGGCTGAAAAGCAAAACTAGACCAGCTGAATGAAGCATACGCTGTCCTGAATACCTGGCTTCCTTTATGACCATGTTTGGCGAATCAATTTGAGATATTTCTGTTGTGGTAGTGAAGGAGCTGTTGCCGCACTTCGACGCAGTCTCTCGCCAGACTTTGCTGTGGTACTGTTCGGCGCTTCAGATCTGTCATTATTTGACATCGAACTGTCATTGTAAGTACTTTCTGTTGTCGGAGGGCCATGTACAGAAATGTGACTAACTCTGGCCTGGCAATTATGTGTGTACGATTGCAAGACTCCATGTTTCCTGATGGCTGCTTCTAAAGACAAAGATCTCCCCACCACTGCTCCCGTTTGGGAGAAGGCTGGTATTTGTTAAAACCCTATGTTTTTACATGAGAAGCTTAAGATGATGGTTTACGATGATTAGCTGATTAGCAATTCTTACATTGACATTTCGTCTCAGAGTCTAAGGTCTCTGAACCGATTTCGGATCTTTGCACACTCTTTACTTGCAAGCGACGTGACACAGACGCAACGAACCACCAATGCCAAAAGACGTGTGCAGCTGATGTTTCTTTGCAGACTAGTCCAGCTTGCTTGAAGGATCGCGAGGCCCTTTCAAGGCTTCACAGAAGGTCAAGTAGTTTATTGATATATATATATATAAATATATATTATTGCTCATGAACGCATTCTTCCAACAGAGGGTAGCAGAGGTGTCGCACAGTTTACAATTCATCTAATACCAGCCACCGCGATGCTGAAAGCTGCTCGTCTCCTTGGAACAGGCAGCGGACAGCTTTCAGCCCAGCGAAGAAGCAGAATGGGTCAGGACCTCAGGGTGTGATGCAGCCGGAGCGACATGAGGAGCTATGCAGTAGAAAGGGTAATTAGGGAGGATTTCAGATGATTTTGGGATGCAAATTCATTGTGTTTTGTGCAATGTGAATTGCCAAAATTTCAGATCTCAGTCTGGGCCTTCAGTGATCACCTTTCACGGGCAGAGGATGGATAGTTTTGCTTGACCGCAGCCACGAGGTTGCCACGAAGTGGGAAGGATTTGTGCGGCCCACAGCTTCCTGGCCAAAAAAAAATTACGGGAAGCGGAATGGTCCCATTTTCGATTATTTTCTACAACTGTCTCTGTGCCAACGGTGCAGTTCAAAAGATGGTGTCAGTTTTTCAGTTCTATTTTCGTCCAGCATTCAATTTGTTTGGCGATGTTTGGCGTCATGTTCATCCTACTTCCATATAGGCAATAGCGTGCTGTCCATACCAGCTTTGCCTTGAGATGCCTTGAGGATGTGTCGAACAGTCACCCTACCGGTGTGGACATCGAGCTTCTGAGAAAGATTGGAGAACGGCTTTGCTACACTCCAGAGGGGTTCAAGGCTGGGCCGGTGCAGCGGACTCAGAATTTTACAGCCTACCAGGGCTTGCCATATCAGACGATGTAGGCTACCTACCTAGATGCTCAAAGTAGAAAAATGAACTTGTGTGACTTGTGTGTAAGAATGGTAAATTCAAAGTTAATTACTCATATTTTATGATAAGACAGTTTTTCATGTGTACACAGAGCGTCCAAGGTAATTAATTATATCAATTTGATACATCTCAGTGCGTTACTATGTTACATCAGGATTTTTCAGCTTGTGTGTTTCACCATGCATGTGACACGGTCGTTTCTAAGAGGTTTCAAACGGAGCCACAGGCGCATGCGGGATTGAAGCGACAGCTCAAGAAGAAGATGGAGGACGGTCATCATTGTTTGGCCAGGAAGCAGACTAAGCAGACTGAGCCTGGATCTAGGTCGGAATTAAGTAAGAAAAGGAAACGATGGGATTGTAACATGCATTCCGTATTCCATTTGTAACATTAGTAGGTGGGAGAAAGGCACGAGGAGTATCCTAAAACGTTAGTGTTAAAACTATTTAAAATTCAAAAAGCGCAGTGCCAAACCATGCAACAGCTAAGTGATCTAAGTAGTACACGCTGCAAAATGTTGCATGCAGCAGATGCATTTGCAAGGACATCGAGACCGGGGAGACCATTGACTGGGCTACGGCAGAAGCTTTGGCCTTCGGCACGCTGCTTCTGGAGGGCAATCACGTCCGTAGCTTGTCAGAGAGCATATGAGCGACCGTAAAAACCCCGGCAATACTAAATATGTATTCGACGGACATTGGTTTATGGAAATTGATGGAAATTGTTAAAAACACGAGGTAAGCGATGGGACCTTCCCAAATTAGCGATACCCCTTTTCAAGGTTATGTCATCATATTTCTCTAATATCCACATTAGCGATACCCAAATATCACATATTATTCATAGTTCATCACACACACACACATATATATATATATATAAATGCAGCAGTTTCCTGCAAGCGATACCCCCCAAGTTTACCATATATCATTATTGTACAAACGTGTGGTAAGCGATGGGACCTTCCCAAATTTGTGGATGTCCTTTCCGTGAACCTAGGGTTTTCACAATCGCTCATATGAAGTCAGTAGTGAGTCATGGAGAAAGCAGCTGATACACGAACATACTAGGCCTTTTCGCCATACCTTTCTTTTCTTCTGACATTGGTACACTATGGTACACTTACCGGTGGCATGTGTATTGTGAGTGGGCACTTGGTTTGGAGTTTTGGTATCACAGCAACTCTGATGACTTCAGGCTGTGGCATTCACAACCGTTCGGAAAGAAGCATAGCCTGAACACTTACCCTATTGCCAGCATAGTTGTCACGCTGAGGGCGGCTATGTTCAAACATGTTCAAACAATATCAAACAATATTCAATAAAGTTTTCAATAGATTTCAATAGATTTCAATAGTACATGATGGAAAGGGCAGCCATTTTGGGCTACTCACATCTACTCACCGTTCATGCTTGACAAATGCTGCTCAGGGCCTCCAGCCATTGCTGTAGCCCATAATTCAGAAATGGTGATTTTGAACAAACATGTGGTGCGATAACGCACTGGAATTGATAGATTTGATACGATTGCACAAACATGTTGACACATTTGACACAACATGTGATATATATATATATGTGATCAGATGCCGCCAGATGCCCCTGCAGTGTTTGCTCACTATTATCATGCAAACAGTGTGCAAGAGTGCCTCCCAAGTTTGATGAATCTTCCCAGGCGCGTTTGTCACAGATCGTCAAAGGCTGTCACTCCAAAGCCACTCATACCGGAGCACACAGGTCTTCAAAATTTACGAGAAAAAGCGGAGAACGCTGTAGCACTTCGCAGAACATCCTCGAACCTTTGCCTTCCTGGGCTGACGCCATGGCTGGTGGATGGCTGAAAAATGGCCAGGCCTCCCAAGGTGGGCCATCGAAACGGTACAAGTTTTGAAAAAAATGCAACTGCTCAAGGACTTAGATCTGGATGTCTGAACAATTCTGAACAGGTTTCCTGTCAAGGTCGGTTCCAGGCTCTAGACTCATCTAGACTCTACACCAAAATGCATTAAAATGCATTAAAGAAGATCCCTCTCAACCATTTCATATCATTTGTACACGCTACTTTCTGTTTGAGTGAGCCATCATTTGTGTACAAACGATTACAAACGTCTTTTAATATCCTTTAAACATACTATTTTATAAATTTTTATAATACAATAAAATATAATATGAATCCTTATGCGATATTACAATAGTCCTTCAATAGCTTTCAATACTTCCAGAATTTTTCCCCAGAGTTAGACTCGGCGCTTGTTGGTCCAGGCGCCTCCCCGCACGGCCTTGGAGCTTTTGAAGTTGGGGGTCACAGAACTCGCCATAGACAAGCTGTTGCAAGACGACTTGCCCAAATGGCGCCGCAAGCCCAAAGAGGCGACAGGGGTGCTGACGCTTGCAGAGAAACCTACAGAAACCTACCCAGCATGATTTTACCATATTTTACCTAACTTTCCTATGGATCTTATGGTTTCCTTCATACCAAAGTCCCACCGCCAAACACGTCATGCTGCTAAGGGCAAGTCGATGTGCTTCTTTTTTCGCTCAGTTTGTTGGAATTGGGTTGGGGATGAAAATTGGAAAGTTGCCTCTTCAGAAAGTGGTGGCATACTGCATTCAATTATATAAATGCATATAAATGCAAGATTTTGGCAAAACATTTTTCCTGCATTGATCAATGTGATTTTTGGCAAATCCATTAACTAATTTTATTCGTTTCACGGTGTCGTGAAGATGGACGAGGGGTGGATCTGAGGAATGCATTGGCAGAACGGGGTCTCGCCACGACGGCCCTGCATGTGCTAAAGACCATGAACCGTCACAAGGCAAAGGATCTGAGATGATTTGAGTTGCTGAGAGACAACCATGCAAATGCTCATAGATCTCATAGTGTTGCTCCTTAGACAATTTAGATAGGTGCTGTCTAAGGTGCTCGAGTCTCGAATATAATAATAAGAAGATCACGAAGCTTCTTCCATCTTCTTCCTGCAAACTTTCAATATTTTTTAAATATTATTTAATTATATGAAATCTCTCATGCTTTTAATTGTCTTGCACCCCTACAGCAAGGGTGCTTCACAGCGCTCCTGCATCACATTGCTTCAGGTTCCCATCAACACCTTCCACCTAAACGTGGCCATCAAGGCAGCTCGCAGGTCCAAAGACTGGCGGATGGCATTTCAACTCTTGGAGACTGCAGCAGGGATGCTGCTCGGCAGTTGAACGCAGTTGAACGCAGCTTGACAGACACGGACTTCCGGACAAACAGGGGATCAAACAGGGATGCCAAAAGGATGAAGTTTCAGAGTAACAACAATGTGATGCCGAGAAATAGATAAAGTGGCCAACAAGCACAACAACGCTGTTGGTGGTGACAAGGTATAGTATGGTGCCGGGGAACCTAGCAAGAATGGAGGAGTTTCAATGAACTACAAACTGGTCAAACTGGTCACACTGCAAGTTCTTTCTCCAGCGCGCCTAGTATCGTATGAGTTGGATGAGTTCACCAAGTTTATCGGCCATGGAGACTGACCACACCAGCGAAGCTAAGTAGCGAAATGCAACGCACCCTGATACAAAGTGATCATGACATCCAGCGGCTTACTGGCACTTTGCAGTGTATCTAGGGCTATAACATATTAGATGAGAGAGAGATATTTGATAAATAAATACATATATATATATACAATATATATATATACACATAATATAACTGCGTACAGAATATAATAGTAGTAACAATAATGCCATAGGATATTGTAGCATAGTGTTGGCGCAGCTTCTGAGGAAAGTGGTCCCTGACCGCATCTCTTTCAACTCAGTAATCAGCGCCTGCAACGTTCAGAGCGCCTGGCATGCCGGCTTGAACCTTTTAGTGGAGATGAAGGCGGCATTCATAAGACCAAATGAAACCTGGCAAGTACTTGGTCTTACTTGGTTCGGACATGTTGAAAAGATGAGTGAGTAGCATGCATGTTTAGGTGTCCCTGTAGTGATTTCTTCCGTGGGCATGTGTGCTGGTGTGCCTATGGTATCATTGCATGGTTGGCAAGGCAATCTAAAGGATCCCGTTTTTTTGTTGATTTGTACTGACGTGTACTCACTATAGACTATAGTCAAATATTATCAAATATTTATGTTTGACATATTTTAGAGTACCAGTTCTTGTAAATGTCGGATTTTGAAAGGTCCTCCATCTTGGATTTTGGATGATTCCGGGATATTCTGGATGTCCAAAGCAGGAAACTACTGTAGTTGTTACAAAACATACCTAAAACATCCTAGAATCACGCAGGACTTGGCTGATACCCAGGGGCTGCCACCAGGTCAGGGCGCATTTGAGTCCAAAGTTTTGGCGCACGTCTGCCCTTACTCTAATTTTGCTCCCCCGCTCCAAGAAAATCATTTATTCTGAGCGGGTACCCAGACTGGAAGTGCTTGTGATCGGGATCGCTTTGGCTTATTGAGACATATTGAGCCATACTGAGCCTATTAGTTTTCTTTTTTTGTTTTCCTGTAGTTATTAGAAGCTTCACCCGTCGCCTTGTTCCCAGGAAATCACCTACAGCTCGGCCATCAGCATTTGCGATGCTTCTGCGTGGCCGGTTGCGCTGCAACTCTTGGCGGAGATGCTGGAGGATGCGGGCGACGAAAGGGTTTGTTGCCAGCTTCAACCCAGCTTTCAATTTGATCAATTTGTCCTCCAGCTATTTCCATCCCTTTCCGTTCTTTTGCATCCATTTTCCATCTAATTACTATAATTACTGCATTTCATTTAACTCTTTAATTTAATTTGTTCCATCCAGGTGCAGCTTCAGCCGTATGTGCCAGCCTTCAATGCTGCCATCACCTGCTGCGGTACTGCACAGCATTGGGAGCGTGCGAGTTTGTTGCTGCAGAAGATGAAGGAAGCCAGAGCCCAGGCACGACTGGAGTGTTGAAAGCACCCTAGCCCAAACAATCAACTATATTATAGTAGAACTAGAATGAACTAGATAGATACTAGTGATACAGAGTGATACATGTAAATGCTAATTGCTGGTTATGCTGGTTATACTGGTTATGCCTGTTATGCTTGTTCCAGTGATTGCAGACATTGCAGGCAGATGTCATCAGCTGCAACGCTGCAATCACTGCATGTGAAAAGGCCAGTGAATGGCAAGCAGCACTGGCAACCCTCTTTGGGCACCTTGAATGCAAGAGTTTGCAGTCGCTTTGCTGATGTGAAGCCACAGCTTCTGGTTCCAAGATTCCTGGTAAAATTGGTAAAGAGAGTTCTTTTGGAGGCATTGTGTACATTTGCAATCATTTGCACACGGGCTCCACGGGCTCCACGGGCTGGGCTGAGAACTTCAAGTCTTCGGTCAACTCAGCCAGCCATTCAATGTCATCAATGTCTGCAACAGGTCAGGCTCAAGCATAGGGTGTTGTTGTTGTGGATGCGTAACAGGTTGCAGTTTCCTTTGCCATGAATTCGTTGCCTCATTCCAAGCGTTCGCAGTATGGAGGATTGAAGTATTCGTATCCATGGGCATTTCAAAGGTTGCTGTACACCTTGGACAACACCCCAGACCTTCTCTCAGCACCATCCCAGCCGTCCAAACCTTTGGAAAAATTGGAGACGCCTCCCAGGAAGTTGCCCTCTTCATCATCTCAGCTTCTGACAGGAGATCAGCTCATGGATTTGAGCCCAGAAGCACTACGGAAGCATTTCGAAGGACGAGTCATCCGTGGTCTTTGTAATGCACATCAAGTGCGTAGGGCTGGCCTGCGACACATCAGTTCAGCACCCGAGATCAGCCGGAAGCAGAAAAAGCAAAAGGAGCAGAAGGCACATGGCACACATGCTGAAAGGAGACCGGAAACAGCTGGCCAGACAGATGCACTTACCTTATCATTGACACGAGACAGAAATGCAGGTGGCAGAGTCTTTCACAAAGACTCTTCCTGGGAGAAAGTGGGATTCCTGGGGCAACGTACCATGTTGCCCTATGTGGAGAAACCTCGGAGCCCATTACCAGAACACATCCGGCGGGAGATGGCGGAGGAAAAGGAAACCCTGCATACCATCTCCATGAGGTTCTCCTTACCCCGGCAACCCGGTGGTATGGTTTTCTCAAGCTAGGACCAGGATGGACCAGGCCATGACAAGCTGAGTTTGCTGTGAGCGGATTAGATCGGTGTATGATCGGTGTCCTTGATTTGTTGAGGACATGTGCACTGAATAGTCACTGAATAGGCCGAATAGGCAACGTGTTTGCCGTGGCTTTGAAATCCAGGTGCTGAGTAGCCAATGACTCCAATGACCTTACACTGGCTCTGTTTGATACTGTTTGCTTCATCTTGATTTTGAGCCATTCACATGCTTCACTACGAAGGAGTTAGAGAAAGATATAATATATAGATATATATATATAATAAAATGGTAATTAATAATAATTAACAACAATAATAATTGATGTACAATTATGCAGTTGTCAATTCTTGTCAAGCTATTTCATGGCACCAGGATTGGCTGTCTTATCAAGGCTTTTTGCGGGAAAAGCCTTTCTCAGGCAAGGCTACTGGGATGTCCTTTTCGAGGGGCGTTTCCACAACCTTCATTTGGTCATGCTTAGGTGATCTCGCTGCCGTCGCCAAGCGATGAAGCAGAGCAGTTGTAGGCTTCTAACCCCCAGATGGGGGTATCACTGAAGCTTTGGTCAAGATGAAAAGGATCGACAAGGCAGCGTTAAACCGTTAAACCTTCAGCTTCTGCAAGGTGACAAGGTGAAAGAGGATGAAAGAAGGTCCTTGCACTATCTTGCACTTAGTTGAAAAAATTACACCGGCATAGACCCCAGATAGAAAAGGTTGGAACTGATGGTTCCCAACGTGGGAACCAAAGGTTACTATGGCAATGAACTGCCAGTTCCCAGACCTTGAAACTTACGGTTCCCAACCTGGGAACCAGAGGTTACCATTGCAAGGAATTGCCGGTTCCCAGAAGTTAGAATTTATGTTTTCGAAACTAAGTAACTATCATTGTAAGGAACTGCAGATTCCCAAAGTTTGAAACTCATGGTTCCAAAGCTGAAAAAGCATACGTTACCAGTGGAAGGATCTGTTGATTTCGAAAAATAGAAATCATGGTTCTTAAGGTTGTTTTGTTTTGTTTACTGAGCCGGTAACAGAACCTTTTGTTTTGCTCAATGGACCGGTAGCGGAATCTTTGCGTTCGGCTGCTGGGCCGGCTTAAAAATGTTTTTGCACGAAAAAGGTGCATGTTAAAATGATATGAAAACAATTTCTTTACAACTTTATGGTTTTGCGTAATGGACCGGTAAAGAACGCTTTGTTTTGCTTAATGGACCGGTACCGGAATGTTTGCGTTTGGTTCATGGCAAGGAACTGCCGGTTCCCACAGGTTGGAACTCACTGTTGCCAACGTGGGAACCACAGGTTACCATTGCAAGGAACTGCCGGTTCCCAGAGGTTGGAACTCCTGGTTCCCAACCTGGGAACCATGGATTACCATTGCAAGAAACTGCCGGTTACCAGAGGTTGGAACTCATGCTTCCCAACCTGGGAACCATAGGTTACCATTGCAAGCAACTGCCGGTTCCCAGCGGTTGGAACTCATGCTTCCCAACCTGGGAACCATAGGTTACCATTGCAAAGAACTTCCAATTCCTAAAGGTTGGAACTGATGGTTCCCAACGTGGGAACCAAAGGTTAGCAAGGAACTGCCAGTTCCCAGACCTTGAAACTTACGGCTCCCAACCTGGGAGCCAGAGGTTACTATTGCAAGGAATTGCCGGTTCCCAGAAGTTGCAATTTATGTTTTCGAAGCTAGGCGGCTATCATTGTAAGGAACTGCGGGTTCCCAAAGCTTGAAACTCATGGTTCCAAGCCTGAAAAAGTAACGTTACCAGTGGAAGGATCTGTTGATTGCAAAAAGATAAAGATCATGGTTCTTAATGTTGTTTTGTTTTGTTTACTGAGCCGGTAACAGAACCTTTTGTTTTGCTTAATGGACCGGTAGCGGAATGTTTGCGTTTGGCTGTTGGGCCGGCTTAAAAATGTTTTTGCACGAAAAAGGTGCATGTCAAAATGATATGAACACAGTTTCTTTACAATTTTATGGTTTTGCTTAATGGACCGGTACAGAACGCTTTGTTTTGCTTAATGGACCGGTACCGGAATGTTTGCGTTTGGTTCATGGCAAGGAACTGCCGGTTCCCAAAGGTTGGAACTCACTGTTCCCAACCTGGGAACCATGGGTTACCATTGCAAGAAACTGCCGGTTACCAGAGGTTGGAACTCATGCTTCCCAACCTGGGAACCATAGGTTACCATTGCAAGCAACTGCCGGTTCCCAGCGGTTGGAACTCATGCTTCCCAACCTGGGAACCATAGGTTACCATTGCAAAGAACTTCCAATTCCTAAAGGTTGGAACTGATGGTTCCCAACGTGGGAACCAAAGGTTACCATGGCAAGGAACTGCCGGTTCCCAGACCTTGAAACTTACGGTTCCCAACCTGGGAACCAGAGGTTACCATTGCACGAATTGCCGGTTCCCAGAAGTTAGAATTTATGTTTTCGAAGCTAAGCAACTATCATTGTAAGGAATTGCCGGTTGCGAAAGCTTGAAACTCATGGTTCCAAACCTGAAAAAGCATACGTTGCCAGTGGAAGGATCTGTTGATTGCAAAAAGCTAGAACTCATGGTTCTTAATGTTGTTTTGTTTTGTTTACTGAGCCGGTAACAGAACCTTTTGTTTTGCTTAATGGACCGGTCGCGGAATGTTTGCGTTTGGCTGTTGGGCCGGCATAAAAATGTTTTTGAGCGAAAAAGGTGCATGTCAAAATGATATGAAAACAGTTTCTTTACAATTTTATGGTTTTTCTTAATGGACCGGTAAAGAAGGCTTTGTTTTGCTTCATGGACCGGTACCAGAATGTTTGCGTTTGGTTCATGGCAAGGAACTGCCGGTTCCCAAAGGTTGGAACTCACTGTTCCCAACCTGGGAACCATGGGTTACCATTGCAAGAAACTGCCGGTTACCAGAGGTTGGAACTCATGCTTCCCAACCTGGGAACCATAGGTTACCATTGCAAAGAACTGCCGTTTCCTAAAGGTTGGAAATGATGGTTCCCAACGTGGGAACCAAAGGTTACCATGGCAAGGAACTGCCAGTTCCCAGACCTTGAAACTTACGGTTCCCAACCTGGGAACCAGAGGTTACTATTGCAAGGAATTGCCGGTTCCCAGAAGTTGCAATTTATGTTTTCGAAGCTAGGCGGCTATCATTGTAAGGAACTGCGGGTTCCCAAAGCTTGAAACTCATGGTTCCAAGCCTGAAAAAGTAACGTTACCAGTGGAAGGATCTGTTGATTGCAAAAAGTTAGACCTCATGGTTCTTAATGTTGTTTTGTTTTGTTTACTGAGCCGGTAACAGAACCTTTTGTTTTGCTTAATGGACCGGTAGCGGAATGTTTGCGTTTGGCTGCTGGGCCGGCATAAAAATGTTTTTGCACGAAAAAGGTGCATGTTAAAATGATATGAAAACAGTTTCTTTACAATTTTATGGTTTTGCTTAATGGACCGGTACAGAACGCTTTGTTTTGCTTAATGGACCGGTACCGGAATGTTTGCGTTTGGTTCATGGCAAGGAACTGCCGGTTCCCAAAGGTTGGAACTCACGGTTGCCAACGTGGGAACCACAGGTTGCCATTGCAAGGAACTGCCGGTTCCCAGAGCTTGGAACTCCTGGTTCCCAACCTGGGAACCATGGGTTACCATTGCAAGCAACTGCCGGTTACCAGAGGTTGGAACTCATGCTTCCCAACCTGGGAACCATAGGTTACCATTGCAAAGAACTTCCAATTCCTAAAGGTTGGAACTGATGGTTCCCAACGTGGGAACCAAAGGTTACCATGGCAAGGAACTGCCGGTTCCCAGACCTTGAAACTTACGGTTCCCAACCTCGGAACCAGAGGTTACCATTGCAAGGAATTGCCGGTTCCCAGAAGTTAGAATTTTTGTTTTCGAAGCTAAGCAATATCATTGTAAGGAATTGCCGGTTGCGAAAGCTTGAAACTCATGGTTCCAAACCTGAAAAGGCATACGTTACCAGTGGAAGGATCTGTTGATTCCAAAAAGTTAGAACTCATGGTTCTTAATGTTGTTGTGTTTTGTTTGCTGAGCCGGTAACAGAACCTTTTGTTTTGCTTAGTGGACCGGTAGCGGAATCTTTGCGTTTGGCTGTTGGGCCGGCATAAAAATGTTTTTGAACGAAAAAGGTGCATGTTAAAATGATATGAAATCATTTTCTTTACAACTTTATGGTTTTGCTTAATGGACCGGTAAAGAACGCTTTGTTTTGCTTAATGGACCGGTACCAGAATGTTTGCGTTTGGTTCATGGCAAGGAACTGCCGGTTCCCAAAGGTTGGAACTCACTGTTGCCAAAGTGGGAACCACAGGTTACCATTGCAAGGAACTGCCGGTTCCCAGAGGTTGGAACTCCTGGTTCCCAGCCTGGGAACCATGGGTTACCATTGCAAGCAACTGCCGGGTACCAGAGGTTGGAACTCATGCTTCCCAACCTGGGAACCATAGGTTACCATTACAAAGAACTTCCAGTTCCTAAAGGATGGTACTGATAGTTCCGAACGTGGGAACCAAAGCACAGCACGCTACAGCACCCTGCACAGCACCCTGCACAGCACCTTTCACAGCACCCTTCACAGCACCTGCACAGCACCTTTGCGAGACTTCGCCACCGCAGTCTGGATAGCGCACCTTTGCCAGACTTCGCCACCGCAGTCTGGACAGCACCCTGCACAGCACCCTGCACAGCACCCTGCACAGCACTCTGCACAGCACCCTGCACAGCACCCTGCACAGCATCTGCACAATACTCCGCACAGCACCCTTCACAGCACCCTGCACAGCACCTTTGCCAGACTTCGCCACCGCAGTCTGGACAGCACCCTGCACAGCACCTTTGCCAGACTTCGCCACCGCAGTCTGGACAACACCCATGCACAGCACCCTGCACAGCACCTTTGCCAGACTTCGCCACCGCAGTCTGGACAGCACCCTGCACAGCACCCTGCACAGCACCTTTGCCAGACTTCGCCGCACCCTGCACAGCACCCTGCACAGCACCTTTGCCCTGCACAGCACCCTGCACAGCACCCTTGCAAGCACCACACCGCAGACAGCACCCTGCACAGCACCCTTCGCCACCGCAGACAACACCCTGCACAGCACCCTGCACAGCACCTTTGCCAGACTTCGCCACCGCAGTCTGGACAGCACCCTGCACACAGCACCCTGCACAGCACCCTGCACAGCACCCTGCACAGCACCTTTGCCAGACTTCGCCACCGCAGTCTGGACAGCACCCTGCACAGCACCCTGCACAGCACCTTTGCCAGACTTCGCCACCGCAGTCTGGACAGCACCCTGCACAGCACCCTGCACAGCACCTTTGCCAGACTTCGCCACCGCAGTCTGAGCACCTTTGCTAGACTTCGCCACCGCAGTCTGGACAGCCCTGCACAGCACCCTGCACAGCGCCTTTGCCAGACTTCGCCACCGCACTCTGGACAACACCCTGCAGAGCCCCCTGACAGCACCAGCACCCTGCACAGCACCCTGCACAGCACCTTTGCCAGACTTCGCCACCGCAGTCTGGACAGCACCCTGCACAGCACCCTGCACAGCACCCTGCACAGCACCCTGCACAGCACCTTTGCCATCTTCGCCACCGCAGTCTGGACAGCACCATGCACAGCACCCTGCACAGCACCTTTGCCAGACTTCGCCACTGCAGTCTGGACAGCACCTTGCACAGCACCCTGCACAGCACCTTTGCCAGACTTCGCCACCGCAGTCTGGACAGCACCCTGCACAGCACCCTGCACAGCACCTTTGCCAGACTTCGCCACCGCACTAGTACAGCACCCTGCACAGCACCCTGCACAGCACCCTGCACAGCACCCTGCTCAAAAGTTCGCCACCGAAGACCCCACCTTTGAGAAGTAAGAACCCCTATAGCTTGCCAGCTATCTGGGGAACAAGACGTGGACCACGCAACATCACTAAGCACTATCTAAGCACTTAATTGAGAACCTCAATGAACCTGAGCAATTTGTGCTAAACATACTCCAAGAAGCAAACGCTTGCTTGCTGGCATTTGTTGGCCTGTCAGTCAGCTTTTTATATATAGTTTTATATAAGTGTGATAATTTAACGTGGCTAATTGGCTAACATTGTCACCCGCTCTCAATATACCACTCCATCTCCCAAGCTCTGTCTTTTGCCTTTTTTCACTCCACGCAATGCAGTGCCTATATGGTTCGCCAACTCAGGTTTCCAACTCGTAGTTCATTGGGTGCCGTGATCAGCTGTGCTATGAACATCTATGAACTAATTTTGGCGTCGTCTCACATTTCCACATGAACCACATTACCAAAATCGATGTATTCCTGGTTTTGATCATTTTTGATGCGTAACCATCACCACCGTGCGATGTGTTCCAAACAAAACAGATGCCGTGTTCTCATGTGGCAAGGGTTAAAAGTTAAAAACCGACCGGCAATCCATACCCCCGATCGAGACCAAAACGCAGGTAATCCAGAATCCAGACCGATCCACAGATATGGCTCGCCACGGAACGATCCATAATGTGTATAATGTGTTTGTCCGGGCGTGCTTGTGTTACTTGAAGCTTGCAAGGCTAAATGACTGCATACGGCTGAATGGTCACTAAGGATGGAAACTTCAAGCGGAGTTCTGCCGGACACAGTGAGCTTCAACGCTGCATTGAGTGCTTGCGATGAGGCACAAGAAAGCATAAGACTTGTCATTATATTTATTCTTAGCTGGATTCATAGCTTCTTGCAATTCATGGGCATCTCATGGTCGTTTTCCCACTCATAGTCTCATAGTTGTTGTTGCAAATGTTCCCCCCGTAAATATTTAATTATATGATACTATTACATACGATTACTATTATGTGACCGTTTGGTCCTGGAACACCGAACAGCTTTTGCACGTTTGGTTTTCCGCTTTCTACCTCCAAGACACGCTCTGCAGGCTTGCCGTTGGCAAGATGGGCTGCAGTTATTCCACTTGATGCAGAAGCTTGCAAAAGATGCACTACAGAATCCATAAAATACCGGGGCAAGTCAGCAGGGACATGCCTGGGGCATGCTGGGGCTCATGCATTTTCTGTGTCAAGCCGATTCCTGCTGAATAATTGGGGATCGTCTCTGGCAGTCGCACCCCAGCGTGTCAGAAGTTGTTGCCTGCCTTCCTCAGACCCAGGACAAAGCCAGACATCATCAGCGTGAACGCATTGCTCAGTGCGTTAGCCCGAGCAGGCAACTCAGCGTCCTCGGTAAATTGAGCATGTACTGAGTGGCCTTCAGTGAGGTATGGCTATGGGGGGCTTAGAACTTTGATGTGGGCCTAAGCGGGCATGAGGGGAAGGGTTTTGCGCATGAATGCAGGACGCCAAAAAGGATGCCGATGACAATTCTATAACTCGTTGTGATTGCTCTGCGACCTGGGCCTCAGGATTCTTGTGGCTGGGGAACCCGAAAGCACCCAAAGGAATCCATACCTTCATCATGAATATGTTCTGCCTGCCAGCATTGGTCAGTTCAAATCACTGCAGGTGAGTGGTCCAAAGCGATTCTGCTTTTTGAGTCTGTGAGCCTTGGATGCTCAAAAAGGGATGGGAAGACAGAACTGGACCTGGAGGTCAAGTTCAGTGCTACTATACGAAACTTGATAGTTACACAATGAGGGAACCTGGGTGACAGTGTGCAATTCGCAAGAAGAAAAGAAGGGCATGTAGAATGTAGACGTCTACATTCTGAAGAAGTTGGCCAGAAGAGAGAGAGAGAGAGAGAGAGACAGAGAGACAGAGAGAGAACACCAAGAGAGCGTGCAAGTATGGTCTATGAAGACCGGGGGAGACAAGTAAGTCAGCAAGAGTTTCTCAAGTGGATTGGATTGAGTTAAAGTTCTCTGAGGCCCGGCTTCGCTCATGCAAATTCATATATGATATCCCGTGGAGAAAGTTTTATCCGTTGCCTTTGGTGCAGCGAAATTGTTTTGAAATGGATCATTACATTCATCAGCATGTCGCAAAGTGCCAAAGCTCTGCCGTTCAAGCAAGCAGGGAACCAGTTTGCTTTTGCCCATCCAGACCTAGTCCGAAACACCTGAAAATATCTGAAATTGATGCGGAAAGTGGATGAAAGTGGAAGGACAGAGGTCGTCCAAGCATTTTTGCCTTTCCTCGGAAAATTCCCAATCTGCATATCATTGAAAGTCCATTTTCAGCAGCACTGTGGAGGCCTGGCCATTCTCTACATGCAGATGTTTACACCTTCAATTCCGTCATCGCTGCTTGTGCCAAAGCTGGTTTGTGGCGGATGACTTTTCAACTCATGGAGGAGCGGCAATCTGGGAGACTGGTGTTATTTGGTGTTTCTTTTTTTGCGATGCAGCGGTTGCTGGCATGCACAAGAAAGTTACAATTTGATACAATTTGTATCAAAGTGTGCCGTTTCTCGCTGCCCAGTATTTTGAAGGACATGGGCACTGCCCGCGTGACATCTTCTGTAGTTAGCTGCAACTCTGCCATCACAGCCTGTGACAAAGCCGGCCAATGGGAGAGAGCTTTGCACCTTTTTACGAGTTTGCCAAGGTCTGACCGTCATGTTTCGTCCGATGAACACGGTTTATTTTGCTACGATGTTGGCCAGAAAACGATACAAAACGGTAACAGAAACAACTACAGTTGATCTTGTTCATGCAAGTGTGCCATCCATGTTTAGGGCTACTTTTCCTGTTCAAGGGCACAATTTAGGAGCACAAGTCGCTTGCAAGGGCATATTTGATGTGTCCATGACCTATGTGCCCAACTTTTTCGCTCCTGGATTTGTCCATGACCTAGTGCGACTACGACTTCATACAGGTACTGTTTACATGCCACATATGCATACATCATACACTTGTATTTGATGCATTTCAGAAAGGGCAGCAGAATTCATAGTCAATGGTACGCAAATTACTGTAAATTATCCTCGCAAATATATACGTAATATATTTTTTGAACATGACAGGGTTGCACATAAATTGGTCTACAGTGCTGAATAGTTCGGTACAGATCTTGCTTGGATTTGGAATTTGATTCAGCAGATGGAAAAATGCCAAAGTGCGATGCCGAGCCATGTCGACAGAGGCGACCATAAATATTTTTCAGACTTCTGGCCATGAAGTGGCCAGTTTGGACAATGCTGCAGTTCGAAGGATCGTGAAAGAAGACGGCGACTCGATCAAAGCTCTGAAGCGGTACCTGTGCAACAACTGGCAGACTCTGCCTGGGGGAGCTAAGATGTCAATTTACCGAATGAATTTGATCCAGAATGGTGAGATACTGAGAGACGACAAGCTGCTAAGTGAGGTCCGGATGCCTTCGGAGATTTCACTGATTCTGCGCGATGTTGCGCGGGCCGATGCTGATGAAACGGTTGATTTCCTGAACGCAGCAAAGTATGGTAAGGCAGAAGAGCTGGAAAGCCTTCTACTAAAGCCGATCGATCCCAATAGCGCGATTGGAGGCAGGATGATGACATCACCTTTGATAATCGCAGCTGCACAAGGGAACTTAGAATGTGTGAAACTCTTGATTGATGCTCAATCACAGGTAGATCACCTGAACAGAAATGGGGAGTCGGCCTTCAATGTGGCCTGTTCAAACAGCAAGTTGGATGTTGCACAGCTGTTGATCAAAGCCGGTGCATCCCAGAACCAAGTCGGCAAAGAAGGTGACTCTCCACTTTACCATTCCTGCCATGTTGGCGCCTTGGAGGCTACAAAGCTGCTACTGGAAGTACGGGCAGACACGAATGTTGTCACGATCAGCGGCCAGTCACCCTTATGGGTTGTTTGCAGCAGTGGCAATGCGCAGATTGTGAAATTGCTGCTAGAAGCCAGGGCCAACCAGAATCAGGCTGACCTGACTGGACGATCGCCCTTGCTGATGGCTGCCACCGTTGGATCTTTGAAAGTTGTGAAGCTATTGGTGAAAGCCGGTGCTTGCATGGACCAATCCAGCAGAGATGGCAGATCTCCGGTGTGGAATGCTTGTGCCAGCGGCCGTTTTGAAATTGCCAAGCATTTGATGGAAGCCAGGGCAGATGTGAACCAATGCAACCTGGACGGCGCCTCTCCATTGATGGCTGCTTGCGGCAAAGGATTTGCGAACCTTGTGAACCTACTGCTGGAGGCAGGCGTGGACAAGAACAAGCCCAACAAAGAAGGTGAATCACCTCTGTACATAGCTTGCAAAAAGCGCCATACAGAGGTTGTGAAGGGCTTGATAGATGCAGGCGCTGAAAAGAATCAATGCAGTCTGAGCGGCAACTCGCCCCTGTGGGCTGCATCAAAAAAGGGCTATCATGATGTCGCCCAGATCTTGCTGGAAGCTGGCGTGGACAAGGACAAAGCCAACAGACAGGGCGAATCAGCGTTGTACACCGCATGTGAGCACTCTCACATGATGGTCGGAGATGTGTTGCTGAAGGCAAGTGCTGATGTTGGCCAATGCGTCCTGGGCGGCTTGTCACCCCTTGGGATGGCGTGCAAGAAAGGTGGCGTCAACATGGTCGACCGGTTGCTTCAAGCCAGGGCCAGCACGGAGCAGTGTGATTTGAAAGGTAGAGCACCTCTATACATTGCCTGTGAGACGGACCTGGAGCTGAACAGTCAGATTGCGATCGCAAGACTCTTGCTTGGAGCTGGTGCCAGTGCGAACCAACGCACCCTGAAGGGCAGATCTCCTTTGTCGATAGCATGCAGGAAAGGTTCTTTGTGGTTGGCAAAGGTGTTACTTGATGCCGGCGCCAAGAACAGCCTGGACTTGGAAGGCAAGTCGCCCCTGTCGATTGCTTGCGAGAATGGTGAGTTGGAGATTGCAAAGCTGCTTTTGGAGGCTGGTGCAGATCAAAACCAGCTGCCACCAGACGGCAGATCCTGTTTGTGGATTGCTTGTGAGGGAGATCATGCCGATGTTGTCACGTTACTTGCGGAAGCGCGTGCAGATTTGAACGCGACCAACCCGAGGGAGTCAGAGATGTCACCTTTGTGCCTTGCTTGTGCCTTGGGGCATTCTGAAGTTGTTCGAGCATTGTTGGCAGCAGGCGCTGACAAAGAACAGTGCAGCAGCGAGGGGGCCTGGCCTTTGTGGATTGCTTGTGAGCGGGACCAGTTGAAGATCGCTCGTATTTTGCTGATGGATGGTGCGGAGCTTGATGGGCGGACAGTGGAAGGTTTGACACCTGTGGAAGCTGCAGACAACCAAGAAAAGTTTCAGCAACTCTTCCAATCCTATAGCCAGTCACGCAGCCAGCCTAGCCAACCCGCCAAGAAGAGGCGCCTTTAAAATGTCAAAGGCCTGGAAACAAAAAAGGCTGACCGTGCGAGCGGATGAAGTCTCATCTGAATAAGTGGTGGTTTACCAGTGTATTTCTCCCCAACGTTTCAGTCAAAAAAAATCAAGGTAAGTTAAACATGCCTTTATGCAGTCCACCAGCCATAAAGAAATTGAAAGGGCTTGCGAAACTTACCAGCACATCGCCTTGGCCATACTGCCCCAATAACAGGCTCCGGAGGTCCCACAAAAACATACAAGCATAAGAAGCAAATCGAGACGCATCACAAGGCCGTCCTGACATGTTTTGTAAGTTCGTGCTGTCATTGCAAGGCGCAAGCTTTCTCCCGACCAGCTGAGTTTCCACTCCCTGATTAGTGCATGCGATCAGGTGAGAGGACGATGGGTTTGCACAGTGTCAATAGATATCAATGGATTATTCAAAGTCCGAAGTCCCGATTATTTGCTTTCACCTTGAGAGCAATTCCAAAGAATATTCAAAAAAACGCAAAGTTACGGTGTACTGTGTTCCTTTACAAGAATAATTACAGTGCTCGGTGTGGAAGCCTATGCTGGCTGGGAGGCCTCCCAGTGGCAGTGGGCTCTTTCTTTTGCCACTTCCCAGCCGTCGGCAGTTGGGTTTTCTGCAGCAATCACAGCTTGCTCGAAACTCGGCAGACAAGAGGGCATGTCAGCATGTCCCATAATTTTATGCAACTTCCCGCAGCAGTTGCAGAGCAGCCCGCAACGCCGCGTGCTGTTTGATAGTGGTACATACAGTACTACTGTAGTTGATGAATGTTGATGATGCGATGAAAGGACAGTCAGATTGACAAATTACAATTACCATCAATTATCTATCATTATATATATATCTGCCATAATGCCATATAATGCCACATGTTCTGCATGTTTTTGTATGTTATTGCGTATTAGATGATATTAGATGCTCCCAGGCGAGGTGATCACTGGGAACGAGCCCTGCAATTGTTCCACAAGATGCCTAGCATTTTGCTGCAAGCGGATGTAGTGACCTATGGAGCTGATACTTGGCCAATTTGGTGGGGCTTCCGGTTGTGGTTCAAGTGGGACTAGTGTGTAGTAATTATTGTGTAGCAATAGAGAAACTATTGTGGTAGCAGATGGTAGGAGGCCAGGTAGGGTTTGGTTTGGCACTGATACATAGCGACATAGGGCCAGTTGTGTAGGAGTATCAGTGGTGGTCGTAGCATGGCTAGCAAGGCAGTGTCAAACTAACGCATCGTTTGGCCATAATTTGCAAAGTGTTTTCCTGTTGGACAAGGTGTGCGACTTTGGATTTGCGCTCCCCAGCCCCGCTCCCATTCAAGTCATTTCAAGTCATTTCAAGTCGACAAGTCGTGTTCCAATGGTTTCGTGGTTGAGACTTGCTTTGTCAATTTTGCCAATTTTGGCAGGCCATCAATGCATGTAGAGATTGGCCTCAAGCCCTGCACCTCCTTGAGAAGATGAAACAGGTCCAAGTCCAAGCTGGGAGTTTCGTGCCGCCCTTCTGGATCAATCCTGTAGTGTTCGGCAACCTATACTAGACTACTAGACCACTAGACCAGAACGTATTGTTGACATTTGTTGACATATTGTTGATCAAATGTTGTGCAAAGTTGCCTGACTTGAACTTGCGTCCAGTGGCATCCAATAGTGCCATCCTATGGCATCATGCAGTGAGTTTGCCTGTTTGGGTCGCTGCATTTTAGAGCAGCAGTAGAACAAGGGCAATAATAGGAATCACCACTCTTTAAATCAATGAAACCACCCATGCAGGCTGAAGTCCCTTGCCAGTATCAAGATTCAGTACAACGAGCTCTGATCTCACCCAAACCAAGAGAAGTCAATCCAAGTTTCAAAAACTGGATCGCATGAAGAAAAAGAACAATGCCAAAGTCATCCTAGCGCTTTGCTTCTCGCATTTCCTCCAGCCAGGTGCTTCAACCCAATCAGATTTGCATAAGCGGTGGCCTGAGAACAGTCAAAGACTGAGAGTCTGATAGTCCTTTCATAGCACACTTTTGCAGTTTGATCTCCTTTATCTTTCGTTGACTTTAGAATCATCCTTAGAATCATCCTTATGATCGTCCTTGATCATTTTCTTTGCCAAGTTCATTGGTTCGCAACTTCTGGCTAGATTGGCCAGCCACAGGTGCTGCCATTGCAATCGTTGCATCCTGCCGCGGGCCTTGGGCTGTGGCAGTGGAGCTGCTTTCCGCCGGTCAGCCTTCCAATGAAGTAGGCCGCCATGGCCGTAGAAGGGAAGTTTTTTTTTTGTGTGTAAATGGACCCTAGAGTGCCCATTATGACTCACTAGAGTTAAGGATACTAAAGGGAGATGATCCCCTCAGTGAAAGATGTGGACATTAGCAGCCCATGAAACCCTATGATTATCCATGATTGCGCATGCAAGTAGGCCAAAGGCAGATGTGCTTGACAAATCTTGACAAGTTTGCTCGTCCATTGAGACATGCAAAAAGTGCGGAACATTGTGCAACATGTTTAAGCCTCAAAGATCACATGACTATTACTGTCACATGACTATCACATATTATCACATGACTATCACATGCCTCCATGCTCAGGGTATGGAGCTGCCATTCGAGCATGCGAAGCTTCTGGCCAGTGGGCCTGAAACTTAGCATGAACCTCCAAACAGCAAGAATAGTTTATATAGAAGATATTGGATTAGAACAGGCAATGCGGCAACGCTATTGCAAGCTCGCTTTGATTCTTCAGTCGTGTTCAGGGTCGAGAACTCCATCACCTAGTTATGTAGTTTGACATGGTCTGACAATGTTTGACTGAAATTACTTCCATTTGAATTCTGCTCATGTTATATATATATAATATATATATATATTATAATATATACACCTCACTGCAACTGTCCATGTTGTCTCTGTGGCTGGTGCCATGATCTCACAGGAATGCGCGCTGCAGTTGCTGAACGATATGTGCAAGCAAAGCTTGCAGACGACAAGCAGCACTGCTGCCATGCTGGTTTGCAGCAGGGCAGGACGATGGCAGGAGGCACCCAACTCAGTTTGGCATACATGTGCGCTCCAAGTATGTGCCATCATGCTGTGGTTGGCCCGCTCCTCCTCTTTGCAACTCGATGTGGCATGCAAGAAGCTAAGGCACTGTTCAAAAATATGTGATACAATGTGATACTGGTAATTATAATATATATAATATATATGATCACACACACATACATATACTGTAAATATCTGTAAATATATATATAAATAAATAAATATATATATATATATTGTGCCAAAGTCCATGGTGCAAAAAGATGAGGGTTCGAACTTTGGACAAGTCCGCGCACATTTGCACAGATCCCTTGACATCCTTGACTTACATGTCCCATCAAAGCCATCAAACAGGATGGACCTGACATGACCTGACCCCGCTTTTCGTCCTGTGTTGAGGTACTTGTTTTGGCCACGCAGCCTTGTAGCTCGATGGAGGCTGTGGACCAAAGTACAGCTCTAGGTGCCTCGCCTGCATATGCAAAATCTATCCACTTTGGAATTTGTGCATGTGGTTCTTAATTCTTAACTTTTATATATAAATGTATAACTCCAATAGAGACTCTAATCATTCAAACAACATTTACCAAGGTTCGATTAGAAATGGAGAAATTGCATGAAAGTGCCGTGATTATATTGAACCATTTTGACATATCTCAACAATCTTGTGACCATTTGTGACCCCATTGTTCGACTTTGGAAGGCACAGCTTTGATGGAGTGTGAGCAGAGGAGCTCCTGGAACCGTCTGATCTGGGATCAGGATCAGGATGGATTCATATGGATTCAGCTTTTAGAAAGTGGCATCAAGATATATCAAGATACCATCTCTCCATCCATTTGACATGATTTTGACATCATTTTGACATAATGAGAAACCATGATTTTGACTTAACTTTACTGATTTTCCATGATTTTCCATAATTTCTCTGGAGTTTCCATGAGTCCATGAATCATTTTCCTAGCATGTTTGGAATGAAAGCTGCAGATCCATGCAGATCCTGAGGAGCTCGGTAGGTGCTGAGCGCCAGCTGCTACGGTCTCTATCGGCTGTCGCACCTGGTGCGCGGGTGGCGCTGCAAAGCTCGGCGCGGCTGCGGCGCACGCCAGTGTGGAGCCTAGGGGCAAACATGGGCAAACCCAACATCAAAACCCCAATTTCCATCTATAGTTCCATTTAATGGATGATGTCAAATTGCCATAAAATGCCATAAATAAATATCATAAATCAGAAAAAATGGTTGATGAATGGGATGGTTTATGATAATATGTGTTTTACCGTAAATTAAATGAGGGTCTTTAAATGTAAATGATACTGAGCATTGAGCGGGCAGGAGTTGATACAGTACATCCTCCATCCGCTCCGTCCGAAATGATTTCACTCTATCGTGATGCCATGTGATGCCACGGCGTACAACCTCCCCTGCGGCTGCCAGGGTGCTGGACCACTACGTGGAATCCTGTCGCACCTTGCAGATGCGAAGAAGGAGATGCTGCCGTATCATCAGGCAGTCTCCATGCTTAAGTACGTCATAGACAAGGCCCCTGCATGCCCCTGCTTGGTGGACGAATGAACTAGACTAACTGCTATAGATTTCTATAGCATCTACAAATTCCTTGCAATGACTTTCACATCAAGATTCATTGTAGGTGAATATGGATGCCTTGGCACTGTTCAGCTCAGAAAGCCTGTGAGCTGCATCAGCATGGCTGATGATTTTCCATTTGCACATCCTGGTGCCGTGGGCATTGGCTTAGTACTATTTGATGCAGATGTTATTGTTGGAGTTTAACTAACGGGGAACGACAGGCCACACCCTGCGATGTGGATGGCATTTTGCTGGCTTTAGATGACTTTGGCGAGGTGCCAGCGCACACTCAGCTGCGGGGTGGGGGCTGTGGGTCCTTCGTGGCGTATGACTTGCAATTCCAACATTCCAACATGTCGCAAAGCCCAGTAAAGCAGATGTAAGCAGATGTAAGGATCAATGCCATACCTGCGATTATTTGGCGACAAGGATAGACTTCCAAGGTCACCTGAATACAGACCTCCACATTGAGGACTTGGGCTGGGCAAAGTTTGCCGGTGGATCCAAGGGTGCGACCATGGTAGCTGCTTTGTGCACCTCAGCTTTAAAGGCGTGGCCGGGTGAACTCAACTATGAGCACACATCGAATTGCAAATCCTTGCCTGCGCCCGATGATTGTTTGGATCTGTTTGGTCTTTACCAGAAGTGGGCAACAGCCAAGAAAAGTATATATAATTATATATATTATATATATACGTTACCTGTTACCTTGTCAGAGAGAGAGAGAGAGAGAGTGCGCCGGTCCCATGCGCTCACCTAGCAGTATTCTTTTGACAACACTTGGCGTTGACTTATTCCAGCTGGGGCGGCTTTGGGGTGAGAAGAGCAGGATGGGTGTGTGTGTGTGCCACCTCCAAACTTAATAAATGTAACATGAAGTCGTGCAAGACCAACCATCCCTTTCCATGATCACAAGTGCTTATAGATGAGATGGCCGGTACAGGATGGTACAGGCATATTATTTTCAAGTTTTTGGACCTGGCCCCAGTAAGATGAAGCTTATGTAATGCAAAGTAGTGCCAACGCCAGCTTATAAGACAATGGTGCAAAACGAGCTGTTCAGCTTCCGCATGCCGAAATCTGATGGCATGTGAATTGGAGAAAGGGCAGCGGTCAAATTAAATTGTCTAAATTCAATTTGACCTACCAGTGTCAGTTTGATACGCAAACCTTGACTTGAATTTGTGCCAAAATCTAGCTTGAACTCGTCCAGCTGAGGAGGTGGTTTGCCTCCTTCCACCCAGAGACTCGGCTGGAGTACATTTGCATCACACTAAATAGCAACATATGCAGTAGCAATGAAAGTCTCTGGATCCACGTCTATTTAGGCAGAGTAGGATACAAAGATATTGCAAGAATTGGCAAGGTAACTTTTGCCCAACCAGGAGGAGTGAGATTATGACACATGAATATAAATTTTCATTTTATGACACTGTGCCAACTGCACATGAGCTCAAAATGCCCTGAGGCATTCCGGTGTTTTGGAGATCGGCACTTATTGGGGCACGTCCTGCCTTCGAGTGGCTCACGCGCTGGGCAATGTACCCATTACGACTTTGGAGTTGGACCCAGTGCATGTAGCCATCGCCAGAGTCCTGTGTCTTGACATATCTTGACTTTTTTTGGGGGGCTAGGCCAGGGAGGTAACATGAGAATGTGTGCAGGTGTTTTCTCATCAGTGGCATTAGCGGCCCTGTATTACCTTTTATTGGTGCACTGAATGAAATGGCTGCACGATGAAAGGAGAGAAAGAACCTTATGATCTAGATGGGTGGGAGATGGCTTGAAACAGGGACAACAAGGCAGGAAAGGCAAGTTAGGCAGTTTTGACACAAACAAAGCAATGGTCGTGCAAAGTGCAAAGTCCGCTTTTAGCCTATTTTTCACCGCCCGGTCTTGCTAAAGGGTTTGTTGAAGCGGGCTTATAGAAGTTTTTGGCCTGGCTTTGCTGTTGCGATCTAGGCTGGCATTTGCTGGCGTGGCTGTGAAGGTTTGCACGGGCCATAGTCAATTGTTGCTGCCTCGTTCTTTGTGCCAAGATTGAGTAACTTTTTCTGGTTGCAGTTTGCACGATGCAGCATGATGCAGCCACATATTTGGAATTATATACTTGCAGGCGTTTGTAGGCGTATTTCCTTTGTCAAAGATGTCGAAACACATTTCAGAAACATGATAGGAAAGAAAGCACAGACTCTTGAGTATGGAAATTGGACACCATGGCGACGCCTGCCAATGCCATCCATTGCAAGAGGTTTTCGTGGTGCTTTTGCAGCAGTTCTGATGGACAGATGGGGTTCAGAGTATGACGCTTGGAGTGGTCAAGCACAATGGTTCGGGAGCTGATTTCGTCTCAATCACCATCTCCCAGCTGGGTGGCAAGGGCAGCTATAACTCGGGTGGGGTGAGACATGAGAACAAAAAAGTACAAACTCCTAATGTTGGTTCCTGATTAGTGTGTGGCCCCCCCCCCCTCCCCTAAACTATATCTGGACTCTCTTTAAAGTAGAAAAGCAAAAAAAATCTTCCCAAAAGAAAAACATATCCTCGATTAAGTAAGGATTTCAATTGGCTACAATCGAAATCTAATTAAGATTGTTTTTTTTGCCGATGAAGTTGTGGTATTTGTAGTACTTGTAGACTTAGTACTTGTAGTACATGTAGTACTTGTAGTACTTGTAGTACGTAGTACTTGTAGTACTTGTAGTACTTGTAGTACTGTAGTACTTGTAGTACTTGTAGTACTTGTAGTACTTGTAGTACTTGTAGTACTTGTAGTACTTGTAGTACTTGTAGTACTTGTAGTACTTGTAGTACTTGTAGTACTTGTAGTACTTGTAGTACTTGTAGTACTTGTGGTACTTGTAGTACTTGTAGTACATGTAGCTGTACTTGTAGTACTTGTAGTCCTTGTAGTCCTTGTAGTACTTGTAGTACTTGTAGTACTTGCATTACTTGTAGTACTTGTAGTACTTGTAGTACTTGTAGTACTTGTAGTACTTGTAGTACTTGTAGTACTTGTAGTACTTGTAGTACTTGTAGTACTTGTGGTACTTGTAGTACTTGTAGTACATGTAGTACTTGTAGTACTTGTAGTACTTGTAGTCCTTGTAGTACTTGTAGTACTTGTAGTACTTGCATTACTTGTAGTACTTGTAGTACTTGTAGTACTAGTGGAAAAGCTGTTCTTTAATAAGGGTTCAATATCCTTTGGGAAAGGCTTGGAGTTTGAATTTGGCAATTTTGGAACAGGCTTGCTTCCCTTCTGGGCTTCCAGGGGCTGCTCTGGCACAGCTTGCTGCAATAGTGAACCCAGCAAACAAACCTACTAAAGTGAAATGGAGCCTCTCCTGGTCCAGGGCCTTGGAAAATTGTGGAAAAGCTGTTCTTTAATAAGGGTTTAATAAGGGATTGGTTCTTTTGGGAAAGGCTTGGAGTTTGAATTTGGCAATTTTGGAAAAGGGCTTGCTTCTGGGCTTCCAGGGCTGCTCTGGCACAGCTTGCTGCAATAGTGAACCCAGCAAACAAACCTACTAAAGTGAAATGGAGCCTCTCCTGGTCCAGGGCCTTGGAAAATTGTGGAAAAGCTGTTCTTTAATAAGGGTTTAATAAGGGATTGGTTCTTTTGGGAAAGGCTTGGAGTTTGAATTTGGCAATTGCCTTTGGAAAAGGCTTGCTTCCCTTCTGGGCTTTCAGGGGCTGCTCTGGCACAGCTTGCTGCAATAGTGAACCCAGCAAACAAACCTACTAAAGTGAAATGGAGCCTCTCCTGGTCCAGGGCCTTGGAAAATTGTGGAAAAGCTGTTCTTTAATAAGGGTTTAATAAGGGATTGGTTCTTTTGGGAAAGGCTTGGAGTTTGAATTTGGCAATTCCCTTCTGGGCTTCCAGGGGCTGCTCTGGCACAGCTTGCTGCAATAGTGAACCCAGCAAACAAACCTACTAAAGTGAAATGGAGCCTCTCCTGGTCCAGGGCCTTGGAAAATTGTGGAAAAGCTGTTCTTTAATAAGGGTTTAATAAGGGATTGGTTCTTTGGGAAAGGCTTGGAGTTTGAATTTGGCAATTTTGGAAAAGGCTTGCTTCCCTTCTGGGCTTCCAGGGGCTGCTCTGGCACAGCTTGCTGCAATAGTGAACCCAGCAAACAAACCTACTAAAGTGAAATGGAGCCTCTCCTGGTCCAGGGCCTTGGAAAATTGTGGAAAAGCTGTTCTTTAATAAGGGTTTAATAAGGGATTGGTTCTTTTGGGAAAGGCTTGGAGTTTGAATTTGGCAATTTTGGAAAAGGCTTGCTTCCCTTCTGGGCTTCCAGGGGCTGCTCTGGCACAGCTTGCTGCAATAGTGAACCCAGCAAACAAACCTACCTTGACTGAGCTACAGCGTTTTTGAGAAAAAAATGCGTCTCAGCAATTACAGTTTTTTTTGCAAAAAAAAGGGCTCTCCCAATTTTGTTTTGCCACAAAAGCGAACCCTCCAAACAATACATGAGTTTCAGAATAATTTGGAAAAAATTTGCCACAATAGCGACCCTAGGTACTAATCAGGACCCAACATTACCACCAGCCATGCTATCGACTGTAGGCTATTTGCATGCAACAGGAGAAATTAGCAAAGACAATCATGCTTGGAGAGTTGGAGATGTGGACATATTTTTTGCCTTTCAAGGACCATTTTTCCTTACTAAGGAAGAGGATTTGGAACTTCTTCATCGACATAACTTGCTCAAAAGTCCGGGGGCAGTGCTAGTGGCTGACAACGTGCTCTCGACAGCTGCAGTTGGTCTTCTTTGGCGAACTGGCAGAGGTATCTTGCACATGCGAGTTATTTGAATCGAGGGTGTTTAACAATCAAAAAGAGGCTTTATGACTCATGACTTTTTGTGAAGAAGAATCAAACTTTGTTTTGCAAAATTGTCTTGTTTCATGCTGTTTCTATGTAGCACGGCGTAGCAATACAGCTATGCTCAACTGTCCTACTTTTGTGGTAGCCTTTGCTTGGAAGTTCTCCAGACACTTTCCAGGTCAGGTGCATGGCGGGGATGGCCTGCAGTACACATCCCAGATGGTAGCTGTACAAGAGGTGGTTGACAAGTCCGAGGAGCGCAGGGTAGCAGGCCAGGTTGCCTTTGAATCTTTCGCCCAACTTCTTCGGCAACGAAGAGTGGCGGGTAAATTGGCTACGGCTAGGGTCAACCATTTTCCGTGTTCTTCCATCACCCACCTTTGTATCATCACAGGGACCTTGAGTTGTTGAAAGGTTTTCTGTTTTTGTTCCCTTCTTTTTTTCCATAGTTTTTCCATAGTTTTTTCATTGATTTTCCATCCTTTGCCATTTTGCCACGCAGGACTGGGTGTCGATCTCCGTGGGCGGTGCCAATTCTGTGTCGGTGGCACCGCTGCCAGAGCCGCTGATGGAGCTCCAGCGGAGATCCAGCTGTCTCCGGCAGCGAATCGTGGGAGCCAACGGCAGGGAGGTGGGAGCTGCAGTTCTGGGGTGCCAACGGGGGACAGGAGGCAAGTTCTTTAAAAGACAGTAGAACATAACAGAATATAACGGATTTTTTTTAGAAAATTATAGAAAGAACTGTGTTGTTTCAGTTGGTAGACCTTTTGGTGCAGTAGAAATGTTGGCTCTTGTGGGACTTGTGCTCTTTCATCCTGAGGTGGCGGAAGTGGAAATGCCGCGCTTTTGCCAAGAGGCACGTGAAGCGCTTCAGATGGCTTTGGCGACCCCTCCTGGCACAGCTGCGCTGAGAGGAAAATGAGCGCATCACAGGGATAACATGGCCCCAATGGGTCAATGGGCCCCCTGATGCCCAGGGGATCCAGGGGCTTCACTGGGGTGCAGTGGTTGCTCAAGAGGTCCAACAGCCATGACTGAATGCTGCAGCATGCTTAAACCTGAACTTTGGGATATTTTGGGATTAGCCGGTCTTATACTGCGTTCTTCAAACAATCCTTTAAGGCATCACCGGGCAAGATGTTCAGCGTGGAACTTTTGCTCATCGACACTGCGCCGGGAAGCTCAGAATCAACGGATGGAATCAGGGGACCTTGGGACCTTGGGTTGGCGCCGAAGGGATATTGCCGTGCTTCCATTTCACACATTTTCACACTCTGGTGGCACATCACTATTTACCGGGCTGACCTGCAAGCGTGCAGTTGGCCCGAGGTGCCACGAGGTCGACTTTGATCATCCGCATGATTTTGACGTGTTTTATCCACTTCTCGGTGCATAGGATGGCTCATGATTCTGCCGATGTCGGGGCATTTCTCTTTATATATATATATATATATATTTTTTTTAAATGAATCTGGTGAAAGCAAACGCCCCAAAATGATCCAAAATGCATGCACCACATGTCTCTTTCTGCTGTTACCATTCGCTTATTGTGCCCAGGTGATCAAGGACCAGGCTACTGGCGAGGATTGGTGTGTCATGGCCAGAAGGAGGGTGCAGCTTTCATGGAAAGGGGTCTACAGGCCTACAACATTCATCAACATCCTACTAATTAATTATCTAAGGGTGGCTTTTGGGTGATACTTCTTAGGGGTTTTCTTGTTGTCATTCCACTCCAGAAGAAACCTTGAAACATCCATATCAATCTCTTGGCAATTCTAGGGAATTTCTTTTGGATACTTGAGGGATTTGTTTGGGTAATCCAGGTACCCATAGCCTTACCAATGGGGCTGGACCACCAATTGTGAATACCAAACCATCAGTTTGAGGGTGTAGCTACCTAAAAATATTGCAGTGATGCTGTGCTTGGAAAAAATAGTGGGCTTGTGGCACAGTGTGCTGTGTAGGAATATATGGCCTTCGATTCAATAGGTAATTTATGTTTTTGATGGTCAATTTGAAGTTTTTGGAAAAAGTAATGCTGGACAAAAAATGCAGAATTCTGTTTATGTAAGCTCTGTTCAATGGAAAAAAACAAATCTGTGCTCTGGCAACCTTTCCCCATGTTTTGGGATTTTCATGGTTTTTTTTTGGATTTTTATATATTTTTATATATGGGATTTTCGTGGTGTTTGATTCTGGTCGGCTCATTTTTAGGATTTTCATGAGATTTTCATGGGATGTTTCTGGGATTGTTGTGGTGTTTGATTCTGGTCGGCCCATTTTTGGGATTTTTATGGATTTTTTGTGGGATTTTGTGGGATTGTTAAGGTGTTTGCTTCTGGTTGGCCCAAAACTACAGAACAAATAGTGGAATTGCCATGGTTTCAAAGCAAATATATAGTGTTTTTTTTATTTTTTAATTCATTCTGATAGATTATTGTTTAAATGGGTTTTGCTGCCATCTTGTAGTTTTAATGGATTGGTGTTGGGACTGTTTACATAGGTGTGTAGGTAATTTGTTGTTGATGTCGAAGCCAGCAGCTATTGAGTTGGGATTTGCTGTGGAAATTTGAGGATTTAAATTAATAGGGAATTTTCAGGTATGTTCAAAGATTTTCCAGGTATTTACTGGGAATTTTCAGGAACTTATAGTCAAACTAAGGGGTTTTAATGGGAATAATGTTGGTTTTCCTTGGGAACCGCCAAATTAGAAAATGCCTCTAACAAGAATTGCTCCAAAGCCGCTCTTTGATACTATTGCAGAGTCCATGTGAAGGTGTAGCAGCTCAAGATTGGGTGGTCAGATGGGTCCTTTTTTTTTTTTCTCTCCGGCACATGTCATGATTGTTTGAGCACTGAGGCTTCCTCCAGAACTTGGATCTTGGGCCACAGGAGCAGGGCCGGAATGTGGAGCTATCTTGGGCTCTTGGTTAAGTACCCCTCATCTGATGTTCCATTTTGCAGTGTGTAGACCATTGCAGACCCCATTGATAATGAACTATGTTATTGATCATTATGCAACAAATCACATCAAGTCATGTCAAGACAACCATATCAAAACTCATCAAGCCGTTCAAAATCCACAGCTTTCTGGCTTGGCCAGCGAAGCCCCACGGCATTTTGAAGAGCGACGCGAGTTTGCAGCCATGGGGAAAGAAAAGGATAAGATGCCAGAGGTAGACCAATGGGGTTCTTTGGCAGCACCAAAGATGGCAAAGCATGGCACACATCCACAACACAAGCTGGAGAACCAGTTGGTTGCCCCTAGAGGCAGCCTCCTTAGACATCTTAGACCTAGATGACAGTTGTTTGAAGTGATTGGCACACTTCCCAGGTTGAGAGATTTGTGTGGGGTTTCGTGCCCTTGTAGCCCTCAACACTTATTGTTTTGGCATCGTTCGTGATCAACTCACCACTCAGGTTCTCTTAAGTTTTTCCCGGTGCTCCTCATTGGGATCTTTCTTCCTCGTTTGATTGGCGGTGCTATTGCGGTGGCCATTTTCCAAAAGGGCAACACGGCGCTGTACAATGAGAACATGGAGAGCCTTGCGAAGGCCGCAACGGAGTCCATTTGTGCTGCAGGGCCGTCACAATGGATAGTGTAGTATGTGAAGTGATGAGAAATAAATAAATAGAAATAAGGTGTGATACAAATAACGGTTTCAAAGTCAGCGTGCTTGACAGGCCCCACGCTGGTCAGGCCATCGCTTTAGAATCTTTAGAACGCGGTCTCAACTATCGCTTTAGAACGCGGAAGATGATCCTATGTCATCAAGATAGCTGCAATGATGATGTATATAATATAATATATAATTAGAGGTAGAATGGTCCCTCCACTCCGATCTAAAATGGCTGGTCCCGAACCAAACCCTTCCCCCTCCAACTCAATGGCTAGTTGAGCAGAAGATCTGCCAAGACCAGGAAGAGACTAGTAATAGCATGTACAGTATATAATAGCTAGTAGAGTGGAATGAGCCTTTGAAGCTCCAGTGAGGATGTGTTCTGAAGTGAGGGATAGAAGTGTGTTCCGAAGTGATTCAAAATCGGTGTGTTCTGAAGTGATGGCTGGGAATGTGTTCTGAAGTGATCTTGTTGCACTGGCGGAGTATTCGCCACTTGATCTGTTTCGTTTGCAGGGGGAGCACGGCTACTTGTACGCTGCAGCGGCTGTGTTTGGTGTCATGGTCTCCTGGGTGAACCAATTTCCAATGCTGTACAAGCACAAGGTGATGCGTATCAACTCTGGAAACCTGCGCGCGAATATGATGATTTACAAAGAACTTGGTGCCAAAGAAGATGCACCATACATTGGGCTGGAAACAGAAGGGCCTGTCGGGTGCTACAACAGGGCAAACCGCTCCCTGTTCCACTTCACTGATGCTTGGCAGCCGGAGAGGGTGATATGGGTGATGCATGGTGATGCCATTGTTGTCATAGAGCAGACTGGGGATCTTGATGAATGTGACTTTTGTATCCTTTTATGTGTGATGCCTTCATCCTCTGTGGCACTGTGTTTCCGTCATTGGATTTCATTTGCTGATTTGCTGCTCTACAACTGAAGTTTCAATCATTTTCAATCACACTTGCGCAGCGGTGGCTGAACCCCGGGTTTTCCAAGGAGAACTCTTTGGCCTTTGCTGTATGCTTGGTCCTTGCTGGCATCATTTTCCCGCTTCCAGTTTTAGCCTTGACCACGGCATTTGCAGTGGGAAGAATGATGCATCAGATTGGCCGCCCGGCTTAAACCTGTAGAGTGCTGCCTTTGTTCTGCGCATGCAGAACCTATTCTTGTGCAGGTTCATCGCATCCAAACATGTTGATGTGAAGGGTGATTGTTGCCACAAATGGAGTCATGTGTTCACCATGTATTTTCTGAAACCATAACAGCAATTAATTGGAGCTTGACATAGCTTGACATAGCTTGATAAGCCAAAATGATATGCCCAAATGCATAATTTAACTATGGTATCGCCTGCAAGAGATGCAAGTGCCGGATGCGATACGAGGTTATGCTACTGCTGGCTATGGGGGCCATGCCTTGGGCCATGTGATTTCTTTGGCTGCGGATATGACCATTCAGATGCTTTGCGTAGCTTGGATTTTGGGTAATGATATGTAATGATGAGGTCATGGTCAGATGAATTGTGATGAAGTATGTGATGAAGTGTGTATATATATATACACATATGGCTCATGTGATGAATTGTGGTGAATTGCTTTGCTTGGAGGGTGCTCTTCGATAACTATGGGTGGAGCTGCTTGCTGAGAAGTGCTCTCTCTCAGGTACTGGTGGCTGTAAAGTCATTGGGCTACAGCAGTCAGGCCCTCCATCTTGTGACAACGGTTCAGAAGCAACTTGAAGCAACAAGTATATATATATATAATTATATATATAAAGGTGGTTGGCGTGGGGCATAAGACGATGACCAAACACATAGTTTGAGGCACAGACTAGCTACTGTGCAAGCATCGAAAAGCCGTCAGGTTGTAGGACTGACCCTGCCCTGCAGGTGTCGCAGATCATCAGGGTGGAGCTGTGAGATGAATGGCAAGATCATAGGAAGACAATGCCCTGAGTCAAGCACGTTGATGAACGTTTATGCACGCTGTTCCTATTTGTTCCTATTTGTTCCGTTCACAGTTTTTGTGATGGACAAGGTCTGCTGGTTAGTTTCTAAAATGCTTGTCGATTGGGCCCACTGCGAGGGATGTGCCAATGTGCCTGATCCTGGACGCACCTGCAGCCACAGACGCGCTCAGAAAAAGAAAGGTTTGTTTTGGATCTGGCGGCCGTGACTCATCCTTGTCCCGAGCTTTCTTGCAGGGTGCCAGCTGTGATGATAAAACTAATGGAATGATTGCTGCACTTATTGCTAGCTTTCAAGAGGAGAGGGCGTCCAATCTCTGTCGCAGAACTGAACAACATTTTGGCGGGCTTGCGCACATTCTGAGACACATTTGCCAAAGCAGTCAGACAGTCAGACTTGTTTTGTTCAGGCCCTGGGGCATTCCTAGCAACATCTAGCAACAACAGTTTCCTTCTTCCAGTTTACTGCGCCCATGAGGAGAACTTCATTGCAAGAAACTCCATCTTGGCAGAGTATGCAGTGGTTGGATTTGAGCTGGGGTACAGCTGCTGGACCAAACATTTTCTCAGCAGTCTTCCATTGCAAATCACTACAAATCACCATCGGCTTTGAAGCCCACAGGGAAAACTCCTTGATGCTCCCTCCAGTTAATTATTTGTGGAGAGCTTCGGGTTGAGCTAGGTTTGGCTCTGCAGGGTTGGATTGTTGGGACATAGTGGGACAGTGGTTTGATCAAGATTGGCTCTGTGAAAGCTGAGGTTATGAAAATCCCACCGCCCTGGTACTTTGGGAGGCGCAGTTTGGTGACTTTGCAAACACCGCGCAGGCGCGCGCAAGGCATGTCTCCAAATATGCAACATCTGCGGAATCCAATCTCCGCATGTGTTCAGATTGCTTCACTTTGCCAGGTCATGACCGATCAGTTCATCTCCGCAGGGGAGCACAAATGGCTGCAGCAGTCAGGTCTGGTGATGCTCCTTCCACACGGTGCCTTGGAAGTCAAAACGCCTTCGTGCAGTTGTGCAAGTGAGGTGGAGGATGAGGATAAGGATGATGATGATGGTGAGTGTGACCATGATGATGACGACAATGACACTGTTTAGTAGAAAGTGAGTCCTCCAAGGCTACATGGGCCAGGGCGCAGAGCATTCCTCGTGTCGTATAGAGCGGTTCCTACAACTCTCTGATGACGATGAGGCAACTGCACGGATTAACGGATTACGACAGACGTTTGGTTTGTCCAGATATTCAAGCCGTTGGTTTTAGGTGGCACGGTCAGGGGCACAAGCTACAACGGTTTGAGTAAATGAGACCGGGTTGGAATTGACCGTACTACCGTTTACGCATGAAGATCATAAAGTGCCTTGCATTTTGCCCAGCCTTCCCATGTTAAAGTATGACCTCAAGCAGTAGCATGGCGCCAGGATGACATTCCAGATTTCGAAGACGGCTTCGGCAGACGCCAAGTGCAGCGGGCCAACTGGCAGGTCGGGGTGCACGAAGACTGAAGCATCTCAATGATATCTCAAGTGTCTCCTGCAAATTGTTTATGTGAGGTCATGAACCTGTCCACGCCAGCCAACTACTTTCATGCCCTGCGCCGGCAGCAGCATCGAGATTTCAGGCCAGATATAGTTGCGTAGTTTCAGTGGTTCACGGCGGATCTCAAATCCCTTTTTGGTGATTCTACTTGTATGCGTTGGCGAGCCCATGGGAGCACAGACAGGGAGCGCATTCTCCTTTCAAATTCAAACCTGTAACCTGTCCTGAAAATATCGGCGGTGGATGGCGGTGGTCTCTTGTGCCTATGCAACATGATGGTTCAGGAAACCCATGGTGGTGGCGTCTCCGAAGAATCTGTTCCGGTTGCGTCAGTGTTGCAACCTGAGCCTGCGCAAAGTCCTACACTGTCCTACACATCTTTGCAGCTATGAAGGGGGCATGCATAAGATGTGTAGGAACATCTTAGTATACATACTTTCACTGGATTTTATTTGGCTGTGAGAGCTCACGCTGCATGTTTAGACATCAGTGATATCAGAGCATATACTTAGGTGTGAGCCCTTTGTCAGACATGGAGTTGGACACCCGTTTCCAGCGCCTGATCGGCGAGAGGGATCCTGAAATCGATGCAAACCACGACAAGGCAAGACCTGTATGGCTGGGCAGGCGGTGACCAACAGATACCGTAAACCACCTAGCTTATTAGATCTTATTCGCACATGTTCACCCGATTCTGGCCAAAAATGATACCTAAGTATACTTAAGTTTACAATATATACATACATATATATATATGCACTTTTTTTTTCTCTACCTTTGGTATGTATGGCAGACCCAAGGGCCCAAGGTCCCGGAAATTCTTGAAGTGGCGGCCACTTTGAATCAACCCTTGCTCATGCACATTCCTTGCATTTCACTGGATTTGAAGGTTGATCGTTTGGTGTTCTGCAGTGGGAAGATCTACTACGAGCTGGTCGCTGAGAGAGAACGGCAGCAGACTTAGATGTTGCTTTCAAGTGGCTTTAAAGGATCCCAACAAACCCCCAGGGGCCCTAGGATTATCCCACTCCACAGGGGACAGCACGACATATAAGTCTCTAGGTACTTGAGTCAGTCTGGCATGTGAACTGCACGGAAATTGTTAAGAGTCAAAACAAAGCATATTTAGTATACTTATACTGTACTATAATATTACTGTATGATTCAGCCTCAGTTTCAGGCAGAGGTCCTTCAACAGGGGGCCCAAACACCAATCAACAACATGGCCAAAGAAGGACATAACATATTATCATATGGGGAGAAGCTTGCGAGAGACTGGCCAAACGAGCTTCAGGTTGGGTCTCAAGAATGTGGCTATCATTACCCTGGAACAGCTGGCCCCGTTCCCTTTCGATCGTGTCAAGGAGGCCGAGAGCGATACCACGTTGTTATATCAAAAGGATATAAAAGGATGTGATGCTGCACGCCCAAGCACAGCCATGGTACTTATCTTGGCCGTCACTCAAACAGGATTCGACGAAAGTAGAGTCTGGACAAATTACAGAAAGCGTGCCAAAGTTTAGAGGATTTAGATGTTTTCGCATGTTTTTGCAAGATCATTGCAAACACTTTTTTTGGCAGTTTCCAGATCGACTTCTAGTGTCGAAGTCCAAAGTTAATTTTTTGGTTGAACATGTAGCAGTTGTTGTCTCTAACTCAAGATCGATATGTCGGCACTTGAGTTTCATTTATGCCATCTTCCCGTTGGTTGGACCCATGATTACATTGATACTTATAATATCATTTATGTTCAATAAAACTATATAAGATGGTACGGTATAAGTTCATTTAATACGTAATATGCACGTGGCATTTAATTCCTAGAATACCCACACACGCAGAGGACATGAAAAGTGTTGCTCGTTGCTGGTTATGAGGTCATGGAGAAGTACAATCACGTAGATGTGGGCGATGGAGTTCATCCAGGGCAGCTCATTTGGTGCCAGGCCACTGGTTGTTATACTGGCTGTTATACAGGTTATACATGTTATTAAGTTGTTATTATCACAAAGTAGTATGCATCCAAGATCATCGAAACAAAAATTCGGATAAAAATAGTTAGCAATGGTATAAGATGGGATCTAAGATCGTCCCAACCTATCGAGCATTCTGATGCATTCTGATTTACAACTGCTCCAGACATTGTTTGTTACTGGTCTTGAAGTCTTGTGTCGTGCTTGAAAGTACGTCCAGGAAGAGCCAAAGAACATGGGCGCTTGGTCCTATGTGCGGCCCCGCTTTGCTTCTTGATTTGCAACTAGCAGCTGTGCAAGTTGAAGAAGTGGTCTCTCGCTTGGGTCAAGAAATCTCCAAAAGGAAACCAGACAGCTTGAATTCTGCTCATGTCATGCTGATCAATGATGGTCATAAAAGGATATAAAAGGGCCTTTCTTATCCTTTCTTGTCATTGTCCCTGTTTTGCCGTTGTCCAAGAGAGCAACATAGTGCAACGGTGGGTTGCGTGATGCCTGGCCTTTGGCGTAGACCCACCAAGGTCACCACTGCTCGAGAGGGCTTCCATCAGGAGATCGGACACTGTGGGATGGTGGATGTGGATGTTGTACCGACATGTACTGATCATTTGGATCCATTTGGCTCAATGGAAGTCTGCATGGATTCAGACATCAAAGGGATTTTGAAGAGTACTTGCTCAGATCTGTCGCTGATTTCACCATACTGTAGGTAACTGTAGGTAGTAGGAACTTGAGCAAGAACGAGAGTGAGCTGAATGGTAGCCATTGGTAGCCCGACCATTAAGCGTCTTGACCTTGACCTAAAGGATAGAGGTACAGAACACGACGTGACAAATTATGAAAAAAATGATATGTTATGATGAACATTGATAAACGATACGGAATTATATGGAATTATGCGATTTGGAAACTCGGGCCCCAGGGATCCCCAGATTTTGATCACGTGCCTTCGAGACGGAAGAGATCTGCAGGACTTGGTGATGCGATACATCGGGCGGCGGGCAGCCGCTTCTCCAGCCACTGGGTATCCAAAGCTGCACAATGCAGAACAAGAGGCGATTCTCCGAGAGGCGCACCGTTGGCGACCTGAAGCGCCGGGTTTGAAGAGAGAACGAAATGGAAGAGTACACTGGGTAGACCATGGTACAGTAGACACTCTTAGACCTGTATGAAGATGTATGAAGATGTATGAAGGTTGGTGATAGATGCGCACCGACCCCTTCTTGAAAGATGCAGTTTTTCTCGCACTTTGTTGAGGCTCTCCTGGGCACTTCAGATGCCAGAGCAGAAGACAATTTCTCGGTGCAGCGGCCCTCCTCACTTCTTGGGCATCAAACCTGAGTTGGCTGAGGAATCGTGGAGCAAAGGCACTGAAGTAGGCACCAGCACTGCATCCCAGTTGAGATATGTTGAGATGCTATGATTCTACGATGTTGTAATTTATGTATGTTTATGTTGTCATTGTAGAAGTGCCAGTGCGCTTTTATAAGTTCTTTGCAGATTCGTGATAGGAATTGTCAAAATGCCCTGTGCCTGTGGCTTTTTTGAGTGCCCTTGCTATGTATTCAGTCTGATTTGCCTGATGAGCCAGCTGCGCCACGCGCAGAGATTGACAGAGCTGGCAGATGATCACCTTTTCAACCCTTCATGAATACCATGGTATGGTATGTGTGATCTATCTAATTGAATCTAATTAGCAAGGAAAAAATAGGGACAGAGTTTCCCACACCCAGCTTGCACATATATTATGCCGCAATGTTGTTTGTCGAGAAACATAGGAGAGAAAAAGAGAGAGAGGGAGAGAGAGGGTGGTGCAATGACTTGACCGGCAATCACATCCCAACACTGACAGATCCGTAAACTGATAGGAGACGACAGGATCTGACGATAGGAGCCAATCCCCGGGTTATCTCTTCAATTCTGGTCTCTTGGAAGTGTCAACCAGCACACCTTGGTGAGGCGTGAGGGGCATATATCTTTTCTGCTTAGCAGTACTCATACTCATACCATCAAAGAGTAGTCACTGAATAGGACCTGTGTCTATTGTATGACTATTGTATGACAGCACCACTAGCATCATTAGCTGCCCATGAGGATGGCAGAATCTGTGACTTCAGAGTGTCAACGGCCAGTCTTAATTGGTTCTTCCTGCTGAGCTAATGGTGGCCGCAATGGGGCGAAGCCCGCCCTGATCGCTTTCAATCTGGGAGGACAGGAACATGGCGGCCGCATTTGTTCTTAGGTTGGTCATTTCATGTTTGAGCTTTGGGCATTAACATGTCAGCCTGGTCCAGAAGCTTGACCTTTGCATCCATCAATGTAAGGTACAAGATGGTACAAGTATCAAGTACTTATTCTGACGGTTGTCTGATCCAGAGTTCACAGCAAGATCAAGATACAAGAGCTCCGAATGCCCAAACTGTACCCATACTGTACCCATGTGCGTTATATAATGTTCTATATAATGTATATAATTTAATGTATACATCAATATTCCTCCATGCTCCTCCCAGCTGCCAATTTGTATTGCTTTGTGGTTCGCTCGTTTGCTGACCTTCCAAACATCGAAAAAAAGCTCCAGCCTTGGGCCTTTGGTCGACTGAACTGATCCATAACTGATCCGTCCGAATGTTTGAATGCTTGGGTGGAGGCCAAAGACCATATTTTGATTTTTTTTGAGCATCCATACATTTCCATAAACACTGATTGTGCATTATTTTCGCCCCCTGCCGGCATCCTTGCTTTTGGCGGCTTTTGGTCCGTTTGGTGCTGATTTGTGTTGGTAAATCGTTAAGCGTTCGATCTTAAATTCATCCCACCAATATCCAGCAATCATACTCGTGTCAATTGTTGGTGAAAGTAATTTCCGCTATTCCATATGTGTTTCCTGCCTTTTGCTTCGCTCTTGACATCGAGCTCCCGATGCTCTCAGGCTCGACGCGCGGAATGCACTGCCAAGCTCCTCTGCAAGTTCAAGCTGCAATGTCAGCTCTTCGTGCCGAGACCCAGTAAGATGGCTTGTGCCCATGGATGTAGATGATTGTCAAGGATGTGAACGCATTTTTTCGTGCAGTTTTTGGAGCATAAACAACATAAACAAACATCATATAATTATATGATTATATATATAATAATTATAATATTATATATATATATTATATGTATATATAATTATATATATATATATGCATATAAATATATACACAGTGTACGTATTCGTATTAGCAGTCATAGAGCAGCAGGACTGTACACCGAGATTGCCTGGGCTAGGCTTGAAGGAATGGATCAACGATGGCAGCTGCTGGCGCACTTGGATCGCCTCGAGAAGGTGCTGTTGACATCGCACATGCTGTATGTGTTGATGTCGTTGATTGATGCATGACACATAATTATCACATAACATCACATAACAAATACCAACAAATACCTTATTAATATTTATGAATCATTAATCCTTGTTATGTAGATCAGATGTCAAGTCAAAGCACAACATTTATATTTATATAATCATGCAAAGGACGATGGCTATTCATCAAGGTGAACACTTGGTGGCTGCTTGTGCTTCACGCCAGTGCCAGGAGAGGATAATCTTTCGACACGTGGCAATCTGGCGCCAGGCTAGGTGACAAAATTGCGCATCTTGCGCTTTCTGATTCCGATATGATAAACTATTACATATTATTACATGAAATTTGATCATGTCTCATTGTATGTTGTTTTATTATATTATATCATGTAATAGCATATCAAATCATATTACACTACAATATGTAACATTAGTATGATGTATATATATGTGTGTGTTTAATGTTATATTATTTTGTTTCATCGTTCTTTGTTTTACTTTTTTATTCAATTCCATATCATTTATCTAACCTTATAGTACTATGTTCTTATATTTCTTGGCATTAGTATCCATAATATAATTTAATATTATTATATTGTGTTCTATTCAATGTTATTTTATTGTTATATTATATTATATTTTATTATTTTATATTTTGTTATATTATATTATATTATTAATATCATATACTGTATTTAGTTGTACGATATTATATTATACTTTATTTTAATGAATGCCATCATGTTTTAAAATTTAGTATATATATTTAACTATATTATACTATATTATATTACGCTATGCTACTTTATTGTATTATATTGTATCATATTGTCTTGCATTATATTGTATTATATCATATTGCATTTTATTTTATTATATTCTAAATTATATTATATTGTATTATAGGTTGTTTTCAGATTATAATTCTATTTTTTATGTTAAATTATTAGTTTTCTTAATTCTAGATGGTACTGTTTTTTTACTGTAATCTACCGTAGGGAATTGTGAAGTATTTCTATTTTTCCCGATGACCTGCCATATGTCCATGGTCAAAGAAAAGATGCTGAGATGAACCTCGTTTTTGCTCCCTGGTGTTGCTATATGATGGAGTCCTAGGCTTACAACACTTGATGTAGAATTACCAAGATTTGCGCCATACTGTTCTCCAACGTTCTCTAACGAGACTTCCATCAACCACGGCTGCTAGGGCCTTTGGATGGGCGTTGTGGATCACCACACGTTGGTGTACGAATCCCGGCTGCCAGAGAAAGGGTAAGGATGTTCTGCAGTCAGTTCCCTTGCCATCTTGCCGCTTTGGTGGCATTTTCGCCTTTGTTGTTGGAGGTTAGGGATATTTACGGATCATGTGTTGCCAAAGCCTGAAGAGGATGAACGCAGATGGTTTCAAGTTTCAGTGATGATTCTGCGAACTTTTTTTTGCAGGGGAATCTTCGCCTTTGAGATTCTCTTCCTTTCAAACAGTATATGAAAACATATTGAAGTCCATCCAATTTTCTGTCAAAGGAAATGGCCATGGAGCTCAGGAATATTTCTGTGATCGAAGGCTCCGTAGTCTACAAATTGAGTGGGGTGCTTTCCTCAACGACAGACAGGACATGATCGAACCCAGCTGAAGCATCGAGAAAGGTCCAAACTGATAGTTCATTAGATGTTCCTAGCATGAAGGACATAACAAAATCGATGAAGCACGTGAACTGAAAAACAATTCCTTGCGCCACGCATTGAACCTTTAGGGTTTGTACCCTTCTTGTCAAACCCTTACAGCCTTCAATCAAGGCAAGGATGGGCTTTTCTTCCAAGATGGTTTTGAGGACTGAAATTCTACCGAGTAGATTTCTTTTTTGGCTGCAGCTGCATTTGATTGTCCCATCTGAAATTCAAAACCTGCTTGGGCGATGTTGCAACGTGTTGCAACGTGTTGCAACGTGTTGCAACGTGTTGCAACGTGTTGCCACATTTTCCAGGACCCATGCCCCACTGGCGATGTGCTGAGCAGAAAGATGTGCCGCATCAGCGCTGCTCAGGCAGGACCTTCCAGTGTGATATGATTGCTATCACAGGAAGACAAGGATAAACAATGATGACATAATGATGATAAACATAAGTTACATAAGCAAAACTTTGCCATACACATTCAGGATGATTCAGGCAAGATGGACGCTCGGCATGTGTCACTACACACTTGGTTGTTAGACGGTGATCCCCCCGCCAGCTACACAAAAGGCTCAAACATCTGAGTTTTTTTTTCAGTTGTTCCTCTTGTTTTTGAAGATGCTTTTATGACTAAATTAGATATATACAGATCCGATCTTGTGGCACCACTTCCGGTAGACCAGTCAATGCTTGCCACCTCATGCCATGCCTGCTGTCACAGGCCAAAGAGCAGCTGCGGGCTCAGACTACTGCCAGTCAGTGTGCTGTCGGTTCAATTCGGTTTCGGTTTCGCTTCGGTTTTTAGTATTTGCTACCAGACCGGTTCGGTTCAGTGACGGTTTCGGTTTCGGATGGTTTCGATTCTTAGCGGTTCGTCCTGTTTTCCGTTCGGTCGGTTCGGTGCATCGGTTCCCAGCGGTTCACCCATTGGATCCAGCCAAATTGTGTGTTTTCTTGTTGACTTTTTCAGACGCATGCCAAAAGCAAGCACAAATCAATACAATGTACTCCTGTCTTACCTTAGCTTTTGCTGAGGTGTTCAAATAGTTACATGGCAGAGTCTACAATAATGGCTGCACCATGTTGCTATACAATATAATATATGCAGCATGGTATAATTGTACAAAAGTATGGTCTGGGGATATACTGTATTTATATAATTTTAATTAATTTTATATATTTGTGTATTGATATTTTGTTCAAGCAGCTGACCTTTCAAGGCATAGAACTATACAAATAGACAGAAATAGCTCGTAATGGGGCCTTTCCTTCACTCCAAGTTGCAAGATTTGCGAGCTCACGTCTCAAGATGTCTCAAGAGTCCTGATTGATGTAGTGCTGCGGACACTGAGATTGCAAGAGCTGAGCGGGAAGAATTACGACATTGTGAAGTGGAACTGTCAGCAATTTTGTCATGTCCTCAGCGGGTCGATATCCAGGGCCTGGTCATTCTTCTAAACAACATTATAGCGATATTATCAAGATTTGTCCAGCATAGTGGCATAGTAGTCGCAACTGTCAACTTGAATTTCCCCAGTACATTTACAGCATTTTCATGCAGTTAATTTTCATTCATTATTTCTCCAACCTCTTGAACACCTTAGGATCACCCAGATGGTTTAGTCTGTCCAAGTCCGTCGTGTTGGGGCTAATATATTGTCCATCATTGTCCACCATTGTCCTCAAGCTTTGCAGAGTCATGCGGAGCCACTGAGGCTCTAAGATCTTCGACCAAATTCCTGAGGTCTTCGCTGGCGGCGGCTCGGGTTCCTTCGGTGCTTGAGCTACGCTTAGAAGCTCTACAGGCCTAGGATGGTCCAGAGGATCCCGGGGTCTCGGGTGGTGCATTGTGCATCCCGATATTTGTTGATCATAATCATACCATGTTACCATGTCCGATCTGTCCGATTGAAAGAGGCGCTTCCTAGTGGTTGAATACACGGCACGGACCACTTTCAGTCGTTAATGTGGCGCACCTTAGGGCTTGCCATATCGCCACCTGCATTTGAAAGACTCCAATCTTGCATGCGCCACACCATGGATCAAATAGATTCGATCCATTGCGCAGGGGACACTTGATGACCAGCGGATATTTACTTGCAGTGGCCAATGCTTGTAGCCTCTATTGTGCTGCTTGAGCATTTGCCGAACGGCCTGCATTGTGCCAGAGCTCAGCTTCCCACCACACTGAGACTTTCAACATGTTCAGGCACCTTGCCTTATCTACAGTACTCATTCAAAGCCCAAAGCTTGTTTACCATGGAACTATATACAGCTTATATAATCCGCAATGGCTGCAAGCTTTTGCACAATTGTTTAAAATAGCCTTCAGGCACGTCCAGAGCAGTAGAAACGGTCATTGCCTCCGAAAATGGTCATTAGGGTAAAACCGAATTAAGAGTGAAACAAGTCGCAGCCGTGATTCCAGACCATGAAAGATCACGACTTTGTTTGACATTTATCGACCCTGACATACATCTCGATCACGTGGCACAAGATGGGCTGCTGCAAATGTAGGCTGGTCCAATCTGGTCCATCAGTTGTGATCCAGCCGTGGTGGAGCAGAGTTTGGAATGCTGACGGAGAAATGTCGCGTGTGTCGGGCAAGTTCAGGGTCTGAGACAGCAGGTCTTGACTATGCGTTCGGAAGGGGGAGATGAAGATGAAGCCACTATAGTGACCCACTCGCAACTAGACTATCTCGTGGTCATTTGCGGGTGCCTTGTATATCTTGTATTGCGATGCGAATGCAAAGTCTATGGTTTGGGTGGCCCATGGTTGCCCCAAAGGTGATTCACCACCTGCAAACATGCTTACAATTGTGTCCCATTGCCGGGGGACCACCTGATACGAAAGGACTGTTCAGGCCCAGAACCCGATTGTTCTGGTAGCTGTGAGTGTAGAGTTTGCTTTGGATACTTTTTGCTTCTCAACGTGCACATGTCGTCAGGGTAAAGTGCGGAAATTTGAGGGAATTTGGACTTGTGGAAATGAAATTTTGGTTGCAAGCCAGCATGATTCAGCATGATACAATATCACCTGGACAGGTGGCGTTTTCTCCCGATACTTTCAAGATGAAGGCCCTGCAAATGCCTTAATTTGCTGGGCTGGTTATTGCCTTATGATTGTGACAATATTTGGGTTGGTTTGCCAACCAAACACCAACTGTGGATCCTTTCTTCCCCAATAGCGCTATTACAATGTAGCAGGCGAGTTCAGCATTGTAGGTTGAGGAATGTTCAAAGATGTTCAAACATATTGAAACGCAACGCAAGCTGCAAGATGCTGCAAGTGAAGCCTTGAGCCTTGCGGGGCGCTCCAGCTTTTGGCATTGTGACTGCATGCAGGTGATAGGACCTCACCGGCAGCACCAATCTTCGTGGGTTCATGGCCTCAGTTTTTTTCAGGAAGATACTAGGAACATGGGCTACCGATGGCTACCCTACCTACCGTACTGCATCGTACTACTAAACCAAAGGACATCTCTTTTGGCAGCAAGAAGGGTACAGAACGATCACTGATAGTTGCTCCTGGACCTTCGTAGAGAATGATATTAAGCTTGACCACACTGAAACCCACTGAAACATTGAGGGGCATTTGGTACTGTCCATTTGAGGCGTCAAACGCTTCCACCTGGACATTCTGTACCTGGTGCCTCAAGCTGCGTTTATGTTCCTTTTTTCTTTTCGGGGAGAAAGGGACTGACGGAGTGGCAGACTTGCTAGCGACTTGATTCTTCTGGTTGTGAGTTTTTGATGTTACTGGCTGTTCCCAAGTCGCCTCATCCTATGACCATATTGAACATGGCTGGCGGCCTGACATATCCACATATACATATGCCATCATCATACCATCATTTCCAAAGCTTTCAGCAGCACTCTGCCTTACCTGCTCAGGATGATTTGGCCTCCTTGAAATCACGGGTGGACACGAATGACTTAGCAGCCCCTTGGCGAATCAGATTCAAACAGGGCACTGCCATTTGATTTCAGCCAGAGTGGAGCCCTTGATGAGTAATTACCACATTTGTGTAAACCCAACTCTTCGTTCCAGGAATGGACAACACTTAATTAGTCACTTAGCACCAAACCATTCCAAGCCCAGGTTTGCATAAATTCTTGTGCTGGAGGATTTGTTTGCGTGGTTTGCAACAGCGCTTTTGGCCTGACATGGTACAGTATCATAATCGCAAAGGATGATCACTTTGTTCGTTTTTGCTATAAAATCCATCATTCTTGCGGATAACAAAAGCAACATGTTTACATAGGAGCCGGATTTGCAGTCTTATCATCTCGCTTGACGTGCCGCAGTGCGTATATACTTAGCAAATGAATCGAAACTGGTAAAAGAGTGCAAGGTTGTCAACCAAAAACACGTGCCCGATTTGCACAACATCCATGCATGAAGATTTAGACAAAACACGATCGGAAAACGATAGATGAATTGATGCCGTGCAGTCTATTTAGCCCATGGATGCCCATGGGTATGATGACAAAGGTTCTACCCGTCTACCCTGAGCCATGTGAAGTACTTCGTTGCCGTTTGCAGCTGCTAAATTGAGCTCTTGAAATGGAACTTACACAGGACGAGAAGGTGCTGCGAGGGCTGCTCCAGTTCTTTGTTTGCGCAGATGCCCGACGAGTCCCATCAGAGGCTCCTTTGAATTTGAAATACCGGGATTTGATCCTGACTGCATTCGAGGCAGCCGTTGAAGATGGTGCCATTGTTGCACATGAGACGAGTTTAATCCCAGCAGTTCCGTCCAACATCCCAAATTTGGAAGAAACGCATATCTTTGCGCATGAGATGTGGTGCCAGCACTTCTCATTGCCGTTGCACTGCCCAGGGATGGAGGATGCGGATGGTGCGCCCAAGGAGAGCCAGGCGACTCCAGGTCCAAAGAGATCTAGATGGCAGTGGAAAAAAACAAGTCTTACAGACGGTTTCCTCCCGATCCTCCTGGAGTACAGCGGAGTGAGGTGAAGAACCAACAAGCTCAGCTGTTGGAACAGTGCACCAAGACCTTGCAGGCCATACTTGCAAAGCTTCAAAACACTGGGCTCACATGCGAACAGCGAGACAAGTACCAAGCCATGGCGCACCAGATGCATCAAAAAATTGAATCTATCAAGCCTGCTAAAAAGAGAAAGAAAAAGAAAAGAGAACAGTTTGCTCCGGAGCACGACACCAAAGCATGCTGGAAAGCAGGCAAAGGTGCCAGAAGAAAAGAAGGGAGAAAGAAAAACAAGCAAAGGCTGAGGCATGTGTACTCCGGGAAAGTTTGGACAAGACAAAAAAGAAAGATGGATTTGAACCATCCAGATGATGTCAACCAGCGTGCCTGAAATCGTGAGAAAAGTGCTGCAGAATTTCTTGAAGTGGTGCAGATGCGTTCTGAATCGTCCTGGTAATTATTCAAAGGCCTCAAGGCAACTGACTTGTCCAAAGGGATGCAGTTGATTACAGCTGCACCAGCAGCTGTGCCTTTAAATTTAGCAATCCCAGCGGTCACTGCTTGAAACATCTTGAAACAATAGGCTGCCAAGCTGAGGGACACGTTCGTATATTCGTTTCAGATTTGTCCACGCCGCTTTTGCCCTTTAACTTAAATCGCCGTTGTTGCGGTGTTTTTACTTTGAAATCACGAAAGCTAGTGGTAGCTAGCCAGAGTTGGCTTTTGCTTATTTAGCAAAGCAAAGTAACTTTGGGGGATTGGGCGCAGGTCAGCCAGTGTTCGTCTCCGCCCCCTTCCCCCACCCTCTGGGCTCGATTTCGCATGATCTCTACATGACTCTTCATTATGTCATATCATGTCATATCATCTCGTCTCCTATCATCTCAACCGATCTTATTTCCTATCCATCTTCCATCGCATCTTGTCTCGTCTCATTTCATCTCTGCTCATCATATTTTCCCATCGTGTCTCGTCATATCTCATCTCATTTCAGCTCGTCTTATCTCATCTTGAGGCCTCTCATCATGTCTCATGATGTCTCATCACATCTCATCATGTTTCACCATGTATAATCAGGTCTCATCATGCCTTATCATGTCATATCATGATATATCATGTGTCACCACCATGTCTCATCATGTCTCATCATGTCTCATCATGTCTCATCATGTCTCATCATGTCTCATCAGGTCTGGTCTCATCATGTCTTATCATATCTCATCTCAACGTATATAGCTCATGTCATCGTATCTGATCTCATCTCAACGTATCTCATCACATCTTATGCGGTTTCGTCTTATCACATCACTTCAATCGCATCCCATCTAATAGCATCATATCACATGTTCTCCCCTCTCATCATTTGCCATCATTTTCCACAGTCATCCCGCTTCTTCAACTCAGTGAAATTCCACTACCCCATTGCATAGCTTTTGTCCACCCCCCCCCGGCCCTCAAGTTATGGAGTGTTTGGATGTTGTTGGTGCCCTACCATGTCATGCAGGTGAGGCAGAAGTGGGCAGACCAGGCCAGGTGAAACCAAAAAGATCCAATGTCAAAAGTTAAAACGTTATCAAAAGTCAAAATCACATCTTAGGCCCAGAATGCTCTGGAAAAAGATATGAACATTTGGATTGATTTGGAACCAATGTAGACGTTCTCCGCAAATTTGGGCTGTGGGTTCACTGTTGGTTGACCACCTGAGGCCACAACCCTGGAGGAGCGGCACCAGTAGCGAGTGCACACATCAAAGAGATGTAGACCTCCATAGATTCTATGGCGGAAAGGTTGGCACAACTGCCATTTCCAATAATTATATATTATATATAATCATATGTATATACATATATATATATAGAGTAGCTTGTACTGTTTTGTACTAATTAGTGGATGTTAGTGGCAGATTTCATCTCAATGATCTCAATGGGAGGCACTCTTGCTGTTTATTGCGAGGGCTCCAGGTAGTATAGAGGTATTCACAGACGGTCCCAAAGGACACCATTGGGAGTGCATCTCAAGAGCCAACCATGCGATCATCATGAATAGTCCATTCATGTCCATTCATGAATCAAATTTAATTCTATCTGAACCTATTCTTTCCCCTGACTGGGTGAAAACTATATATATCCAATTGGCCCACCTGGTGACTCGAATGTTTTATGGTTTCCTTTCTGACAGACAAAAACCCCTCCGCGCAACTCTGCGAGGAGTTGCGCCAACGAACGGGCCTGTTCTTGTCAGGTCCAGCTGCAGAACAGGGACGGTGTATATTTCTGGGTAAATCATAACGACCTCACTGCGACCTCACTGGAATCATGGTTAATAAGGGAAAGCATCCCCAAATGGCCTTAATTCATGAAATATTATAATTTACCCAGATATTTGTATCACTTTCACTATCTGTATCCATTTGAGTCACGGTCAAAATGGTTGAAGACCACTGTAGTATTGCAGGAGTTTTTTGTCAGAGATGTGCAAGAAACACTGTAAAGCGATAGGCCCCCCCAAAAGCGATAAGCTGGGACCATACACAATAGTCCATTAAACTTGGTGTAAACCATGCACATTCACAGAGCGGGCAAAACCGATGAGGGAAACTCAACCTGTGGTGCCCTGTTTCCTGCAGTCACCATATCATTTGGCATCCAACTCGCTCGCTCTCTTTCTTTTTTTCTTTTTTTTTCCTCTCTCTCTCTCTCTCTGTCGTTTTGTGGCAAATATCCTTCGAACAATATATCATATGTTGGAGGGGTTATGTACAGTTATTTAGCGACAACCTTAGCGGAAACCTTAGCGGAAACCTTAGCGATAATTTAGCGATAACCATTTGTTACACTCGGTCCCCTGGCCAATCCATAGAGCCATTTCCATAACTTTAGAAAGGACATGAAAGGACATGAGTGCAAAATGAAAGGAACATGCATGCAAATGGAAGGAACATGAAGGAAAATGCATGCAAATAAATGCAAAATGAAAGGAACATGAAGTGTTGCCGAAGCACCTGAAACCAACAAAACAACTCCTCAATCCATTTCCGAGCCTGTTTAGGAATGAGTTTTGGCTTCATGTTGGATCTCGAATATACTGATTTCCACAAAACCCTGGAAAGCGATAGGCCCCCCCGCAAAAGCGATAATAATAGCAACCACTCAGATGTAAAGGATTTTGACGGGAGCTCATTTCATTCCATTTGCATTTTTTTTTGCACTTGATGATTAAATTAGATTATAATAGATTAATATTAGATATTCTTGTTTCGTTCTTGCTGAATCTACCCACTGAGTGGCATAATGGCGATGTAACGACAGGTTCGGCCATGGATGGACTCAATGGAGGTCTGGACGGCTTCAGGTGCGTCAGGATCAAATATGGTTTGGAGGTGCCTGGAACTTTCATAATTAATAAGATTTATCTTGATGCCATGTGTGTAAGTTATATGATTTACATTGATTTACAAACTTTCGATTTGATGATGTGGTGCTAGGGGACTGTTGCCATGTTTCGGTGCTTTCCAGGTGATCTTATCTTTTTTCCCCTCTCCAACTACCTATAATGTGCCAGGAGTGCCATCAGTGCAGCCCAACGCCGTGCAAAGAGCTCGGTTTCTTTTTTCGGTCGCAAGAGGCAGGCATGAAATCGTCAAAGTTTAATCGGAAAAAGTTAGGGCAAAAGCAAGCACACCTAGTGACTTAATGTGACTTAGTGATTTTATCAAGTGGATGTGGCAGTAGAAAAAAGGACCCAATGACAGCTGAGGCCATGGTGAACTCTTCAACCCAGGGTACAGCAGAGACGGCCGAAAGCGAGCCTGGAGCCTCCAGCGGGTACTGGAGTTGTCCTGGGTACAACATGGTACAATGATTCCCTTATTCTCCCTTCTTTCCCTTCCAAAATTCTCTTGATTCATTTGATCAGTGAATCAACGGTTTTCCAGTGTTCGTTTTTGGCTGTGTTGGCGAAGATTGCTTAATTATATAACTATCTAATGTTTGGAAAAGGTACTTCAGATGAAGAGTCCTTGCTACATGATCTTTCACGAGGTTCTGGCGCGTGAATTCGGAATCCGGGGGGACAACAAGCGCTTCTGGTGCGAGTCTAGTGAAGCCTGGGCCTCACATTGTCAGTGGCGAAATGAGGGGAAGAATGGGGAAGAAAAGGTGCTCAGGGTGGGGAGGGGACATGCCATGCAGCGAATGCCAATGCCAAAAGAATTGGAGGAAGTGTCCAGAAATTCCAGAACATGTTTTTAAAATTTTAAATATGTTTGATTTGTCCAGAATTGGATAAAGTCTTGTTTGCATCAATGTGCAGTATACATTTGTCACATGTCACGTCAGTTTTTTTGGTTCCTGCGCCGAGGCCACAATTGCAAAAGGGATTTCAACAGCTAGTGCTTGAGCTCGTGAGCGCTGGGATGGATGCACTAGATATATATATAATAACAATAATAATAATTAATAATAATAATGATAATAATAATAATAACAATAATAATAATATATATATAGAGAGCAAGAACCTCCAAAGATTTCTAATGTACATATATATATATATAGCTCTGCCTACTCGCGAGCAAGAAACCTTTACATGATACCTCTGATTTCTGATTGAGGCATTTGGATACTGTACCCATTCTGAAACATAAGACTGAAGACCAAGGTTTCAATGCCCTGAATGTGTGTTTAACTCCTTGACACGGTCATTTGCCAACAGCTTGTGAACAAGAAGTTTCTTCCAGAGTCCACATGATCATTGAATTTGCATGAACTGGCAGTACATTTTGGTGATTTCTCTGTGACTATGTGACTGTAGGAGCACCTATGACTTGGTTGAATATACCACAGTAGTTCCGCTGGATCTCAAGAGGTGAGGCTTTGGGGATTCACCGGAAGTGTACTAAGCCCAGGGTCCTCACAGATCTGAAGCCCAGGGTCCTCCAGGTACGAATGCTCGGATGTGGTGGAGAAGGTGAGGATTTGATATGACATGATTTGACTACTGTAAATAATGTGAATATTTTCGATTTTGATTATTTTGATTCACAGTCACAGTCACAGTCACCTCTGACTGTGACATACTCATACTGTGACTGGACACGAGCTTGAGAGCTTCGTATGCCAACGCCACCAGGGACAATAGGGACACTATAGGGAGAACCACAGATTGCTTCTCCATTCTGCGTTCTAAGGCTACGGTACCGATTTGACACTGTAGCTAGGTGAGGTTTATTCCAACCGGAGGTCCCAGGCTGATCCACTCACATCTATCCATGATTTGATAAATTCCATGGCAGACTGTTCAGAGCTTGACACACGGTTTTCTTCGTTTGACTTTGCTTGGGGATTACACGGTTACACGAGTTATCCTCCCGATACAGCTGCAGGAGTGCTGATTTTTTTGCCGCTGCCTCAGAAGCATGCTCCTCCTAAAGCCCAGGGGTTGATGCTGCTAATTTTGCAAGCCCTGTGGAACTTTACAATGTGAAGCTTCAGCCACGCTTGTTTCTCCATGTTTCTCCATGTTTAACCACGAACTTTTCCCAAACCACTTCAGGCTGACCTAATGACCGGCCGAGGCCCGGGATCAACGAGATCTCAGAGCTTTTCGATGTGCCTGCTGTCCAGCGTCATGCTGCTTTGGGTCAGAATTTGCCATAATACATGTGCATTACATGTGCTTCATTTTGCACCCTTTTCACGTGCTGTAAGTGACATTTGGTGACTCCTATGAGCCGTTTTTAATTGATCCAATTGAATAATGCACTTATTGCATGTTCTTCTTCTTGCAGACCTTCACAGCTTTCTGGCAGAATTGTTTTACCTCTGGTATCGTTTTGGCTTGTTCCGGCCTAGGGAGGTTGATTTTCCTGTGATGACCAGGTGCTGGAAATTCTGGAGCAACCAGCTGCAGAGCAGCAAGCTGCAGGCACCCGGTAGCTATTTTGCCACCAGAACCTGTTGGACATGTCATTTGAAATGCATATTTTTTGAAAAAATAGAATATCTCAACGTTCTTTATACTTTATTGATCTTAAAACTTCCGTAATTGCATGTAGTTGCATGATTTATCTTAATTGGCATTAATTGATCTTAATTCATGATATTTGATCTTAATTGACCTTAATTGCACATTGCAAACCTCGTTTGTTAGCTGGTGCCAAGTGCTTGGGGCTTTGCCCATTGCCAGCTCAAATGAATCACAGGTTGAATCGCATGTTGACAATGAGTTGACCTTGACACACTTGTCACAAGATATCACAAGGCCTTTCCATTTTCGATCAATATTTCAATATGTTTCAATAATTTCAGTAGAAATTGCATGTGGTGGCTCGCACGTGTCCCGCATGATCCATTGCCTTCATCCAACTTACCTGGACCAGCTCTGGCCCTGCGAGTTGTCGCAATGGCATTTCGTCGCTTTGCACTGTTCAGCTGGTGCCTTTCGTGTTTGTGCACTGGGGAAGTTCGAGAAAGCCCCGGCATCTCCAATGAGACTCTCGCAGATTATTTGAAGACTCGCGCTGAGTTGCTGGGCTTGGCATATGCGGTCAATATGATTCAAGATGCAGTAGCACAGTCCCTTACTGTAGGCCATGACCAGTTTTTAAGTGAGCGATTGCGTTTTCATTGTTTTCTGATCTGCTGGGGGTGATTCCATGGCAGGACCACATTGGCACATATCGAGATTCTGTTCAATGCTCTCCGTGTGCGCAAGGTTCTTAAAGCATGAGGATGCTCTAGCAGATGGATCTGGCACGAAGCTCACTTCGGACGGGAAGTTTATGCTTTCAAATCTTTCAAGGGCGAATGTACGTTTATGTTACATGTCTGCAAATTTTGTCCATATCATAATTGTTTGGCCATGCTCCTGTTCAGCGCTTGAATACACTTCGGCAGGATGAAATCCGCTTCGATAGTTGGCTTCGTTCAACGGTGCAGAGTATGATCGCTCAGTACAAGAGCCATGGCGGCAACAGATGCGGGACACTACGGGACATTCTTGAGCACATGACATGGAACGGATCTATGGAGAAATGCGGGGGAGAGAGAGACAGAGAGAAGGTGATTCTTCATTGACATGCAAAGGATTGCAAAGGTCCCAGTTCCGGATTGATGCAATCAAGTTCAGTGCGAAGTAAGTATAGCATAACAGATCATAACCGTAGAACAGCTTTCCGACATTTTTTTGATATCCAAACAGGTTGGGATATCGTGCCCGTGTGTTTGAGACTGTGCGGTTCGCATGGGCAGTTGCCTTTGAAGTCCTCAGAACGTCGATAGTCAGTCTGCGTGAGCCCAGCTTCGCCGGAGCCAGGTTTGAAGATTTTGAAAAAAATCGGCGAAATCGGCAATTTTTGGCACAGTTTGCATGGCAGTGCCTCCTAAGGAAGGAACGTTTAGTGGATCGCTTCGTTCCGGCCACTTATTTTCCGAATCTCGGCAGCAATTGTAGACTACTAGGACCTTGCACAAAAATGCATCACGGAGTCTTGGTGCTTAGATGTGCTTAGCATGCGTGTGACTCCCGTATCCAACATGAGCAATGAAAAGCCAGAGCATGACACGCCAGGATACGCCAGGAGTGTGGGTCCAGACTGGATTGGACCGGATTGATGTTTCGTTTCTATTCGTTTCTCCGTTTCTCCTCGTTGCAGTCATGAGTGATGAGATGTGATGAGTACTACTATATGTCAATCTATGTCATACTCATATAATCCCTTCCTCCTAATACTAAACCCCCCCCCCCTAATACAAAACACGGCAGGTAGTTTTTAGTATTAGGGGGGTATTTATTATTAGGGAACCAAATCGAAGTCATGTTAATTAGTTATTCATGCATTAGAATGGAGGAATGGATTAAACCCTTAATACTAAAAACTATTTTTTCCGATCTCAAAATCAATTAAATTTCTTTATATAACGCAATCAAAATATTGCCAAAAATGGCAGTTCGAAGCTTACCCCTAATTGCTAGAGTAGCTAGGCAGCTTGGAGTGAGGGATTGGGACTAGGCCCCCCTAATACTAAACACCCCGGGGGGAACTAGTTTTTAGTATTAGGGGGGAGAACCCACAAATGGTAGGTTGATTTTTAAATTGTTTTTTAAAGGGGATCAATTAAAAGTCAAATTGGCCAAACTGAAATTTTCGGAAATTGGAGATGGATGCCTGTTTTTAGTATTAGGGGGACGTTTAGTATTAGGAGGAAGGGATTACTGTACAACTTGTCCTTGAAGTTCAATATCTTTCTTCTGCAAAGGCGCATCCGAGCTCACATCGAGAACACCACCCTGTACAAGGCGGGAAAGTGAGAGTCAATGAGAGGATTGAATTTTGCAAAAAAAAATAGCAGATACATTGAGCACATTGAGGCCACTACTTGAGAAGCCGTTCCTGACATTACTGAAATATACTGCAATTCTACAGCGTGCAGGTGCTTCGGGAAATGCCAAAGGGCGGTGCCCTTCACCTCCACTTTGCTTCTGCGTCTTCCTTGGAGTGGGTGGTGAAGCAAGGCTTCACGGATCCGATTGAGAGAGTTTCCCGCAGCAGAAACTGTCTCCCGGACACTTGAGTAAAGAAACTCACATTTGATTTTTCATTTTTTCATCCTGAGCTGGACCTGGGTGCTCCTCTCAGCCAGTTGTAGGCTTGGACTTGCCTGGCTGCTACGTCTTCTGGCCAAACAAAACCAGCTCCTGAGCCAAATCAGCACTGGAGAACTCGAAAATGGATGGAGGATGACAGGCATGAGAGGCATTCTGAGGCAAACACTTCAGACTATGCAAAAAAAAACTTCTGGTTCTAATGGTAATGGTTAGTAAGCTTTTCTGGCATTGGCAGGGGGTAGCCATGGAAGACCCCAAGAGATCCAAAGAGGATCATATGATGATGTACAGAGTAATTATATAAATTTGACAGCCGACTGTTCCAGACTTGCTTGGCGACCCTTACTAAGGCAATGTCTCAGAGACTTTGCCCGTGGGTTCCCTGGCATTCTTCAACTCTACTCAGGTGTGACTTGGGCATCAGGGAAGTCATGTTTCATGTCAAAATATTCATCAGAGGGAACCCCGTACTGTAACTCATGCCAATTCAAGTAATTGCAAGATTTCCAGAGAGGGTTTGACGCAAATGGTGACTGCAAATGTGCTGCTGTTGATGCTTGTAGTGTGCCTGTTCTTTCTCGTCCTTGTCGCTCCAAGTGCTGCCACGCAATTTCCAGGTGTCCAGGCTTGCACATTCCGTCAAACTCATGGATTTTCATTCCTTGTCAAATCAATTCCTGTTTGATCATGAACTGACAACAGCAAGTCTCGTGCTTCCATACAGCATGGAATGGTACGAGTTGTTTTGTCTCTTTTGTTCCGGTGTTGTCAAGAATTGGCCTCTGAAATAATTACTTGGATATTACTTAGATATAATTGCCTTTGTCAGCAATGTCATGTTTCCCCCTAACGGCCAGGTGAAGCCACAAGGCTTCTTCCCAGCTCATGAGCTCAGTAGAGAGAAAGACTTCCGAGAGAAGTTGCTGAAGTTGCTGACGATTCATGAAGAGGCAGAATCGGCAGCCGATGAGCCCAGCTTTCAAAGGCTGAAACAGGCTGAAACCCTGCAAGATCAAACATGATCAAACACAAGATTGCAATGGATGGCACATGATCATCATGATCAAACACAAGATTGCAATGGATGGCACATGATCATCATGATCAAACACAAGATTGCAATGGATGGCACATGATCATCATGATCAAACACAAGATTGCAATGGATGGCACATGATCATCATGATCAAACACAAGATTGCAATGGATGGCACATGATCATCATGATCAAACACAAGATTGCAATGGATGGCACATGATCATCATGATCAAACACAAGATTGCAATGGATGGCACATGATCATCATGATCAAACACAGATTGCAATGGATGGCACATGATCATCATGATCAAACACAAGATTGCAATGGATGGCACATGATCATCATGATCAAACACAAGATTGCAATGGATGGCACATGATCATCATGATCAAACACAAGATTGCAATGGATGGCACATGATCATCATGATCAAACACAAGATTGCAATGGATGGCACATGATCATCATGATCAAACACAAGATTGCAATGGATGGCACATGATCATCATGATCAAACACAAGATTGCAATGGATGGCACATGATCATCATGATCAAACACAAGATTGCAATGGATGGCACATGATCATCATGATCAAACACAAGATTGCAATGGATGGCACATGATCATCATGATCAAACACAAGATTGCAATGGATGGCACATGATCATCATGATCAAACACAAGATTGCAATGGATGGCACATGATCATCATGATCAAACACAAGATTGCAATGGATGGCACATGATCATCATGATCAAACACAAGATTGCAATGGATGGCACATGATCATCATGATCAAACACACGATTGCAATGGATGGCACATGATCATCATGATCAAACACAAGATTGCAATGGATGGCACATGATCATCATGATCAAACACAAGATTGCAATGGATGGCACATGATCATCATGATCAAACACAAGATTGCAATGGATGGGATCATCATGATGATCATCATGATTGAATGCAATGGATGGCACATGATCATCATGATCAAACACAAGATTGCAATGGATGGCACATGATCATCATGATCAAACACACAAGATTGCAATGGATGGCACATGATCATCATGATCAAACACAAGATTGCAATGGATGGCACATGATCATCATGATCAAACACAAGATTGCAATGGATGGCACATGATCATCATGATCAAACACAAGATTGCAATGGATGGCACATGATCATCATGATCAAACACAAGATTGCAATGGATGGCACATGATCATCATGATCAAACACAAGATTCTAAGATTGCAATGGATGGCACATGATCATCATGATCAAACACAAGATTGCAATGGATGGCACATGATCATCATGATCAAACACAAGATTGCAATGGATGGCACATGATCATCATGATCAAACACACGATTGCAATGGATGGCACATGATCATCATGATCAAACACAAGATTGCAATGGATGGCACATGATCATCATGATCAAACACAAGATTGCAATGGATGGCACATGATCATCATGATCAAACACAAGATTGCAATGGATGGCACATGATCATCATGATCAAACACAAGATTGCAACAAGATTGCAATGGATGGCACATGATCATCATCATGATCAAAGGATGGCACAAATCAAATTGATCAATTTCACCAGGATGAGGGCCTGACCTCTCCGGAGATTTGGAAGAAATTTGCAGAGACTTGGAAGTGAATGATGATATCGGAATATTGATGGAATATTGTAGAATGCAGAGGTAGCCGGGTAGCCAGTTTCAACCACTTTTTTTCTTTTGCTCAGGATGGTTCTTGACTGTCTTGACTGTCTTGACTGTTTCTGATTTTTTGGAGCACACACATACACAGGCGATCGCTTGCGGTGCAGAAGAAATTGCCAGTGAATCCATCTTATTTAATAATAATATATAGTAATAATATGTAATAATAATAGTGATGATAATGATAATAGTATATGTAAATCTAGCATGTACTACTGAGACTAGTGCAAGTCGATTGTGGGCCATGTGTTGTGCCCGTGGAACCACTTTGACATACTTTGACCCTGGAGGGTGCAACCCGTCCTTCGATCTTCCAAGGACATTTTTGTTCGCGTGACGGGATTCTTCACCAACCGAAAGGCGGTCGAGGAGTACTTTGTTGCAACTGCCCAAGAATTCCTGGCCGACAATGTGACGCACTTGGAGTTCCGTCCCTTGACTGCACCTCTGCATCTTGCTGCAACAAGGGTGCTGTGAACTCTATTGCTGCGACACCAATATGAAAGCATAAAGATGCACAGACATACTGTGAGAGGAGAGTGTTGTTAGGTGTCTGCGAAAAATGGTGAACAACTAGCATAGGTTATAATAGATTATAATAGTATATACATACAATTAATTTCCTAGACATCCATGCGTACTAAAAAAAGTGCCCCCCATGGTTTTGTACTAGTCTTCATGAAAACGCTTGAACTACGGCAAAATTGCTCAAATGTTGTCAACATAGTGATCTTCCTATCTTTTTTTTACTGTATTACTTTTGAGGGGTCAAGCACAAACGCACAGAAATTCATAACGCAACTCGAGCGCAACTTTGTGCAACTCGAGAGCAAATTTGCGTAACTCGAGCGCAATTTGGAAAAGTAGGACACGGACACTTTGCAAAAATCCACCAGCAAAGTTGTTTACTTTTTTGGAAGGCGACCACTTTTTTTGGGTGAAATGTCATCAAAATTGTTGCAACATTTCAATTCATAATTCATGTAACTTTTTCTATTATATACACATGAATGTCCAGGTTAGAATTTACATTGATGGTTAGCAAGCATGCATTTATTCATTCATTTGATTGCAACAAGAAAAGAATACTAACAAAAACATGGCCTGCCACTAGAGGAAAGGACAATTTATTTTCAAGATCGTGTTTTGACTGAGACTTCAACTTCTTCAACTGTTCAGCAGTCTGTTGAAAATCCCAGATGACACATCCTGAGTGCGCAGCTGAAATGCATGAAGCCTACAGGCGTTGACCTCTTCCATGACCAGGGCGCTCTCTTCGACCTCGATGGTCGTGAATATCGAGGACTCAAATGCCAGAGGATGAAAAGGATTGAAACGATGTCAGTATTGAACCATTTCTATCCATTTCTATGATTTCTCAGCTGAAGCGTGCAAAGAAACACTTGGTGAATCTTGGTGATATGGCTGTCGACGGGCTCATGCCAAAAGGAGCTGCTGCGATGGATGTGTTCCAGAAGCAGATTGACCGTTTGCCACTTGGTTGCATGACACGTCTTCCCTCAAATAGGGTGAAGTTTGACCGCCATCTTCCATTCGACTCCATTCGAAGAGAGGTGTTATCATTGTGTTATCAAGTGATCCTTCTCACCACAGAGAAGATTCCAGGTTATCCATGGTTATCCCATGTTATCCCCGTTAGCTTGTTGCAGGCATGTTACGTCGCCTGACCTGACAGTGAAGCTCATTGGTTCCAGCGTCCGCTTCCGAAATTCCTCCGATGCTGGGCAGATCTATAATCTATAACCATCTATAACCTGTACTTGTACTTGTACTAATCTTGTACTGATTTTGACACCTACAACATGTTTGGACACACGTTTGGACACGCGCTTGTCTACACGCGAGGCTGCCTGTGTTCAGGGGAAAAAGTATCTTGTTCCTTTCGCCTTTCAGTGCTGATTTCCCAAGGAGATTTGGAAAGATTTGGAGTTTGCGATGCAGGTGCCAAGCGCAATCAACCTGGCTGTGTTCGTGTTGTTGTCGCCGTTGCCGTCGTCGTCGTTGTTGTTGCTGCATTTTTGAACTATGCCACGTTATAGCGCTTTCTGGCCATTGGGCATGATTGAGTCAATTTGAATGGTTGAGTATGTTGAGTGTGCATGTGGTCAATTTGCACCTGAGTCAAGTCCGTGGCATATCCCAACCCAAAACCGTGACGATCAGCAACTCCCCGACTCCCCAGGTGAAAGCTCAGCGCCCAGATATCTTGGTGGGTTGGGATGCTCCGGGTGAGGAGGACTCAGTGATCATTTGTTCAATTTCAGGCCCAAAGAATCCTAAGAACTATGTATTGCAGTAGAGATGTTTACGAGATTTTAGGAGTTGCTTGTGGAATTCCGGTAATTTTGGATCCATTTGATGCATGATCTATCATGATCCCCAGATCCGAAACCGTTCATAGTGATGTGCCTTTGGGTGGAGGGGCTGGGTATGGCTGGGTGGAGGATGCTGGACATCCCACTCTGGACTACGCGAAGCAGCTCTTGGAGCCTCCATTTTGAAAATGAGGTAACGGCCGTGAACGAACATTTACAATATCAATATGGGAGTTTATCGAACATGCAGAGATTTATCCCCAAAAAAATGGGATTTAGGGATGGGGGGATGGGCCAGTATCTGTTAGAATTTATCCGGGAATCAGGGTGCCAGGGTTTTACAACAACGCCAAGCTGCACACCTTCACATCAGTCCTTGAAAAAAGACTACTCTGCGACTCTGCGGGAGGGTTGTTCCAGGAGCTGCAGAGTGGTCAGCACTTGTTCGCTAGGCCTTGCTAAACCAGTATTGTATATATTGTGCATAATGAGCAGACATGAAACTGAACCGTTCACGTTTGGGAGAAATGGACTCCAGCTCAAGGGCTTCCCCTATTTGTGCCTTTGTTCTTAGAGTTGACGCATAGCTCCGTCGCAACCTTTGGATTGGTGCCTCCTAGATTTTATATAAGGGCATATCGGACTGGCTCGACTTGAACCTGGTTGTGACATTTTCTTGTAGACTTTCTTGTTTGCATTCTTTCAGCGTTTGTTTTTTTCTAAGGAGTTCAGGGACCTGTCCAGAAAGAAGGGCATCGACCTTCCTTTGATGCTGCACGATGGTGAGGCTAGTTTCAAGGCTAAAATAACTCACTGAGGAAGCAGATTTTCCCTGCGGCCCCTGCCCACTCGCTCAGTTTGTAGAGAGCACATAAAATAACAACCTTAACTTTAAAAAACATGTGCACCTCTGAAAACGTGGGATGTGCTGTGTGTCTGGTTTGGGTTATTATACAATGACAATAACTCTTTCTCATGTTCATTGATGTTCTAGTTCAGTCCTCAACTCTTTTGTGCCAGAGCGATTGGTCTACAATGAACACAGTGGATGCCGTTTTGCTGGGTGCCAAACGTCTCTCGCTTGCATTGAGGGGGACCTTGGTTTATATAAATTAAATGTGTGCATAACTTGTTAGTTCCATCAACTTTTTTTTCACCAAAGATAGCCTAGGCTATAGTACCTAAGTTCCTTGTACTTTATTACTTGTGGCTGGGTCTGCCTTAAATCACTGCTTGTTGTCCATTAAGTATTCGCTTTTCACCTCCCTCTTTCGATTTCTCCCTGATCTGGCTGGAAGTCGAAGAATGCAAGGCCGTGCTTATGAAATACTTTGCCGTTGCAAACAAAATGTGAACAGCGCGCTTCCACTGCGCTTCGTTATCATTCTAATACCAGATTCCTACCTTTCATCCACCCCCCAAAGTTTGGGTATCAATTCATTGGATCCATGCAGCAATACCTTGCCCTCAGCTTCCTTGGCATTCATTGCTGGCAATTTTCCGATAAAGGGTCCACACAAAATGTTTCAGTTGAACATGAAGATTCATTGGGATTTGTTGTGCATGTCACTTGGTAAAGCAGAGTTTATACTTGTGCCGGTGATGCCGTTGAGGTTTGGGCCATGGCTTCAACATCGTGCGTCATCCTTTGCTGATGGAGGAGGCCCGGTGGGAACTGGAGGACCCTGTAGGATTTTGTGGCCCTGCCGTGCTCCAAGAAGCCGAGGTCCGGAAGCGCGGCGTTGCCATTGAAGTTTGCCCCATTAGTTACTGGGCACTGGAAATCACTGGGAACCGGTTTGGCTGGCGTGGATCAGTGAGATAAAGGGAGCCACCTATCTCCGCCTCGCTTGTTGCGCAGCTTTGAAGAACTCAGAGTATATGTGCACAGTATCATTGGTTCCCTCGTAATACGCATGAGAGGGCCAATGGAGAATAGACGTGCACTCTGTTCTTGTGCCGACTTGAAAGTCACACTCAATCCTTAGGAAATCATTCAAACCACCTGATCTAGTGGCCTTCCAGTTGGCTGAGGCAACCAAGTGCTTCGCTACGTCACCGATCTCCGTATCCACCCGGGCGTGGAGATGCTGAAGAATGGTTTGCCAGTGGTTATCTCATCAGATGATCCTGGCATTTGGAGCGCCAGAGGTCTCTCTCACGACTTCTGGGAGGCAGAAGTTCTGATACATTTTCGGGACGTTGCTGCTTTAATCAAAGGTGACACACTCTACGTCAAATTGTATCACACGGGAGTTCAAGACAAAACTGCATCATGTCACCATACCCATACTCTTCCATTCTAGACTACCTTGATCTACCTTGCGGTTGCTCTGTCGGGGAGTGCCTTGAGGCAAAATATGGTTTTAGGGGTGGAGATTTGTATTTGATGCGCCTGCACAGTTTCAGAGGGCTGCTGTCAGGCCACTGTTGCTTGGCAGCTCAGTGCTCGAGACTTGAAGACTCTCGTGCGAAACTCGAAACTTTGTCAGCACTGCAGTTCCAATGGTTGAAATTTTTGCAGGGAACGCCAGTGATGCCAGTTGCGTTCGCGTGCTTTTGTTTAAGGTGTGTGGCGCTGAACAGTTAGCAGTTGTTTACATTTGTCCGCAGTCTGAAGCCAGAGTGGATTGATGAGCTGAGGATTCAGTACAGTGGCTTAGAAGCTACTGAGAAGCAGAAAGTGATGGCCAATTGGAAACGGAACTGGAAGCAGTTCATGGCCAGATGGCGGTCATTTGAAGTGAGCGAAGTGAGCGAAGTGCGTGAAGTACTTATTTGATGCGCCCTTGGGCGGTGTACCCTGTGAAATCGATGTTGATGTGAAAGATGTGAAGCGGGGCAGGACCTGGGGACCGCTAGAGCCGCTGAAGTTGCTCTAAGAGCTATCAAGAACTGCTCCACAGCTTCCCGACTGGCAGGACAACCTCTAGTGACCAGCGGTTGCAAACTGTTGGAAACAATGTGATCACAATATATCACAATCTTTGATATTCTTTGATATTCTTTGATCAATCTCTAACGTGAGCCCCATGGGACAGTTGGGACATTGGTTCCACATGGTTACACTATATTACCATGTTCCACCGTTTCTATAGACTCTCTGAGCAAGGCTGTTGTTTCAGTTGCTGCCAGTGACACAAAGCTGATTGGATTACTTGGGTCCAATCACGCTGCCAGCTGTGCTGGTCGTCCCAGCCTGATCCGTTCGATGAAGCCACCCTTTTTCCGCAACTTGCACATGATGGTGGCTTCATCATGTGTCTTCAGCAAGCCAAATAGGCCTTTGCAAGTTTGGAATCAGACATCAAGATATGGAATGGGAATTATGTAATATTATGTAATGATTTGTAGAAAAAAAAACTTCGGTGTGTTTGGAACATTTCCCCGCCGCAGCTATGATGATACAAAATGGTAGGCGATTTATGAACAGGGAAACTGCTGGAACAACATGGAACAACCACATTATCCTCATCTTCCTCCTTCCTCCTCCTCCACATAATCGTAATATATCATAATCATCATCATCATCATCATCGTCATCATAGTCATAATCAACAGATATCAACAGATATCAACAGATATCAACAACATCAACATCAACATATTATATATATAGAAAAAAATATATATATAAACATCAGCAGCATCAGCACCCTGCCATCGCCATCGCCATCAACCATTAAGATGACCATTGCCATCAACCATCATCATGACCATCATCATGACCATCACCATGACCATCACCATGACCATTGCTGTGACCATTAGCATGATCATCACGATTATCAACAACAAAGACTATACCACACTTGGTTTTGCTGAGAGTGTGCAGTTGCTTTTCCAGCGGAGTGAGCGCTGAACCAGTTCAAAACAGGAGCTGCAGGCTGAGCTGGGCGCAGGAGGCATTTTTTTTTCTCAAGCCATACTGCTACAGCTAGGCGAGAGATGGAAACGCAACCCAAACTTTTAATCTGAGGTCTCATTTGATCGAATTGCTGCAGCTTTTGTGGGTTAATATGGTTTAATAATGTTTAATATCGTTTAATGGTTTCCCCATGTTTTCCCCACTTGCCAGGTGAGGCTCTCTAGGTTTTACTAGAATGTCAAATAGTATGTCAGAATATGTCAAAATAGATTGTCAGATCGAATGTCAGAAAAAATGTCGGACTAATTATGTCAGAATATGGGTCAGACAGAATGGAAGATGACATATTATTATGTAGATTGAATGCCCGACAAGATGTCAGAATATGTCATATAATATATATACACATACAATACATGTACATAGCATATTATATATATTTATATACAGATTTTATGTGTATATATATATATATCAGATTATATCATCATGTAAAATCATATACTGTATCAGTATGTATCAGTCAAACAAAGTGGCAGAATAAATGTCAATAGATGGGGGGGCCACATTTATGGGTCATGAAGCGCTGAGATTTCCACTGCCATTTTGCAAGTTGGAGGTCTCACCCCGGTTAGAAGATCACCCTGTGAGCCGGGGAGCCTAGCAATCACACAAGCGAACAGAAACAATCTCAGTTTGTGGTCCTCACCATGTCTTAGCATCTGTCCACAACCTAACTATGACTCACCTTTACCAAAGTGCTTTTTACAGGTGAGGTGACATGTTTTTAGCTGTATTTGTTGTTTGTCTTTGTAGCGGCAGTGTTGGTTGTTGGTAAAATGGTTGGAGCTTTCCCGGCCGAACACCTTATTCACAACATGTGCTGCCTGAATTTGGTAACCACACCAACTTCATGGGCTGTTTGAAGACAACAGGACATGGGATACCACATTGCTTGATACTTGCTGGAGTTTGAAGTGCTCACCGACACCGATTTCAAATCTTTATGAGCCCTTCGCGCCGGCTTCAGCAAGGTTCAAGATTTTCATACTCCACAGCACGATTCCCATGGATGAGCAGGAGCAGGATCGGATTTGGGGAAAGGCATGTAGATCATGTAGCAATATAGCATTTGCACTTTGGCAGAGACTTTGACTTGAGGACCTCTTGCTTCAACAGGTTCTATACAACATGTTGGGGATTTATGCTTGCACTTTTTGCGGTTGAAAGCTTCCAGGAAACAAATTCCAACGAGTCATGATCACAAAGGATTGCAAAGGTCTATATATAATGGCGTAATGGTCTATATCTTGCAAATTTTAACTGTGTTGTGTTGGCAGATCTAAACAGACTCCTGAGAGACTGCAGCAGAAGTCATGGTGGTTCCTGTAAGACACATTTGGCGTTGCCAAGCTGGCACCAGGCGTTTCAAGCTCCAGCAGAAAATGCTTCCCAGCAGCAGATGTCAGCCAATCCTTATCCCTTGCGCAGTCGCTGCGTAATGGTGATGGTGGCTTACAATGTTATAGGTGGGCGACCGGAAGAACATTTCAGGACTTTTAAACATGTTCAACATGCATGGCCCCAACCCTACTGCCTGACTATCAGAAGACCTAGGTTTGCCATATTTTCTTGGCATCAACCATTGCGGAGTCCTCTGTCACTTTGCCCAAGGCTCGTGGGGCATGTTTTTGTTTGTTTTTATGTGTTACTATATGTGCTCAGCGTAAAACATTTAAGGATATTAAGATATTTGACGATACTTACAGTAATGCCTGTTGAGAAGGATTCAGGTCCCGCAGCTTTTTAAAAAGACCCGCATCGATACATAGGCTACTTGCCCAGAACTGCAAAAGGGTGATGCAATTTCAACATGAGGGAGACCTGAGGTGTTAGCTGTTAGCTGAGAAACTGGTGAACAAGATGGGACGATGATGTCATGATGCGGAGTTCTGCGGCTTGCGGCAAATTGCAGTCCAATTGGGGACGCTACTGATACTGTATGGTCATAGCGATCAAATGAAGGTCCTGGTACGTCAATTCTAGCCAGAAAGCACGTTGTGGATTCCATATGATTCAATATGTATAGTTGATATGCTTGTATGATCTTGTATGTAATTAGTTGTACCATGTTGTACTGACATTTCTGTTGTCCATAGAGCTGAGCTGTGTCGCCAGGTCCGAGTGGTGATTGACACATGCCTTCGCCGACAACTGTCTCCTGACAAATCACGCCACGGCGTCAACTGCCTTTTGACACAGCGTCGCCCCCAGCCCACTGAAAAACCTGTTGTGGCGTCATGTTGTCTCATGATCCTATCGACTTGATTCTTGTTTTTTTTTGTCTGTGCTTGGCGGAATGCCGTAAATAACCCGTCTTTAAACTTCAACCTCAGGGCATCTCAGGGCCTTCATGGCTCTTGGATGACCTTGGTGTACTGGCAGGTTTGACAGAGAAATGAGAAAGATCATAAAAGATCTACAGCGGGAGCGCTGTATGCTGTTTCCGTGTCTCGCTTTGAGTTTCCTGTTGCTCAGGTGGGTCTCACATGCTTCAGCATCTCAACGATCTGGACGCGCAGGCAATGGGCAGCAAAATTATTCAAAATGATCGAGGAAGGAGTTGGGTGTCTACCCATGTCATCTCTTGCCCAAGAACTAGTCGCGATTTTAACATGTTTCAACTATTTTTAGATGGCAGGAACCACCAATAATCTTTGTGGCCGTTGATGGTAGCTCATGTAGCTCGATGACCCGGTGGTACGAAGGATACGAAAGCACGATCTCCATTTCGGCCAGCAGCTCTAGTGCATTTTCATGTAGATCAACTATTTTTTGCCCAGCTCTAGTTCATTTAGCAAGGCTATTAGTTGTATAATTCATCAGTGGCAATAACACATGCTGTATCTGCTTGGGTCATGCACTTTGAGTTTAGAGGTTTAGATCTTAAATTGCAATGTCATCAGCCCGCACAGTTTTCCCAAGACAGAGAGAGAGAGAGAGCTATTGCATGTGGGGCAGAACAGCCGCGGCGTACGGGTTGACCTGAGATTGTTTTGATTGTTCGAACGGGCCGGCCTTCCTTGCAGTCTGTTGCAGGCAGAGTTTATCCAGGAGTGTCAATCAGGTTGGTGCCCAGGCGGGCAAACTCGGATTTTAATTCTATTTTTCGGAGTCCGTTGGCAGTGCACCCAGGGGATGTCTATTTCTGAGCTTGGAGACATCAGTCATAGCCCCCCTTGCAGGGCAGGCGGGCGAAATGATACCCGCTGCAGTGGGTTTCAGCATGTCCGCTTGGCCCCAGGACATTCTACACCCAGCACATGGCACAATATGATGCGCCGGAAATCGAGCAGGACACGACACCGACAGCAGGAGTTTGTGTTTCAAATTGCAGTATACATTTACTTGATTATCATTATCATTATAATTTACCATGGAATTTGTCTTCTTCTATGTTTTTCCGATTGTAACAGTTTAAAGGCCTATCACATTTGAGACCTATTAGCCTATAATGTATGTAGTTGGCAGGCTTACTTGATTGTCGCATATTGTCCGAATGCCTCCCTTGGATGATTGAGCATCAAGTGAACAACAGGACTTTCTTCTATGACAATCGCACATCGCTCAAACAAGTGCTTTATGCACGATAAATCTGCTGATGAATCGATTGACTTTTAGAACCAGCCAGGATTAGGACGGGACAGGTACATGTGTGGTTCGTGTGATGTGTCAGTGGAGCCATGCCAGGCTCCGCTTGAGAAGCTCTATCTCAATGATGGGTGCTCAGATGTTTCCTGGGAGATCTGGGAGGGCGAGGCTCAAAACTTAACATGAGCCGTCATAAAGAAGGTGACCGTAGAGGCGCGTCAGGTTGTTTGGCAAACTCTTCAAGTGTGAATTTGATTGTGGATCCTGCCTTTGTTACTTTGTCACCCAGTTTGTTGCTGAAGACGATCCCTCAGCACATTGCATTTTTTCAGAACCCAATGCTTACCATTACCATCAGTATCATAGTGTACATTCGGATTAATTTTGTCTTTGTGGTCCGCTGAACCGGATATTCAATGCCATGCAAGACAAAGGTAAAGTTAAACAATTTAAAGATGACAAGCAAGGACTACGAACTGACCCCCACAAAAACCATGCGGAGCTGGCTTGCCAGATTGCAGCATTTTTGCACCTCAAGCACTGACGGTTGTGGCAGGGTGCCACCGATTCCAAAGGTTTCAGCTAATGCAGGAATGTTTTAAGATGTACTAGACAGAGAGGCAAAAGAATGCATGAAGGGATGCAGCTTCAGACTCAGGCTATCCCAGGCCCCACGCCAGTGCTTTCTGCAGCATCAATAGTCAACACTACTAAGCATCACATGACAAACAGATATGGTTGAAACATGTTGAAACATGGTCACATTTGAGTGGCCTGGATTTGATTCCGAAGAATTATATATATCTTCTTTTGCCACATCTTCACACAGAGCAAGAACCTATGAGCACCGTTGGCTGCAGTGGTTTCTACACAGGACACATACAGCTACCTGCTTGTGTTTTTCTTGATGTCAAGGTGATGTTGGTGATGGTCTTCAGCAATAGTAATGTGTTCGTAGGAGGATGTAGGAGGCTTGCCAGGCTTGCATTGAATTTGAATTCGGTTCCTTACTCGCCATACTCTGTCAGGTCTGTGTGGAGCTTGTCTATTGCAGTTGCTTTGAGGCCAATACGGCGGCGACCATTATATACTGTACATTACTGTACCATACTGTACCTTCTGCGGCCTATGGCTCAGACAGTCTTATTCACGAACTACTCACATCATCCACCGGACGTTTTTGCAGCGTCTGCGATCCGATTACGAATCATGTATCTCAGATTGCCATGGCTTCTTTCCATGGTTTTTCTGCAAGCACATTTGCTTTTCATTGGGCACAGCATTTCTGTGAAGGGCGGCAGACAAGACGAGCAGACATGCGCACCGCTGTCAAATCAGGAGCTTTACTCTTCGGTCAAAGTCTCCATTGGCGACCCTGCGCAGACCTTTGACTTGGTAGCTGATACTGGCAGTGACTCGTGCATTGTGAAGGACTGCACGTGCAATCAATGTCCAGCAGAGTGGGGAGGCTGCTTCAATGGCCGCAAGAGCTCAAAATCATTCAAGTTGCCAATGTTCCTGGTTTCTGGTCATGAGATGAGAATAGAGCTGACGAAGCAAAAACAGCCACAGTTATTTCAATTGCTTGCAGGCAAATCCAAGCAAAGCAAGCAACCCCAGTACTGTAGTGGTAAAGCATGGCAAAGAAATGCAAAGCTACATTTTTCCACCGGGCCCCAAGTGAGGAACATGCGAGAGTTGCTGATGTGATCTCATGTGTAAGCTGAGGTTAAAGAAGCAGAAACTGATACACCCAGAGAAGCTCCTGCGTCGATGGTAATGAGTTTCGGCAGCGGAGACATCTCGACACAGGTGGCTTCAGACCAGGTCCAACTTGGTGCTGTAACTTGTTCTGCGGAGGTTATGGCATCACTTTTTTGCGGTTTTCGCTTTCTATGGTGTGACACTGGGGTCTAGATTGTTTCTTTATATAAATATGTTGCATTTACATTTGCTTGATTTTCTTGTTAGGTACAAGCTTACATGGAGAATGGCTTGCTGCTGATGGTGGATCATGGTATCAACCTGAAAGGCCGTCAGATGCCAGGGCAGAAGGTTTCCGTTGGAGTTTGTTCCAACTCAGCGCTGAATGCTAGAAAAAAATGAAAATAGAAGTAATTGAAGTAATAAACAATATGAAATAATGATATAGCATATCATGTTGACAAAATGCAATCCTTGAGCTCAATGTGGGGATTCCTTCCCATCCTGTTGAAGGATGTAACGGGTGTTGCGACGCCTTATTGGGCCCGAACCGGGTGGACCCATGCCTGTCTTCAAATCATCTGAGTATGCCTCCTGAAACATCCTGAAACTGCATTAAGTCTTTGCACATGTTGGGGCTTTAAATGATTTTAAATGTGGAGCTGCACAGCTGAGAAATATTTAGAATTATTTAGTCCTGTGCTCCAACTTGGAAGACGTTCTTACATCCTACCACAAAGCTGTGCACACCAAGCATGGCACGTCTATACTGTTTCTATCCCACTTGTCAGATTTGTGAGTGGGCTTGGGTTATCTTCCACTACAATCGCCACCATTGATCATTGATCGCTGGACTGTTCACTGCGATTTCACCACCAACTGTTGTGACACTTCATTTCCGACGCTGCACTGGTGGTCGAAAAACACTGGAGTGTCATAGAGAATCCATGTCTATCATTGTCATTTATTGTCTATCTAGCGTCAACCCCCTTCATACCATCCCTTCACCCGAGTCCTCCGTTGTGATGTGCGGGAGGTCACTTTGAGGGCATTTTGGGCTTGGGTCGGCCAGTGGTCAAGACTGAGAAGACCGAGTCCGAGTCCCATGATGGAAAGCCCAAGATCAAAGTGCCAAGTTTCCTCGAAACTGCCGGTGTGCGACGTTTCTCCATGTGTTTCAACCACAATGCGGATGGCACCCTGGGCCTCAAAACGGTCCCGCGCGAGAATTTGCTGACCTCTACAGGAAAAGTCCACTGGTCCCTGAACTTCCATGGACTGTCTATTGGGGAGCTAAAAGTGGACCTCTGCAGCAGCTCAAAGTGCAGTGTGATTCCGGACAGCGGCACCACCCTTTTCTCCGGGCCTGAAGCCCAGATTGCAAGCATCTACGAAGCCCTTTGCCTCAGCTGGCAACGATGCAGGCAGACTCACACAAAGCTCCGAGCGGAAATGCAAAGATTGTCCGAGGAAGGAGTGGAAGTAGAAGGAACTTCTGAGAGGAAGGTTGGACTTCTTGAATCAAATCCGGATGAATTCCTGGACATCGTCTCAAATCTTGCAGCTCGTAGCGGCGAAGGTGTGGCATTTGCAGCTGAAGGGCCAGGATGGACAAGTCAAGCTACAGGCTGGGCAAGTTATCATCGTGTCGCAAAGTGTTCAGGTATTGTTTTTGTATGTTTTTGTTTCGGTACTGAGTGCAACATAGTGCAGCCAATGTGCAACCATGGTCAACTCACACAGCTCTGCCAGGATTTGACACGGCCAAACTCGCACGTGATGCGTCCCAAAACCTCCACGGAGCAACACAGTCATCTGAATCTGATTCCGAAGGTGCCTTTGCAAATGACTTTGGAAGCACTTCAATGTTCACTTCAATGCCTGTCCACAATTTTTCCACAGCTCAAATCTGCAAACGGTCTTTTGTATTTTTTGTTATTGTTTTCTTCGAGTGTACATTGCTTAAGAATGCTTACATTATGCTTACCCTCTGGTAATTTAACGTAGCTATTGAAAATGACCATTAATAGTGGATTTTCCCATTAAAAATGGTGATTTTCAATAGCTATGTTAAATTACCAGAGGGTAATACTTATCCGATTTTTGAGCTGACGCTCGTCGTCGGCTCCGCCGGACTACTCGGCCCTCCATTTCATCGCAGTGTGGGCTTGAAAGCTATTGAATGAGGACCTGCTTCAGAAATATATTCCTTATATATGGGAGTCGCCCGTAAAAGCAGATAACAAATTTATGAATTGATGCGTTTACTCTGCTTTGCGCGATTGCCAAAACCTGCATCGCGATAGGCTGAGCGATTGGTTGGCGATTGGTTATACGGCTACGACTACTACTACGACTACTACTACTACTGCTAGTACTACTGCTAGTACTACTGCTAGTACTACTAGTACTAGTACTACTAGTACTAGTACTACTAGTACTAGTACTACTAGTACTAGTACTACTAGTACTACTACTACTACTACTAGTACTACTACTACTACTACTACTACTACGCCTCCTCCTGCTACTACTACTACGACTACGACTACGACGACGACGACTACTACTACTACTCCTACTCCTACTACTACTCCTGCTGCTACTACTACTACTACTACTACTCCTGCTACTGGTATTACTGTGAGTTTTCCGGACCGTTTCCGGACCGCGCTATTTTCTTTTTCTTCTCAAATATGAAAACGAATGCGTTCATGGGCGGATCCTTCTACTAGTGTTGCTATTACTCTCAGTATTACCACTAGCGCCGCTACCACTGCAACGCCGCTACCACTACTACACCGAGGAATTTTTGCCTTTGCTTTTCTCCACTTGACAAAAGTTACACGGAATGGTCAGAAATCAGTCAGAAACCGGCCAAACGCAACCTCTCTCTCTTTCTCTCTCCCTTGCCTATTCCCTCACCGGATGGGGCTGCCAGTGCCAAACGTTGCTTTCTGGAATGTCAAAAAGAAAGCCAAAACTACGGTAGGGATGTAGAAACAGAGGTTTCCGGCCGGCTGGGGCTGCAGTGCCTAACGTTGCTTTCTGGAATGTCAAGAAAAAAGCCAAAACTACGGTGGGAATGGAAAAACACAGGCTTCGAAACGCCACATCCCCATGCTGCTGAAGGGCGAGGCGGCCCAGCCGGCTGGGGCTGCCAGTGCCTAACGTTGCTTTCTGGCATATCAAGACTAGAATAGTAAAGTTAAAAAAAGTTGGGGATGGAGAAACAAAGGCTTCGAAACGCCATATCCCCATGCTGTTGAAGGATGAGGCAGCCCGGTCGGCTACGGCTGCCAGTGCCTAACGTTGCTTTCTGGAATGTCAAGAAGAAAGCCAAAACTACGGTGGGGATGGAGAAACACAGGCTTGAAAACGCCAAATCCCCATACTGCTGAAGCTACCAGTGCCTAGCGTTGCTTTCTGGAATGTCAAGAAGAAAGCCAAAACTACGGTGGGGATGGAGAAACACAGGCTTGAAAACGCCAAATCCCCATACTGCTGAAGCTGCCAGTGCCTAGCGTTGCTTTGTGGAATGTCAAGAAGAAAGCCAAAACTACGGTGGGGATGGAGAAACACAGGCTTGAAAACGCCAAATCCCCATACTGCTGAAGCTGCCAGTGCCTAGCGTTGCTTTGTGGAATGTCAAGAAGAAAGCCAAAACTACGGTGGGGATGGAGAAACACAGGCTTGAAAACGCCAAATCCCCATACTGCTGAAGCTGCCAGTGCCTAGCGTTGCTTTGTGGAATGTCAAGAAGAAAGCCAAAACTACGGTGGGGATGAAGAAACCCAGGCTTGGAAACGCCGGCCTCGAAAGCGATGGGCGATGGAATTGTAATTGATTCTTTGACGCGCTTTTCTGTTGTATGCAGGGGTCGGCGGATTATAATTTCATCTGTGATCCGCCCATATGTTGAAATACACCAAGGTCCAGGCAGTTTTGAGCTGCCACCGGCTCTAACACTTCAATTGCTGTTGGAGCATTGTGAGCAGTGGATTGAGAAGGTGGACATCAACAAGGAGATGCCAGCATTATCTTTCTACGTCAGTGGCGCCAATGGGAACAAACAGGAGGTTAAGATCTCGCCTTACAACTATGTTTTGTCCAAACGCATGGATGTCGAGGCGATTTGGAGGGAACCGGTGACAAAACTCATGAGAACCTTCCATCCATGAGGTATTGTCCAATCATGTCCAATCCGAACCGGGTAGTTCCATGTACTTACTTGACGAATGGTTGAAGAATGTTCAAGACCCTGATTGAAACCGGGTAGAGGTACCCAGCATTCGAAATGTCTTCGGCTTCAAATTGAACACCAAACACCTCGAACGCAAGAAAGTTTGCACTATGGCCTTCACTCCCACGGACTACTCCACGATAACTGACGGGCAAATTTGGATCATGGGCACGTCACTAGTCTTGCACTTGAGTCATATTGGATCCTGTGATCCATGTTGCTGTGGAAGTTTTTCCTGATTTTCTGATATTTTCTGGGCCAGTAGTTACCCCTTATCTCTTTGCGATCCTGGTCTCACAAGTTTCAAGTTGTCCTGAACCGTAAAGCGGAGAGCAAGGCCTCTCTTCTATGAGTACACTGCGCATTATGACCGGGGCAGTGGTTCAGAAGATCAGGTGGCAATGGCGTTTACTCGGCAAGATCAGGAGGAGTGCGGTCAATGCAAAGGCATGAAGATTGTGAGATCCCAATCGCTGATTGCTGAGGCTGCTGAAGGTGGTGCTGAAGGTGGCCGGGCCAAAATCGGAATGGCTTCTTTGAATGTCCTCTCCCATCAGCCAATTGTGCGAAATCTCACCGGGCTGAAGTTCATTTGAGGGCACTATGGCACAGCAGGGCAGGCAGGCAAGTCTGATAGCAGCTCAGTGAGACAAAGTCAGCCTGTGCCAGCAGTGATTCGGAATGATTCGGATTCCACAAGACAAGCCGCGATTCAGAAGCTGTAGCCGCAGCCACATTGGCCGCTTCCGGCGCAGAAGAAAAGGTGTTGGCCTCGTCGGAGATTGGAAAACAGAGAGAGAGAGAGGCCTCGGCCAAACATAATAAACATAGCTCAAGTCACAGCCATGCGGTATCTTGATGCATTGCTCGCACCTCCAGGACTTGACATTGATGGTCTTCGTTCAGCCAATGGTGTCGCTCCTTCAGTACCTTTGGGCAAGGCCTTACTGCAAGGTGGTGGAGGCTTGCGACTCTACAAAGTCACAGCAACGACAGCATCGAAAGCAAAGCCCAATGAATCTGAGATCAAAAATACCGTGAAGCTTCCCTGCGAATAGAATGAATTAGATGAGATACGATGAGATAATTGAGATATATAGTGAAGATTCAGGAATGAATTACCACTGTCAGGCTTGGATTAAAGTCTTAAATGAACTCAAAGTCTCAAACTGGGCTTGGACAGAGTGACCCTATGTAGCTGCGAAGGAAATGCCAGTGCTGACATTGGCCAGAGTTTTTTTTTTCATATACAGATTATACAGTAATTAATGTAATCATGTGATATGCTGTTTTTTTTTTCCAAAAAAAAACGTAGCCTCACAATTGGCACTTTGATTGGATGCACCTATGGCATTGTAACATATTGTAACCATATTATGCCGCATGTTGCCGCAAAACATGTTCGCGAACATGTTTCATCAATGACAGCCTGGCTGCACATATCACGCATGTATCCATTCGTAAATGTATACTATCATACATATATGGTTTTCTTTCTGCCTTAGCGGCGGTTCTTTTTTCGGGCGCCCACAGTGGTTCCCAACCGCTGTTCGTCCAGCGGAATTTGCAAAGCTTTTGGGCAATGTTCTTATATATATATATATATGTGTGTGTGTGTGTTTCTTTCTGTACCCAGTAATATGTGAAATGTGTGATATTCTGTGACTATGTGCGCACACACACAAATCATCACAAATCTACATACTAAGTACCACACAATCCTCAGATAATTATGTGATCACATTTGCTTGTATGACACAAACTCAAAGAAACGTATTTGTACTTGGGCTATTGATTGTATAACTACAGCGTGCACCCTCACACACACATGATAAACAAAGAGCATACAAACAGGTATGCTGCATGATGCTGCAGGTACGGGTCCAATGCTAGACAATATGGACCACTACACATCCCATACACAACACATACGACCGCTACCATACTCGCAGTACTTACTGATGACAGATGTTGTAGAATTTGTGGAATGTTCTGGAATGTATTCAGGGCGTGCGCGCAATGCTTGCCCTGGCATGTTCACAATTTGTGCAATGCGTGCATTGTGTAAAATGTTGTATAGCCATGGCTTGTCTATGTGCTTTGACTATCAAGAGTTGATGCAACAGGGCAACGGCTGGCTGACTTAGGAAACTCCAACAGACAGTTCTCCCAGCTTTCAATTCCGAAGTTCTCAAGAGCTTGAAGATGCTCAGCTGTTCTCAGTTGTTTTGCCCTGACAGCACAAGTTGCATTGAATTGACAATGCCCAGCGCCATCAACATGTCAAACACGTGTTGATTGGAACTTGGACGATTTTTTTTGCGTAAGTGTGGATGATGGTCGCTGTCCTTGATTGGTTGAGTATGCAAACTCACATATCTCATCGCCAAGGCTATGAGCGCTTCCAAGCTGAAGCAAGTGGCACTAGAACTTCAGCAGGGGGGAAGTGGCTTGCTTGCTGACAATTCATGGCATATGAACACGAGTTCGGCCCTGTGGATCCTCTAGGAAATGTGGAACATCGGATGGAAGTTTTAGGACAACTGGCTGGCAGATCGGTGAAAAAGAACTTGTAGGACAACTTCCCATTGCTGCCCATGTGAAGATGCAGAGGCAATGCATGAATACCCAATGACAAGGTTGTTGCAGGGACTTGATTTGAGTATTTTCAATGCCAAAACGCATGGCCCAACCCACATGAAGCCGGGAGGGGCAAGCTGACAGCTGACATCAGCTGACCAACTCAGGAGGCAAGTCCTTACCCATAGCTCCAGCTCATCGAGATGGGCTCATCCTTTGGATTTTGAAGGTGCGTAGCATTCGGTGCCTGCTGTGGGGGCAGTTGGGTCAGGTTGGGTCCTGAGGTCCATGGATGGGACGATGTGTACAATATGGCAAAATTATTAGGAATGTACTGTAGTTAATAGTGTAGGATAGTGTAGAATAGTGTAGATTGAATTCGTGTGAGTTTAGACGACTGCATAGGTACATGTCCGTAGGCACGCCGCCGGAGGATGAGAGAGCTATCTCAAATACATATTGCTCACACTCACACATAGAATCCAACTTTTGGGGGAATAAAAGAATCGGCACCATGACATGACCTGTTTTCATGAAGGGGAAACCGGAAACCACATTTTCCAGTGTTGCTATATTTCTGTTGAGGCAGTTGCATCGACACCATTCCCTACAGACATAAACAAAATTTCACGTTCAAAGAGGCTGATCATGTTATCGTTCCATGCATTTGGATGGAAGGCTGTGAGATGAGAATGACAAGATATCAGGAAATACCTTTGAGATGGTGACTTGTGATTGCAGGCGCAAGCCATCAAACCTCCAGCTTCCAAACCTGCAGCTGGTGCCCCAACGGAGCTTGGACAACTGGCAAATCAAGGTGCCAGGGCTGTGGCATTCTTTTCTGAAGATATCTGACTGGAAACTCATACTCCTGAAATCAAACCTACTGTATGCAGCAGCTTCCCTTTCTTGGGAATTTCAACATTGATGACCGCCTTGCGGATCACCTTCAAAGTCGCACTCCCACGTGTTTGCTGTTTGTTCTGAATGCAACCGCTGAAGCAGTAACGCAGCAACAATCCTGCATGGAAGGCTAAGGGCAGATGGGGTGCCGTGTGATTCCGGAACCCATCAACTTGAATTCAATTACTCAAGTAAAGTTGCGATGAACCACTGGGTGGATGCTATGTTTCACCATTCCGCAGCAAAAGGCGCCGTGGGATTTGGTTCAAACCTGTTGGACTGCCAGGGGCTGTAGTTCGTGGTGTTGTGTTGTCTTGTGTTGTTGCATGTTGTTGCGTTGGCATTTAGTTTGGCATAGCTAAGCAAAGTGCTTATCAAAGCATTTCAGGTGCCTTATCCCTTAGCTTTAGCAATTTTGCCTTTGGCAGGGGGAAAGTGTACTTTTAGCCTGCACCCCATCAACAGAAGTTGTCGCGAACTTTGCATCGGCGCATGTCAGAGCCATCGCTTTTTGCGATGCTTTGCTGCTGCGGACCTCACGATGAAGAAATGGTTCTGACAGAGGTTCCTTCAGCGCACGTGCTGGATAAAGAGAGTCGTGTCGTGGTTCCTGGCCCATTGACTTGCGGCTCATTTAAGGTCACTTTGACACTTACTGACCAAGTCCCGAAACAGCTCGGTCTCAAAGTTGACAATTCGGATGAGCGAGGATCTATGATTATGGGCATCACCGAAGGGGTGGTCGAACATTTTAACCTGCAGAATCCGGAGCGAGCTTTGTCTGTCTAGGATCGGATTCTGACAGTGGATGGGGAGCCCACGACCATCACCGAAGTCCATCGACTTCGAATGTCTTCTCTGGCGAAGGAAGGGGCCAACTCCTTAGAGCTTTTGGTCTCCCGACCTCAGGTGCTAACAGTGACTGGTCAGCACTTAAACGCTTAAATATTTGCTTTAAGTATATAACTAACCAACTAATATTGATTTCGGATGATTTCGGATGTTTTCAACAGTTTTTAGCTTTGTTCTAGGATTGAAACGTCTTTGTTCAAGTAATCCTGGAACTTTGAGTGTGCTGTACAATCATATACAATCATAGAGGATTGATATGGACAGATAGTAGAGTGGAGAGAATTTCAGATGGAGAGTAGAAGTGTAGAACCACACTGCAAATTCTCGCTGCGCCGAAAACCCATTTCAGGTGAGTTTGAAGAAGCAAGGATCTCTGGGTTTGAAAATGAAGTACAGCGCTGCTTCGGCTGGCATCATCATTGACTCTGTCCTGCCTGATGGACTGATTGCGGACTGGAACCAGTCTCACCCAAAACAAATTGCTCCGGGTGACCGTATCATTGCGCTGGATGGTGTGACATTGGCTGGGAAAAGCATGTTGGAGGAATTGAAGGTACGTTTGGGACACATGGGACTGAAGCCTTGCCAGCACTTACCGGCAGTTCATGGCTGGAAAGGGATGAATAGGGGGTTTTGATAAAGTTTAGACATTTTTATGACATATACAGACCGGTTTAGTAGATCCAGAACAACTTCCATAAATCGCAAAGATGAGTCGATGAGTGTTTGGCATTTTATACGTGTGGATGCGCACGCAGGCAGAGATACACTACACATGCAAGCACACACACACTATTTAATTGGCCAGGCCAGGCTATTTTGTGCTGCCGGCAAGCTCAGGAACATCGACCTGAGCATTCTGCACTATGACATACTATGACGACGCTCAAACACGCTAGCGGCCACTAGACGCCTCAATGCTGGCCTGTTCCTAAGAGACCAGACGGTTGTACTGCGTATTTGAGCGAAACCCAAAGTTTTGCGATGGGCGATGAGCCATGAGTGCCGCGTTCTTTTCCCTGCCAGAAATGGGCAGTAGTCACTATAGATGTCACTAGGAAGCAAGTCACTAGCACCTTTCCAGTTCTGAAAGTCATAAGGATCCAACAATATCCACCAGTCACGTCACGTCAATAGTTCCATCATGTCAATGAACCCACCTCATCCCACCTCTATATAATGCATTGAAATGCTATATATATATTTATATACATATATTAATATAGTCTTCATGATTTGAACAAGGACCGGACGAAACTGGAAAGTATGCTGAGACCCAATTTTTGCCATGAAACAGCGACAAGGCTAACCTGTAAAACAGGTCAACCTGGCAGCTGTCAAAAATTCCTTTTTGCAGTAGCCAAGAAATGATGCTCTCTGGTGGCCATGCATGTGGATTTGCCAATTTACTGTATGTGCCACAAATCGGAACCCTGAACCAATGGCACGTTTTATGGTCTCGCTATATTATATTCTGTGATCTCAGTTTGGCCCAGATTTTCGGCAGCTGATGTGCCACATAGTAAAGTATCACTTCTCCGATAAATCATGTATTGGAGCTGAAAGCCCGGCCACCACACACTTCATGGAGGCAGCACTTTAAGGACGTTGCCAAAAGCAAAGGAAATCTACAGCCAACAAGGATGCTTCCGGGTGCATTGGGGCTCCAGACGTGCCACATGTATTATAGGGATACCCTCAAGTACTAGGTATCTAGAATGGGGGGGCCCTGGGGTACCCAGGGGGGGGGGTCTAAGATCCCCCCCGCCCCGCGATATTAGACCCTTTGGAGGCTCTGATTTTAGACCCTTGGGACCCCTTAGTTATGTGGAATGATGATGATGATGGTGATGATCATATTAAAACCCTAGTGCCAACCTACCTTGTGCAGATAATTTGTCCAGGCATCACCTTGACCATAACTCCTATTTAAAAAATCCACAAATTCGGTCTTATTTCGACGACCCCCTTTCTTGTTGCACTATGCAGCTGGTTTATGCTGGTTTCAGGTCCGGGGAGGTGTGCGTTTTCTTGGAGAATGTTTTTTGGTGAAAGGCTTGTTTTGTAGACCGTTTTCTTGGAGAATGCTTTTTGGAGAATGCATCACATAGCACGCTATCACATCAGATCGATCAACATTATATTTCAAAGGAAAAATAACATTGATTAGGTGAAAAACCATTGTAGAACCTTATGGGTGGAAAAAGGTATTGTTGATTATCACCCACCCAAAATACCCAACAATCCCCAGAAGCAGTGGGTTGAACACCACACAAGGTCTAAAATCATGTCCTTCATGATATGCCTGAAAAGATCATTGGTCCAATATGGGGTAAACCATTTAAGAACCTCATAAATTCTATAAATTCCAAAAAACCCTGTAATCAACCAGATTTGCATCACGTAGCACGCTATCACATCAGATCGATCAACATTATATTTCAAAGGAAGAATAACATTGACTAGGTGAAAAACCATTGTAGAACCTTATGGGTGGAAAAAGGTATTGTTGATTATCACCCACCCAAAATACCCAACAATCCCCAGAAGCAGTGGGTCGAACACCACACAAGGTCTAAAATCATGTCCTTCATGATATGCCTGAAAAAATCATTGGTCCAATATGGGGTAAACCATTTAAGAACCTCATAAATTCTATAAATTCCAAAAAGCCCTGTAATCAACCAGATTTGCATCACATAGCACGCTATCACATCAGATCGATCAACATTATATTTCAAAGAAAAATAACATTGATTAGGTGAAAAACCATTGTAGAACCTTATGGGTGGAAAAAGGTATTGTTGATTATCACCCACCCAAAATACCCAACAATCCCCAGAAGCAGTGGGTTGGACACCACACAAGGTCTAAAATCATGTCCTTCATGACATGCCTGAAAATATCATTGGTCCAATATGGGGTAAACCATTTAAGAACCTCATAAATACTATGAATTCCAAATAGCCCTGTAATATCCTTGAATCAACCAGATTTGCATCACATAGCACGCTATCACACCACCTCGATCAACATTATATTTCAAAGGAAAAATAACATTGATTAGGTGAAAAACCCATTGTAGAACCTTATGGGTGGAAAAAGGTATTGTTGATTATCACCCACCCCAAATACCCAACAATCCCCAGAAGCAGTGGGTTGAACACCACACAAGGTCTAAAATCATGTCCTTCATGACATGCCTGAAAAAATCATTGGTCCAATATGGGGTAAACCATTTAAGAACCTCATAAATTCTATAAATTCCAAAAAGCCCTGTAATCAACCAGATTTGCATCACATAGCACGCTATCACATCACCTCGATCAACATTATATTTCAAAGAAAAATAGATTTGATTAGGTGAAAACCATTCTGCAATGACCATTGTAGAACCTTATGGGTGGAAAAAGGCTTTGGATGGTTTCGGTTTGTATTTTGTGAAGGTAGCATAGGGCTAAGTGATCTATAGTGATCTCACATATCATCACCGGTTACCATTAATTATGACAAAAAAACATAGGGTTTGAGATATGATTTTAGACCCATGCACGTGGGTGTCTGAAGATTTTCTCCTGGCAATTGGTGGTTTTCCACAAGAATACCATCTTAGACCCAGTCCTGGGGTTCTAATATCTAGTCTTGAGGGTGCCTGGGTAGTACTTGATGGTATTTATAGGGTCTTCTCAATTCAGATCCCCCGTGAGCAATAAGAATGTGAGGATTGTGAGGGGTATGTGACATTGACTACACCCACCAGATCTCACCAGATCTCACCAGATCTCACCAGACTCACTACATGCCTCGAGGAGATGCCTGTGAAACTTGCGCATCATCCCAAGCATCAGAAAGCTCAGAGTTGCTGAAGCACTTCGAGGAGGCACTTCAGTTGGTATCCCAGGGGCTGCAAGAGATTTATGGTTAGGCAACACGTTGCTGTGAGCATACGGGAATGCACATGCCGTATGATTGAATATGATTGATAGACGGGTAGACAAGGTCGGACATGGTGGGACTGACTCGCTATGACTCGCTACAGCTGTGAAACAAACGCCCGTACTCCCTTTGCACAACCTGGGTCTGAGAATGTTCGCGTAGCTGTGTCTTGTGATACCTACAATACCCAGGACACTAGAATTCACTAGAAGTCAGAAGTCAGAAGTGTCTATCTTTCAATTCCATGTTGTAGCATCAAATGTCAAACTTGGCCCCAGGTTGCCAAGTTTTGATGGTGCAGGATGAGTCCTGTGCTGGTGATTGTGTATCCCTGCAGGCTCGACGTCATCGAGTGCAAGCGGCCCAAAGAGGCCTGTCAGGCCATGATGTGGTGCTGCCAAAGTGACAAAAAGGTTCTCACGCAGCAGTGCAGATCAAAAAGTTCCGAAGTGTCCCTTGTTTTTGCTGCCTTTCGGTGGTGAGGCATGATGATCATTCCATATTTGCATATCATTGTGAATAGAAAATAATTGAAAATAATAGAAGTTCGTTGTGTATTGAGGTGAAGCAACTCTCACAAAGATTGCGGGAGCGCTTGCCTCGTATTGGCTCACTGCCACCGTTTGGGGTGCCCAGATGTGCAGAGATGTGCAGATGGCTTGAAGACTGATACGTTCGGAAATTGATTGTCCCATTCCCATTCTTCACTCAGGCTTTGGTTTTGGTTGGTTTTGGTTGGTTTTGGTTGGTCCCCTTGTTTTGCAATGTTTTGCCGTTTTGGTCATTGAACTTCATTACTTCCGTTGGCTCCAGCTCCCAAAGCCCAGGCGCCGGCTTCTGCAGCTGACGGTCCGCACTCAGCCTGCCGAAAGCCTCCTCCAAAGTTTTGCCCGGATTATACTATAGGTTGTTCCTGTTTTGCCATTGCTTTTCATTAAATACAAATTGTAACATTTTATTTATTTATTATACGTATATATATATATAATTATATATATATAATTATTTATATATAATTATATATATATATATACATTCATATATATATATATATATAATTATATATATATATGTATATAATTATATATATAGTCATATATACTGCATATACAGGCTGGGTAAAATGATATATCACGAAAGCCAGCCGCTAGGCTAGGCGAAGTTATTTTTGCGAACAAAGTGAGTTAAGGGGGTCTGGGGGCAGAGCGAGCCGAAACGGTCAAAAATGAGGAAAATAGGTGGTAAAAAAGGTGGACCGGGTAAACTTTTTTTAGGGTTATGTACCAGGTGGCAATTGGGTGACGTTGGGGTATCGATTCCCCCCTGGTCCGCCCTCCGAGCTGGACTTGGGGAGATTGCAATGGAGGGGAAAATGATGAGAAAAACAATGGAAAAAATGAGGGAATATGACATAAAACAATTGGAAAAAAATGGAAAATTTGAGTAGAACGCTTGGAAAATGATGCCAAGTATAAAATAAAAGTAAAAGGATGGAAATTGATGGGGTGGAAAAACAATGGAAAAATTGAGGCTCCGATGTGGGACCATTATCGCGTAAAGCACGCGTGAAACAATGGAAAAGCAATGGAAAAAATGCGGTTTCGATGTGTGACCACTATGGAGTAGAAGCACGGAAATAAAACCATGGAAGAAACGCGCAAAACCGTTTATACGGTGCAACGGTAGGGATTGTGGGAGGTGCATTTGTGTAAGCGTTAGACACACTGAGATAATAGAAGGGTAATGATGGAGAAATCGAGTAACACCATGGCAAAACACTGGAAAAATTGATGAAATGGAAGGATAAATTGATAGCGTAAAATATGGGACGATTGAGTAAAACTGGAGGAAAAACTGTGAAAAAAACACTGGGGAGACTGGAATGGAGGGGAAAATGATGTCGAGTAAAACTATGGAAAAGCAATGGAAAAAAATGAAAAAAATGTGGCTTCGATGTGAGACCATTAGCGATGGAAAAGCAATGGAAAAATCGAGGGACTATGATGAAGAAGTGGAGTAAAACAATGGAAAAAACAATGGAAAAATTGCGGCTCTGATGTGGGACCAAAATGATGCCAAGTAAAATAAGAGTAAAATGACAGAAATTGATGGGATGGGAAACACACTGGAAAAATTAAGGCCCCGATGTGGGACCATTATATGTGCAAGAAGAGTTTCTGGGTGAAGAGTCTTTAGGTGAAAAGTATATGGGTGAAAAGTATGTGCAAGAAGAGTTTCTGGGTGAAGAGTCTCTGGGTGGAAAAGTCTGTGCAAGAAGAGTTTCTGGGTGAAGAGTCTCTGGGTGAAAAGTATATTGGTGAAAAGTATGAGCAAGAAGAGTTTCTGGGTGAAGAGTCTCTGGGTGAAAAGTATATGGGTGAAACGTAGGTGCAAAAAGAGTCTCTGGGTGAAAGTATATGGTGAAAAATATGTGCAAGAAAAGTTTCTAGGTGAAGAGTCTCTGGGTGAAAAGTATATGGGTGAAAAGTATGTGCAAGAAGAGTTTCTGGGTGAAGAGTGGGTGAAAAGTTTATGGGTGAAAAGTATGTGCAAGAAGAGTCTCTGGGAAAAAGGGATATGGGTGAAAAGTATGTGCAAGAAGAGTTTCTAGGTGAAGAGTCTCTGGGTGAAAAGTATATGGGTGAAAAGTATGTGCAAGAAGAGTTTCTGGGTGAAGAGTCTCTGGGTGAAAAGTATATGGGTGAAAAGTAGGTGCAAGAAGAGTCTCTGGGTGAAAGTATATGGGTGAAAAATATGTGCAAGAAAAGTTTCTAGGTGAAGAGTCTCTGGGTGAAGAGTATATTGGTGAAAAGTATGTGCAAGAAGAGTCTCTGGGTGAAAAGTATATGGGTGAAAAGTATGTGCAAGAAGAGTTTCTGGGTGAAGAGTTTCTGGGTAAAAAGTATATGGGCGAAACGTATGTGCAAGAAGAGTTTCTGGGTGAAGAGTCTCTGGGGGAAAAGTCTGTGCAAGGAGAGTTTCCGGGTGAAGAATCTCTGGGTAAAAGTATATGGGTGAAATGTATGTGCAAGAAGAGTTTCTGGGTGAAGAGTCTCTGGGTGAAAAGTATATGGGTGAAAAGTATGTGCGAGAAGGGTTTCTGGGTGAAGCGTCACCCATGGGTGAAAAGTATGTGCAGGAAGAGTTTCTGGGTGAAGAGTCCCTGGGTGAAAAGTATATGGGTGAAAAGTATGTGCAAGAAGAGTTTCTGGGTGAAGAGTCTCTGGGTGAAAAGTATATGGTTGAAAAGTATGTGCAAGAAGAGTTTCTGGGTGAAGAGTCTCTGGGTGAAAAGTATATGGGTGAAAAGTATGTGCGAGAAGAGTTTCTGGGTGAAGAGTCTCTGGGTGAAAAGTATATGGGTGAAAAGTATGTGCAAGAAGAGTTTCTGGGTGAAGAGTCTCTGGGTGAAAAGTATATGGGTGAAAAGTATGTGCAAGAAGAGTTTCTGGGTGAAGAGTCTCTGGGTGAAAAGATGTGAAAAGTATATGGGTGAAAAGTATGTGCAAGAAGAGTCTCTAGGTGAAAAGTATATGGGTGAAAAGTATGTGCAAGAAGAGTTTCTGGGTGAAGAGTTTCTGGGTGCAAAGTCTGTGCAAGAAGAGTTTCTGGGTGAAGGGTCTCTGGGTAAAAAGTATATGGGTGACATGTATGTGCAAGAAGAGTTTCTGGGTGAAGAGTGGGTGAAAAGTATATGGGTAAAAAGTATTTGCAAGAAGGGTTTCTGGGTGAAGAGTCTGTGGGTAAAAAGTATATGGGTGAAAAGCATGTGCAAGAAGAGTTTCTGGGTGAAGAGTCTCTGGGTAAAAAGTATATGGGTGAAAAGTATGTGCAAGAAGAGTTTCTGGGTGAAGAATCTCTGGGTGAAAATTATATGGGTGAATGTATGTGCAAGAAAAAAATCTGGGTGAAGAGTTTCTGGGTGAAAAGTATATGGGCGAAAAGTCTGTGCAAGAAGAGCCAGCCGCTAGGCTAGGCGAGGTTTTTTTTTGCGAACAAAGTGAGTTTAGGGGGTCTGGGGGCAGAGCGCCCCTAACGGATCAAAAATCGCGAAATTAGGTGGTAAAAAAGGTGGACCGAGGTAAACTTTTTTAGGGTTATGTACCAGGTGGCAATTGGGTGACGGTGGGGTATCGATTCCCCCCTGGTCCGCCCTCCGAGCTGGACTTGGGGAGATTGCAATGGAGGGGAAAATGATGAGAAAAACAATGGAAACAATGAGGGAATATGACATAAAACAATGGGAAAAGAATGGAAACTTTGAGTAGAACGCTTGGAAAATGATGCCAAGTATAAAATAAAAGTAAAAGGATGGAAATTGATGGGGTGGAAAAACAATGGAAAAATTGAGGCTCCGATGTGGGACCATTATCGCGTAAAGCACGCGTGAAACAATGGAAAAGCAATGGAAAAAGTGCGGTTTCGATGTGTGACCACTATGGAGTAGAAGCACGGAAATAAAACCATGGAAGAAACGAGCAAAACCGTTTATACGGTGCAACGGTAGGGATTGTGGGAGGTGCATTTGGGTAAGCGTTAGACACACTGAGATAATATAAGGGTAATGATGGAGAAATCGAGTAACACTATGGCAAAACACTGGAAAAATTGATGAGATGGAAGGATAAATTGATAGCGTAAACTATGGGACGATTGAGTAAAACTGGAGGAAAAACTGTGAAAACAACACTGGGGAGACTGGAATGGAGGGGAAAATGATGTCGAGTAAAACTATGGAAAAGCAATGGAAAAAATGTGGCTTCGATGTGAGACCATTAGCGATGGAAAAGCAATGGAAAAATCGAGGGACTATGATGAAGAAGTGGAGTAAAACAATGGAAAAACAATGGAAAAATTGCGGCTCTGATGTGGGACCAAAATGATGCCAAGTAAAATAAGAGTAAAATGACAGAAATTGATGGGATGGAAGCACAATGGAAAAATTAAGGCTCCGATGTGGGACCATTATATGTGCAAGAAGAGTTTCTGGGTGAAGAGTCTCTGGGTGAAAAGTATATGGGTGAAAAGTATGTGCAAGAAAAGTTTCTGGGTGAAGAGTCTCTGGGTGAAAAGTATATGGGCGAAAAGTATGTGCAAGAAGAGTTTCTGGGTTAAGAGTTCTGGGTAAAAAGTATATGGGTGAAAAGTATGTGCAAGAAGAGTTTCTGGGTGAAGAGTCTCTGGGTGAAAAGTATATGGGTGAAAAGTATGTGCAAGAAGAGTTTCTGGGTGAAGAGTCTCTGGGTGAAAAGTATATGGGTGAAAAGTATGTGCAAGAAGAGTTTCTGGGTGAAGAGTCTCTGGGTGAAAAGTATATGGGTGAAAAGTATGTGCAAGAAGAGTTTCTAGGTGAAGAGTCTCTGGGAGAGTCTTCTTGGTGAATAGTGGGTGAAAAGTATATGGGTGAAAAGTATGTGCAAGAAGAGTTTCTGGGTGAAGAGTCTCTGGGTGAAAAGTATATGGGTGAAAAGTATGTGCAAGAAGAGTTTCTGGGTGAAGAGTTTCTGGGTGAAAAGTATGTGCCAGAAGAGTTTCTGGGTGAAGACTCGCTGGGTGAAAAGTATGTGCAAGAAGAGTTTCTGGGTGAAGAGTCTCTGGGTGAAAAGTATATGGGTGAAAAGTATGTGCAAGAAGAGTTTCTGGGTGAAGAGTCTCTGGGTGAAAAGATGTGAAAAGTATATGGGTGAAAAGTATGTGCAAGAAGAGTCTCTAGGTGAAAAGTATATGGGTGAAAAGTATGTGCAAGAAGAGTTTCCGGGTGAAGAGTCTCTGGGTGAAAAGTCTGTGCAAGAAGAGTTTCTGGGTGAAGGGTCTCTGGGTAAAAAGTATATGGGTGACATGTATGTGCAAGAAGAGTTTCTGGGTGAAGAGTGGGTGAAAAGTATATGGGTAAAAAGTATTTGCAAGAAGGGTTTCTGGGTGAAGAGTCTGTGGGTAAAAAGTATATGGGTGAAAAGCATGTGCAAGAAGAGTTTCTGGGTGAAGAGTCTCTGGGTAAAAAGTATATGGGTGAAAAGTATGTGCAAGAAGAGTTTCTGGGTGAAGAATCTCTGGGTGAAAATTATATGGGTGAATGTATGTGCAAGAAAAAATTCTGGGTGAAGAGTTTCTGGGTGAAAAGTGTATGGGTGAAAAGTTTGTGCAAGAAGAGCCAGCCGCTAGGCTAGGCGAAGTTTTTTTTTGCGAACAAAGTGAGTTTAGGCGGTCTGGGGGCAGAGCGCCCCTAACGGATCAAAAATCGCGAAATTAGGTGGTAAAAAAGGTGGACCGAGGTAAACTTTTTTAGGGTTATGTACCAGGTGGCAATTGGGTGACGGTGGGGTATCGATTCCCCCCTGGTCCGCCCTCCGAGCTGGACTTGGGGGATTGCAATGGAGGGGAAAATGATGAGAAAAACAATGGAAAAAATGAGGGAATATGACATAAAACAATGGGAAAAGAATGGAAAATTTGAGTAGAACGCTTGGAAAATGATGCCAAGTATAAAATAAAAGTAAAAGGATAGAAATTGATGGGGTGGAAAAACAATGGAAAAATTGAGGCTCCGATGTGGGACCATTATCGCGTAAAGCACGCGTGAAACAATGGAAAAGCAATGGAAAAATTGCGGTTTCGATGTGTGACCACTATGGAGTAGAAGCGCGGAAATAAAACCATGGAAGAAACGAGCAAAACCGTTTATACGGTGCAACGGTAGGGATTGTGGGAGGTGCATTTGGGTAAGCGTTAGACGCACTGAGATAATATTCGGGTAATGATGGAGAAATCGAGTAACACCATGGCAAAACACTGGAAAAATTGATGAGATGGAAGGATAAATTGATAGCGTAAACTATGGGACGATTGAGTAAAACTGGAGGAAAAACTGTGAAAACAACACTGGGGAGACTGGAATGGAGGGGAAAATGATGTCGAGTAAAACTATGGAAAAGCAATGGAAAAAAAATGTGGCTTCGATGTGAGACCATTAGCGATGGAAAAGCCATGGAAAAATCGAGGGACTATGATGAAGAAGTGGAGTAAAACAATGGAAAAAAACAATGGAAAAATTGCAGCTCTGATGTGGGACCAAAATGATGCCAAGTAAAATAAGAGTAAAATGACGGAAATTGATGGGATGGAAACACAATGGAAAAATTAAGGCTCCGATGTGGGACCATTATATGTGCAAGAAGAGTTTCTGGGTGAAGAGTCTTTAGGTGAAAAGTCTCTGGGTGAAAAGTATATTGGTGAAAAGTATGTGCAAGAAGAGTTTCTGGGTGAAGAGTCTCTGGGTGAAAAGTATATGGTAGGTGCAAGAAGAGTCTCTGGGTGAAAAGTATATTGGTGAAAAGTATGAGCAAGAAGAGTTTCTGGGTGAAGAGTCTCTGGGTGAAAAGTATATGGGTGAAAGGTAGGTGCAAGAAGAGTATCTGGGTGAAAGTATATGGTGAAAAATATGTGCGAGAAAAGTTTCTAGGTGAAGAGTCTCTGGGTGAAAAGTATATGGGTGAAAAGTATGTGCAAGAAGCGTTTCTGGGTGAAGAGTTTCTGCGTGAAAAGTATATGGGTGAAAAGTATGTGCAAGAAGAGTCTCTGGGTGAAAAGTATATTGGTGAAAAGTATGTGCAAGAAGAGTTTCTGGGTGAAGAGTTTCTGGGTGAAAAGTATATGGGTGAAAAGTATGTGCAAGAAGAGTCTCTGGGTGAAAAGTATATGGGTGAAAAGTATGTGCAAGAAGAGTTTCTGGGTGAAGAATCTCTGGGTGAAAAGTATATGGGTGAAATGTATGTGCAAGAAGAGTTTCTAGGTGAAGAGTCTCTGGGTGAAAAGTATATGGGTGAAAAGTATGTGCAAGAAGAGTTTCTGGGTGAAGAGTCTCTGGGTGAAAAGTAAATGGGTGAAAAGTATGTGCAAGAAGAGTTTCTGGGTGAAGAGTCTCTGGGTGAAAAGTATGTGCAAGAAGGGTTTCTGGGTGAAGAGTCTCTGGGTGAAAAGTATATGGGTGAAAAGTATGTGCGAGAAGAGTTTCTGGGCGAAGAGTCTCTGAATGAAAAAAATATGGGTGAAAAGTATATGCAAGAAGAATTTCTGGGTGAAAAGCCTGTGCAAGAAGAGTTCCTGGGTCAAAATTATGTGCAAGAAGAGTTTCTGGGTGAAGAGGCCCTGGGTGAAAAGTATATGGGTGAAAAGTATGTGCAAGAAGAGTTTCTGGGTGAAGAGTCTCTGGGTGAAGAGTCCCTGGGTGAAAAGTATGTGCAAGAAGAGTTTCTGGGTGAAGAGTCTCTGGGTGAAAAGTCTGTGCAAGAAGAGTTTCTGGGTGAAGAATCTCTGGGTGAAATGTATGTGCAAGCAAAAATTCTGGGTGAAGAGTCTCTTCGTGAAAAGTATTTGGGTGAAAAGTATGTGCAAGAAGAGTTTCTGGGTGAAGAATCTCTGGGTGAAAAGTATATGGGTGAAATGTATTGAAGAGTCTCTGGGTGAAAAGTATGGTGGAAAATAGGGGTAGATGGGATGCTGGCTTTCGTTCCCCCCTTCTCAGGTTAACTTTATAAAGAGGACATGGGTTGGTACAGCTCAGTCATGACATATAAACTGCTCTTTGATGATACTCTTTGCAAAGATGCGCTGAGTAAACTCAAACAGTTCCAAGTTGGTATCCCTGTTTGAAAAGCTGTAGCTGTAGCTGGTCATGATATGATATGAGATTAATTATATGAGATCGAGCTATCCTCAAGATTGGACTTGCCTAGAATCTAAACTCTGCATGAAGAAGTTTGATATGTTTCGTTTGGGATTCTGGAGGCCTGAGAGAGGCGAGAACCATTTTAAAGTTGTACCTGCCAGATGAAGCATAATGGCAGCACCATGGAGTGCATTTGGAGGTACAACCCCCTCCAATGGAACGGCTGGAGGAAGCTGTCTGCGACTCAGCTGGGCATTTGTGAGAATTTATGCTATTTCGTGATTTGACTCGTGAGGTCGGCACATTGGCAGAGCTGGGGGCGCTGACCACAAAGCGAGCAACTTGGCCGCACCGCAAAGCAGAATGAGACGTGTAAGTCTCAGAGCTTCGAACCATCTTCCAGTTTGCTTTCCAACTTCCATACTGTACACATTAACATAAAGCATCATAAAGCATCATAAGGTGATATAACAATTATATAACATGTATTGAAATGTACAGATGTGCGCAGCATGCAGTATATTCAGTATATTTGCAAAGGTTCCCTGCATAGCCAAGCTCCTTTGAGCGGCACTTTGGCGCCAGGATGAAACCGCTCGCATCACTGTGCTGGGTCGCATGGCCATCTCCCTTCCCCTTGTGTTGGCCACAGAGAAGAAATGATGAAACAACGAAATGGCAGAACTGGCAACTGGGTTTGCCTCAGTGATTTTCAGTGTATCATATGGTTCTTCTATGGTTTTGGCGAGTTGATTCGGCACACTAGCAATCTCAAATTATTTGCTATCATTGAAACATTTAATCTACATACTTGGAATATGTGGCCCCGTGGATCTTGCGTCATGTGTTCATGTTTCTGTTCTACACACTTCAGGTAAGATTACAAGGATATCCACGTCATTCATGGTCATTCCAGGTCACTCCTCACTATATGATTTCTCCGGAGTTGGCACTCCGAGGATCTACGCTTGTGCCGTTTAATCCTTTTTGGCGTACTCTTCGGCTGTGCAGCAGATGCTGTGGTGATGGTGAGCCCAGTTGGAGCCAGCAAATTAGCCAAAGCCTCTTAGGGTCGAGGCTGTCCAGGGCTACTAATTAATTGAACAGACCAGCAAAGGATAGTAAAGGTTGCTGGTGTGGTTGAAAACGACATGATCGTCCTTTCGCTCTTGGGTCTCGTACCTGTAAATCCCATGCATATCCCGATAGCCAAAAATTGAGATGTGTGTCTAGCGAGCAGCCTCGTATTCATGTATTCCTCGAAGGGGTCCTGATGGGACCAGAACCTCTGCCGCAGGCAACTGCTTTGAGCGGCCAAGATCCTTTTACAATGCCCATGAGCATTGTTATCAAGGACCTGCATAGAACACGCTATAACTACCAACACGACACAGTTTGGATAAGCAGAAGGAGCGACCCCGATCTGGATCAAGGTAGGGTAGAAGTTGGAAGTTGGCTTTGCAAGTTCAAACGGAAGCACTTTGGACTCGCGAATACTTTTATATACTTAATGTTTGATCCTGATTAGTGTGAGGGGTCCCCCCTAAACAATTCTTTGAGTCTCTTTAGTGTGGAAATTTTCAAGCGCACGGGTCTGAATAATTTGTGATCAAAAAAATTGATAGATTTCAATTGATTTCAATTTATGTTCAATTGTTTTCAATTGACTTTCAATTGATTTTCAATTGATTTCAATTCACTTTCGATTGATTTCAATTTAATTACTTTGAATTGATTTTCAATTTACTTTCAACTGATTTTCAATTTACTTTCAATTGATTTCAATTTACTTTCAATAGATTTTTTTCTATGTTCAATTTACGTTCAATTGACTTTCAATTGATTTCAATTTACTTTCAATTGATTTTCAATTGATTTCAATTTATGCTCAATTGATTTCAATTGATTTTCAATTTGCTTTCAACTGATTTTCAATTTACTTTCAATTGATTTTCAATTGATATCAACTTACTTTCAATTGACTTCAATTTACGTGCAATTGATTTTCAATTGATATCAACGTACTTTCAATTGACTTCAGTTTACGTTCAATTGATTTTCAATTGATGTCAACTTACTTTCAATGGATTGTCATTTGATTTCAATTTAGTTTGAATTTAACTATTTTCAATTGATTTCAACTTACTTTCAATTGACATCCCATAGTAATCCCATACATAGAAATTTCATAGAAATATCATGGAACTGCCATAGGAATCTCACAGAAATCCATCAGAATCTCATAGAATTCCTTCAGGAATCCCATAGTAATCCCATAGAAACATCATAGAAATACCATAGAAATCTCACAGGAACCCAATGGGAATCCCATAAGAATACCATTGAATTCCCATAGCACCCCTTCAGAAATCCTATAGAAATATTCTAGAAATATCATAGAAACATCATGACAATCCCTTAGGAATCCAATGGAAATCCCATAGAAATACCATTGACACCCCATAGAAATCCCATAGTAGTCCCAGAGAAATATCATAGACATACCATGGAAACCTTAAGGAATCCAATAGAAATCCCATAGAAATACCATAGAACCACCATAGAAGTTTCAAAGAAACTTCATGGACACCCCATAGAATTCTCAATGAAACCCTCATAGAAATATCATAGAAATCCAAAAGAAATACCATGCACATCCCAAAAAAATCCCATAGAAATACCACAGAAACACCATAGGAATCCAAAGGAAATCCCATAGACATCCTTTTGAAACCCCATAGGAATCCCATAGAACTACCATAGACACACCTTTAGACACACAATAGAATATCATAGAAACAACATAGAAATTACATAGAATTTCCATAGAAATTTTGGTCAAAATCCCATAGAAACGCCATAGAAACCAAGGAGAGGATGCCGGGAGAATTGAACTAAGTAAGAAACAAAAGCTATAGCAAAGGAAAGGAAAAGGAAAGGAGAGAATGATTTTGGAAACATTTTACTTCCAAAAAAAAACTGGACACAATAGAGGACCACCACAACAAACACACTATTGAGGATCAAGGTTGCTCATGGACTACTCCCTTGGAAAATTGTTTGGGTGCTGTTTTTAAATTGGGTTTTAATATGGCATCCTATATTTTGGGAAATTAAACATTTTGAGAATTCAAAAAGAATGGAGCTAATAAAAAGAAAGAGAAAAGTATTCGCAAAGGAAAGAAAAAGGAAAGGAGATAATGATTTTGGAATTTTTTTACTTCCAAAAAAAAACTGGACACAATAGAGGACCACCACAACAATTATATTATTTAGGATCAGTATTGCTCATGAAAAAAAAACTGAAAAATTGAAATAAATAATTCTTCAGACAACAGTTGGACACAATAGAGGACCACCACAACAAACATGTTTTAGGATCAATATTGTTCATGAAAAAAAATGAAAAACTGAAATAAAAACATCTTCAAACAACAGTTGGACACAATAGAGGACCACCACAACAAACATATTATTTGGGATCAATATTGTTCATGAAAAAATTGAAAAAATTAAATAAAAACATCTTCAGACAACAGTTGGACACAATAGAGGACCACCACAACAAACATATTATTTAGGATCAATATTGCTCATGAAAAAAACTGAAAAAATGAAATAAACAATTCTTCAGACAACAGTTGGACACAATAGAGGACCACCACAACAAACATATTATTTAGGACCAATATTGTTCATGACAAAAAACAAAGAATATTTAACAAAAAAACCAAACATTAATTTATTATTTGAAAAAACCATAAAAATAAAATAAATTACACAACAATTTTAAAAAATAATTTAAAACAATTTAAACAAATAACATAATTTTTAAAAAATGAAAAAAATACCAAAAAATACAAAACCGACCCACCCAATCAATTTCCCTGGGTCTGAATTATTTCAACAAAAAAATCTACAAAAGCGACCCACCACACTAATCAGGATGAAACATTATATTACTTTGGTCTCGGGATTTCTGTCGGCCATCAATCCTTAGAGGACCATCTAAAATACGCCCGTGCAGTGATGCGTTCCTTCGACTCCCGCTGGCACTTCGATGCGGGTGCCCTGAGTGAGCCCCAAACTTGGAGACCATTCAGAGTTCAACGAGCTCGGCTCAGAGTTTGTCCTGGATTGGTTGGCATAGAACTCCGCGGTGGGACGTTGAGTCATCCACAGTAGTCCCCACAGATCATCACAGTATTTTCAGGCAATCAGATCCATCAGATGTGGCCGGTCTTGGTCAGTTGATTTGATTTGTCACGATTATTCAAGATTCAATCATTATTTAATATTTGGACAGGGAGGATAACTTTGAGTTCTGAGGCCAATCATGCTGCGAAATCTCTTCAAAGCCTGGCTGAAAGGCTGGGCCAGTGAGCACTAAGAGGAGAACAAGAGGAATCCACACCACATCAAAGCTTCATGAATACAGCCACATGCTTTTTGACTGGGCGATATTTTGGAATGATGACCATGATGACAGCTACCCGCTATCCTGATCTATCCTGGCTATTCTGGCTATTTGACTTTCTGAATTGTGCCATTTTTGAGCTCACCTCCCTCCTGTAGAGTTTCTTTCTTGCCTTAGCAGGCCTCAGCATCAGAATCATCAAATATAGGCTCAATTCTTTGAGCATTTTACAGTATTTTAAACATTTTTCAATCTCTAGTTCCTCACTTCTGTTGCTGCGTCGGTAGCTAGGGCGTCTTGGTGCTCACAACATGCAGCAACAGCATCGATTGTGCACATGATTGGGTCATTTCCATTTATTTTCTACAACATTGCACTGGTACAGCATTATTGTTCTGAAATGGCTGGTTCGTATTGATGCAGCAGAAGCATATATAATTACAAGTTATATGCGCACACAGGTGCACAGTATCTCTATAATATAATATGACATAGTCTGCGTATGTTTGTATGCAGCATGCACCATATACATCCCGGCGGACTCGAAACCGGCCCACAAAAATTGTCCAATTGCTCACGGCATATACATGTATATAAATAATAAAAAAATATATAGAGCATAATATTCTGCAGGTACGGTGTGCATATGGATATAGATATTCATCCACAGGGCTAACAGGACTACTTTGACATACTTTGACGGATGAGGCAACTTGACAGCGACTTGGCAGGTCTTGGCCAAGACAATGAAGCCTTGGGAAATAAATTACGCTTCACTAGCGGTTCGCCACCCAGGGGGGCAGCTGCAGGCATGGGTAGCCAACAAGGTGGGAAGCATCAGAATCCAGCTCTGGTAAAACGAACGCAAATACGAGAAAAACGTAATTCTGATGAAAGCCGGTCACAGTAGGGTGTGGTCAATTGATTACATGGCATCAACATGCACCACTTGAAATTTTTAGGCCTGTGTTCCTTCTGGGAAATCTGCCAAGGTTCCAGTCAGCGCCATGTTTTTGTAAAGTGGCTGGGCTGCAATATGCCAGATGGTTTGTGAAGGCACAGTGTTGCAACTTGTGCTTGTGGAGGAGTTCTGTAGGGCCTCTGTAGGGGTCGGTCAGCTCAACTAAACAGTGGCTCAGCAAATTTCTCCGTTGACATTGGCAGACAGAAAGAGCAGTGTCCTTCTTGTCTCCCAAGTGCGTCATGTCCCCGGAGCAAGTGCAGCAATCTTATGAGGCATGCCCATGATTTTGCAAAGAATCACGCTGTCATGCCAAAGAGGCTGGACAGAAGCGCAGCGTTGTCATTTCCTATTGAATAGAGGTCAAATAATAGCATGTGGCCATCAGGACTTGCTGCAATGGTGTGAAGATAGTTGTGCAATGTTGTGCATGGTTTTGAGGAATGGTACGTCGCGGTGTCAGTTCTAGGAATGGCTTATGTATGCTTATGTACAAGTAGCAGCACTCACTAGCAGCAGAGAGTGAAGAGCACAAGTTACACATGCCATTGATTCCGCGATCGCCTGATACTGCAATTGCATGCAGTTTCCAGGCTAACGCAACTGGCACTTTCCGTGGTGGACGTGGCGCAAAGGATCGGTGTGAAAGCCAATGTGTGTGTCGAAAGACGGAAAAAGAAATGCGAGGTTGAAGGCTGCAGGCTTGGCTTGGCCGCTTGGTTTGGCTCCCGTGGATCCAAGCTTTGCTTAATTTGCTTTTTGCGTAGGCTGTTCTTTTTCATGTAAAGAAGTTGAGTTGACCCATCCCGCAGATTGTGTCACAAAGCTGTGCCAGGACCTTGGAATTTCTTGCGCCGTTGAGTGCTCAGCCCTTGATGCAGAAGAAACATGAAGAAACTATTTCAACATATTTTAACACAATGCCGTTCTTGCTTTCTATGTTTTGAAGGAGCCCAAAACGGGGTTTGACCTCCCTGTTGTTTTTTTCGATTGTTTCTGGGCCCAGGAACGAGTCCAACACCAAGGGCTTAGCCAGTCTGGACCTCTGCTGTTGCACGGTGTATGTTGAGCTCGCAAAGAATGTTTTCAAAAGAGTGCTTCGCCAAATCGGATTTGTGTGACAGCGGAGAAAATGAAAAATGATCCCAACGCGTGACGCCGCATCTGACATATGATGTATTATTATGTCACAAGTTGCTCTCTCCTGAGAATGATATTATGAAGTTATATTATATTGTGATGAAGCACATTCAACTGGTTCGGATCATTGTTCTCTAGTGCAAGGGTGCAGCAACGACCCCTGAATATTACGAGCTTCATTTGCTTCTGCCTTGCTTCTAGCAACTTCCAGAAGCTGGCCACAATGTCTTAGAATATATGGTTGCGACTCTTTTGAAGTTTTTTAGCTGTTTGTTGTTGAACTATTTTGACATGGGAAAAAAAGGGGATGTCTTCAAACCATGTCTAGACACGCCAATGTGATTGGGATGTAGCCCGAGAGCCTTTTCTGTGATTCATTCACCAACAAGCAATTGCTGAACAGAGAAGCAGAGCATTGTCGGCTAGCCCCGAGGCCCTTCGCGAGTTCGTTTGGAAGGCTTGCTAATGTCCATGGGCATTCAGCCAGAGAGAAGTGTTGTCAGAGACCCGGTCTCGGGTTCGGACAGCATTGAAAGAAGGCCAGATGCGCACCCCGCAGGGGCATCAAATCATACGCGGAATGCGGGCATTGAGACGTTTTATGCCAGATCTTCATGAGAGTAGAGCTCCAGCTTTTTCTCAGATGCATGTTTGGCCAGAGTAATTAGGTGGCTGACATGGTGGAGAGCCTCCGTGTTTACACGATCTTCCTGAACCTGTTCAAGCTTGCTTTGCCTGGGAGCGTTTTGTTGATTGGTTTGCCCAAGGATCCGAAAGCCAAAGACACAGCAAAAGCCCCCGACAGCGCAGCTTCTCAGGCAGGACCGTCATGTCATGGACTGTTGGTCATTGCTCCTTACTATATAGTATTTGTTTTGGCGGAGATTTTTCTCGATGTATTCGGTGAGTTTGGGTATTGTTGAAAGCTGAATTGCTAATTCATGGATATTCATGGTGGTGGATTGTGTTGGAATCAATCCGTTTGCAATGCCTGGAGTAGTGGTAAAGGAACTTGTTGTTGTGTCAATGGGAATCTGTGGGATAAGTGTTTGTTTAAACATGGGGTATCTACATACTCGGAAATGACAGACAGCGACACAAGCCTGCAAGGGCCTCTGGCTAGTTTCATTTGAAATGCATTGAAATGCGATAGTAAAATAGGTCAGAGCAGGTCAGAGCATGTCAGAGCTAATTCAAACAACCTCTTGACAAGCTTGAGGATATTTGAGGATCACTTATTAGGTCCAGGTGGTTCCAATTTGCTTCCATTCACAGCGGAGCTTCGTTCAGTTGATCTTAGCATGATTCCAGGATGTCCGCAGAAGGGACGATTACAATCGATTACATACAACATATACAACTTAAACCATTGGAATTTAGGGCCCCCGCCTATCCCCGCTTGGACAAACCCATCAACCCACAGGCGAGTCTGAATCTTGAAGAGCTCTTCAGCGAGGAGCAGCCACTGGGCATGCCATCAACAGACTCTGCAAATTTCTTGTGAAACCAGGATGAGGCGTCTATACCAATGCCTCTAAATTTGGATAAATGTGTATTGTATGTATAATATTATAATTCTCACGTGTTCCACAGAGACTCAACATGAACAATACTTTGCTGCACAAGGATGCAAGCCAATTGGTAGGGCAAATCCTTCGCGAAGCCCTGACAAAAAAATATGTATAATATTTTATAATATTGTATTAATAATTTAACATTTAGCAACTTTACGGGGCACCTATTTTACTCACGAAATTGCACAAATATAATTCCCCTTCTAATATCCTTTATGATTTGCTGGAACCTGGCTACAGGAATTGGGTCAATTTGTAGGGACCTGTCTTCTAGCCCCAATCCTATAATTAAAGCGTGGTCCTCCATTGACCACCTCGCTCTTGGCCCTTGGGTGCATCTGCCCAATCCACAAGAGAAAAAGCATGAACAAGCAAGCCGGGTGTTTCATTATTCATTTTTCACGGTTTCAAAAGGGGGTGCTTTTGACATGATGCTTGCAAGGTCAAGGGTAATCTTAAGTTTACAAAGGGGGACAAATGTAGTAAACATAGAAGTCATTATGCGTCATTACAAGTCTACCTATTTCTTTTATAAGTGCTGATTTGACCTGGTGATCACGACGACGAGTGCACAGTTGCGCTACTACCAGGACCTGCTACTACTGAAAACAACATTGACAGCTGCATTTACACCGTCGTTTCCGGCATGTTGCGCTTGGTGTCAAATCTTACTCTTTCCTTTGCTGTTTGCTTGCCTTGTCTTACAGGTGCCACTCACAGTAGGCTGCGGCAACTGCATTCTTTCCCCTTGACTTGACCAGCAGTAGATATATTCTCGGAGTGAGAATTACGCGGAGA